GCTAAACATTTCCATAAATACCGATCTAGCTTCCCGAAAAGCCTCTAATTCTGCGCCAATACTGCAGATAAGTAAATTCCAGTTCCTTTCTTCGGCGAGCTGGAGAGCTGAGTTCAATTCTTCCATCACGGTATCCATTTCTCGCATAATGGAGTCCGGGATGGCCCTATCATCGCCTAGGCCACATCTAGAGTTCTCTGACATTTGTGACATTTTCTTTTGCATCGATGTTTCAAAGCTGGATATGGTCGAGATGACCTTGTGCCAGGTTCTCCCGCCTTCTTTGAGTGCGCTGATTTCATGGTCAGCTTTCCGTCTCCGTTGCCGGAGCAGCGTGCCCTCATTATGCCAGTGTTCTTTTGCCATCTCAAGCGTCCTCCGCTTCGGATGGAGTGTGTAAAAGGTTGGGGTGTCCGACGTGGTAAACCGGAGAGGCTGAATTGGCGGCGATTGAAGGTAGATTTGTACGTCCTTGTGAACTAGTGCAAGCGACTCTCTGTAGGACGAGAGTTTCGAATCGATGGAATTCTGGAGATGCGTTATTTCATTCAGCATTTGCCTATGGCGCGCCTTCATCTCGCCTAGCTGGTTTTCCAGATCCATGATATGCTTCTCGAGATTCCGAGACTCTCTCTGAAGATTTTGGATCCTCAAGCTTTCGTGCTCTCTCTGAGCCTCGGTCAAAACCGATTCTAACCCCTTCTGTTTGCTAATAAACGCATCGACCTCTCTTACGGCGTCTCGCCGGTGGCCGATTTCCACGTCAACGATGCGCCGCTCCTCTTCTTTCAACGTCAGAAGTTCATCCATGCTTTTCAATATGCCCCTCCTCGCCCCCTTCAGACTAATTTTCTTCCTCGTTGGTTGTCTGATCGGAATTGTCATGGTGGTCCTTGGGCTAGCAAGATGGGACGGGGTCGGAGTCGAGCTTCCCGTAGAACGGTAATCGTTGGCCGTATTTGATAAGCCGGCTGACAGCCCAGCGCTTTGCGCATCAAGGAGAAGCTGTAAATCATCCTGAAGCTGCCGAGACTGTCGCTCGATGAGGACAAAGGGATCTGAATGCCGAACAGCCGTGGAGAGTGGCACAGGTAGGAGCTTGCTGGTTTTGTTCAAAGTGGGTGTAGCCATGGTTAAGCAGCGGGTCATAAATGATGAGAGACAGTAATCCAGCGAGAGTCAAGCCTGCATAAACCCATAGTAAATAGTCTCTTAGCTGGACTATATGTACTCCGTACCCTATGCTTGTTTGTGCTCTGTTTGCTCAGGTGCTGTCGGAAGAGCATGTCGTGTGACCTGATTGGTGCCCGGCAGCTGCACGTGATGACTAAGCAGCTGTCGGAGCTGACGCCATCCAGCCAATCAAAGCCCAGCATCAGGCTGCCAGAGTTGTCGCCAACGCATTTCGACCTACTCTTGACCTGAAGCTCCCTTCATGAATCATCTCCTACCGCCTCCTTCATCAACACAGCCTCATCCCTGGTTCAATTTTCTCTCCTTTTGTATTTCTACTTGTGAGTGTCACTTCATTCAATTCTGCAATCTTGCACTAATGGATATGCGACGTTGATAGGTTGTCTCTGAACCCGCGCCTACCACACTAGTTAATCGTCGAGCTTGATAGAAAAGACAAGTCGCAGCATCGGAGTAGAATAGACGGCGCAAGATGGTTGGACTCGTTTCAGCGGCTGGCTTGGTGGGCTTTCTGTCTGAGCCTGACACCGAGCTCAAAGTGTTTGCTTTGAAAACTTTGGACGCCCAAGTCGACTCGTTATGGTCTGAGATTGCTGGCTCCGTTGGGCAAATGTAAGTCTGCCTAGAACCCCCAAACATATATATTCGCATTCTTTGATCTACTTTTTTCTTCAACTTCTGGGGCAAATATAGCTTTTCTATTTCAACTCGAACTAACTCAGTTTTACGCCACAGAGAAGCTCTTTGCGAGGACGAGTCCTTCCCTGAACGCGAACTTGCCTCGCTTGTCGCAGCCAAGGTTTACTACAATCTACAGGAGTACAATGAGAGCACGGTTTTCGCACTGGGGGCCGGTCATCTTTTTGACATTGAGAATGGCGGCGAATTTGAGGAGACCATCATCTGTATGTTGGCCAGTGAAAACATTTGCTCTTTTCGAGTACTGACTTCGTTGCTATAGCAAAATGTATAGATACATTTGTGTCTATATCCGCTATCCAGAAAAGTGATCCAAATGTTGACACATCAGGCAAACCCCATGTTAATACCGCCTTTCCTCAACAAGCCAATGGAGCTGCAAGCACTTCTGCCAGCCTTACATCACCAATCACGCCATTTTCACAATCAACATTACCATCGAAATCTCTTTTGTCCCGTCCTGAACCATCGGTAGATGCCGGCTATCAGAGAGGGGATACCGACGATGTCGAAAGCTCATCTGAAGTTCCTCTCGTGATCCAGCGTGGAGTTCAAAAGCAGCTCCAAGCCGTTATCAACCGTCTCTTCGAACGGTGTTTTCAACAAAAACGATACCGACAAGTCATTGGCATCGCAGTTGAAGCAAAGAACCTAGACATTCTTCGAACGGCGATCTTACGCGCCGCCCGGGATGAAAAGAGCCAAGGAGGCGAACCCTCGCGCCGAGGCGAGGAATTAATGGAATATGTTCTAGGCATCTGCATGAATGTTGTGCAAGAGCGGGCTTTTAGGAATGAGGTATGTTGAGCTTCAAGTACAATATCTCGGAGGAAAGGTTACTGACCAGCGGATTTTATCCAAAGATATTAAAATTAATCCTTGAATTGCTAAGCGAAATCCCCTCTCCCGACTATTTTTCCATCGCGAAATGTGTAGTTTACCTAAACGAGCACACGATGGCCTCCGATATACTTCGACAGCTCGTGGAAAAAGGCGATGCAAGATCATTGGCTGTGGCTTACCAGATTTCCTTTGATCTGTACGATAACAGCACACAGGAGTTTCTAAGAAAAGTACGCCAAGAAGTGGCCGGTTTCACGTCTGAGATTGAGGCTCCCTCCGAGAACGCAAACAATACAGACGACGCAAGAGAAGTGGACGCTCTTCTTCTAGATCATGTCGAATCAGACACTTCTAGTGCAGGAGACGGGAAAAATAACTTCTCAGCAGAAGCACGTTCAGCATTTGCCAACATTCGCAACATCTTGGATGGCGTTAATTCGATTCAGCTAAACCTCGAATTTCTGTATCGAAACAACAAGGCCGATATTGCCATACTCGATAAGATCAAAGACAGTCTTGAAGCCCGAAACTCCATTTTCCACACGGCGGTTACTCTTTCGAATGCGTTTATGCATGCTGGAACCACGCACGACAAGTTTTTTAGAGACAATCTGGAATGGCTTGGGAAGGCGGTTAACTGGTCAAAATTCACTGCTACTGCTGCTCTTGGCGTCATCCATCGTGGAAATCTGACTCAAGGTCAGAAACTACTGGCACCATATCTCCCAAAGGAAAATATTGCCGGAGTCGGCAGCTCTGGCTCTGTCTATAGCCAAGGTGGATCTCTCTATGCTTTCGGTTTGATCTACGCGAACCATGAGGGTTGGGCTGTGGAGCTTATTCGCGAACATTTCAACAAGGCAACTGAAGAAGTTGTTCAGCACGGTGGCGCTCTTGGGCTGGGTGTCTCAGCTATGGCTACGGGTGATGAAGATATCTACACCGACTTGAAAAATGTTCTCAACACAGACTCGGCTTTGAACGGCGAGGCTGTTGGTCTCGCGATGGGCTTGGTCATGCTAGGAACCGGAAATATGAAGGCACTTGAGGATATGATTCAATATGCCCACGATACGCAACATGAGAAAATTATCCGTGGCCTAGCAATGGGAATGGCTCTAATTATGTACGGTCGTCAGGAAGCCGCTGACGAATTGATCAATGGCTTGCTAAGCGACCCGGACCCCACCCTACGCTATGGCGGAATAATGGCCATTGCGCTGGCTTATTGTGGTACGGGTAGCAATAAGGCCGTTCGCAAGCTGCTTCATGTTGCAGTTAGCGATGTTAATGATGATGTCCGGCGAGTGGCGGTGATGAGCTTGGGCTTCATCCTTTTCAGGAAGTATCATAGCGTTCCCAGAATGGTCGAGCTCCTTTCCGAATCATACAACCCCCACGTCCGATATGGAGCGGCTATGGCGCTTGGTATATCGTGCGCCGGAACTGGCTTAGATGAGGCTGTGGACCTCTTGGAGCCTATGTTAAAAGACCCGACCGACTTTGTACGACAAGGAGCTTTGATCGCATTGGCGATGGTATTAGTACAACAAAACGAGATCATGAATCCCAAAGTTGGCACGATCCGAAAGGCGATGCAGAAGGTCATTAGCGATCGTCATGAAGACGCCATGGCCAAGTTCGGTTGTGCTGTTGCTTTGGGAATCATAGATGCCGGCGGACGCAACTGCACCATCAGTCTCCAGACACAAACGGGCAACCTCAACATGCCGGGAATTGTGGGCGCCGCTGTTTTCACGCAATATTGGTACTGGTTCCCGTTGACGCACTTCCTCTCCCTTAGCTTTACCCCTACTGCCGTTATTGGTGTGGATCAGAAGCTTGAAGTCCCCGCGTTCAAATTCCATTGCAACACGCGGCCAAGTCTGTTTGATTATCCACCTGAGCAGCAAGTTAAGGCCGATGAAGCGCCGGAGAAGGTGAAGACGGCAGTGCTTTCGACCACTGCACAGGCTAAGCGACGTGCTCAACGGAAAGAAAGGGAACAACGCCGAGAGAGTATGGACGTGGACCAAACACCGACGACGCCCAAGCAACCTGATGACAAAATGGAGGTCGATGAAAGTCAGCCCAAGGCTGAGGATAAGGATAAAGCTGTCGAGAAGGAGGCAGAAACACCCAAGCGCAAGGCCGAAAAGGAGAAGGTCGGCTACGAATTGGCCAATATGTCGAGGGTTCTCCCTGCACAATTAAAACATTTGACATTCCCTGACCCACGATACGAGCCAGTGAAACGGGTAAGTACAACAGCCATGGCAGAGTAAGCTTGTGATGCTAATAATGTTTCAACAGCCGACTGGTGGTGTCACCGTTGTCCTTGACAAAGCGCCATCCGAAGCACGCGAAACCATCGAATTGAAAGCCAGCAAAGATGTTCGGCAAGCGGCTGCACCACAGACGCTCCAGGATCGAATCAATGCCGCCATCTACGGTGAAGGCGAACCTTCCACTCCACAGCCCGCCGGTGTCAGCGCTGCGGGCAGTGGTGCTGCGGCAGCAGCGGGAGTCCTGACTGCGGTAGACGAAGACGAAGAGGGCGGCGAGGAAGCACCAGTTCCTGATGAATTTGGTTATTATACCGATGCCGAATGATAACCAACCAGTGTTGTGATATTGCAGCTTGTTTGTCTGGCTTGATCTTGCACATTGAGAATTCCGTGCTTCGCGGCGAGTCGTTATCTTTTCTCTGGATGTCTTTCTACATGCTTTTCTTTTCCCGTCGATATTATCCTAGCATCTAGAATCCCCGTGTACTTGTATAATCTGAGCAACAGGCGCGAGTCGAAATTAAGCATGCGTGATTGATGCCCAAGGGAAACTGCGTGCTGTCACATGCTTTGCCCGAATTGGCATCGGCAGAATGAAGGCGGTGTAGACTAGCTGATCCCGTGACCTAGAGAGAAAGCCGAGGCAACTGCTGTTTTCGGTCTAGCGGCGACGTGTGATTACGTGATGCGGCTCACCTCTCAGGAGCATGTGATGGCGAAATGACGGCATCTGTCCGCTTGACTCGACATTTGACAGAACACAGGCGACAGAGAGACAGCCTTCTCGTGGATTTGCGACTCTCAGGATTTCGGTTTGCAGGTTGGGAGTAAGCGAAACATCCTATTATCTTCATCATAGCCTATATCCCCTGCACTTCCTCAGAGCCGAAAGTTCGGAGGAAAACGTGGTCCAGCGTGGAGATCAACCGCTATCCAGAAGTTGCGGCATGTGAATCCTGCATTTTCAAGCAGAAGCAGAGCCACTCGCGAGCAAGCTGTTTGGGCTTCTGAGCCTAGGTACTTTTTGGCTCAGCTGCTCTCCTTTTCCGCTCAGAGCCAACGGCTAACTACTTATTTCTCATCACACTTCTCGTTCGAGAACCCCGGATTTCCCTTCTCTTCCTCCCTTGCTTTTCAGCTCAAAGTTGGCCCCCATCTGCTCTTTCGATTCTGCTTGTATTTTTCCACTCCTTGCATCAGCGCCCTCTTGTACAGATAGAGAAGCATATAGAATTCACTCATGTCGGCAAAATTCTCAAAGGACGCTGTTGCGTCGCATAACAGCGCGGGGGATCTCTACGTCGTGATTGACGAGGATGTTTTCGATTTGACCAAATTCCAGGATGATCATCCAGGTGGAAAGAAGAGTAGGTTGCCCTCTACGCCAACACGTTCGAAAGTCCGAACTAAACGAATTCTGCAGTCCTACAAAGAGTTGCGGGCAAGGATGCCTCCAAGCAGTTCTGGAAATACCACAGTCCCGCAGTTCTGAAGAAATACCGAAAGCAGCTCCAAGTTGGGTCCCTGGATACAAAGAAGGATGTTGCTCCTCCCGCAGCCCCAGCCCCACCAGCGGCTCCTCGTGCGGAAAAGAAGGCCGATGCTGGCTCAACCCTCACCAGAGCTCCTTCGACCCCGCTAGAGCCTTTCGGTGACCTAGTTCCATTTGCTGACCCAGCTTGGTATCAGGGGGTATGTAGAATCTCGTTATTACTTCTGGTGGTGGTGCACTCGAACTAATGGTATACTTTCTGTGTAGTACTTTTCCCCTTACTATAACGAAACTCACGCTGCCCTTCGTGATGAAGTTCGCCAATGGGTTGAGACTGAGATCGAACCCCACGTTCATGAATGGGACGAGGCCAAGAAGGTGCCCGATTATATCTACAAGCAAATGGGAGAACGAGGCTATCTTGCTGGTTTGCTCGGGGTGGGATATGACGCAAGCCTCTCGAAAAATACCGTCAAGAGCGTTCCCCCCGAAAAGTGGGATTTGTTCCATGAGATTATTGTCACCGACGAGCTCTCCCGCTGTGCCAGTGGAGGTGTCGTCTGGAACCTCATCGGTGGCTTCGGTATCGGCTGTCCACCCCTTCTCAAGTTTGGACGAAAGGAAGTTGTCCAGAGAGTTGTTCCCGGTATTCTTGCTGGAGATAAGCGCATCTGCCTTGCCATTACGGAACCAGATGCCGGTTCCGATGTGTCGAGCTTGACGTGCGAGGCCAAATTGACTCCCGATGGAAAACACTACATCGTTAACGGTGAGAAGAAGTGGATTACAAACGGCGTGTGGGCAGACTATTTCACCGTGGCTGTGCGCACTGGTGAAAATGGAATGAACGGCGTCAGCGTCTTGCTCATCGAGCGTGACTTTGGCGGCGTCAGCACGCGTAGAATGGACTGCCAAGGTGTCTGGAGCAGTGGTACTACATACATTACCTTTGAAGATGTCAAAGTTCCTGTCGAGAATTTGATTGGCAAGGAGAACAAAGGTTTCAAGGGTAGGCTCCGACTTTCGTCTCATCTTATGAAATTGATCTTGGTGTGCTAACATCATCTAGTCATCATGACCAACTTTAACCACGAGCGTGTCGGCATTATTATTCAATGTCTCCGTTTCTCTCGCGTCTGCTATGAGGAATCTGTCAAATATGCCCACAAACGCCGCACATTCGGCAAGCGTCTAATCGACCATCCTGTCATTCGGATGAAACTGGCACACATGGCCCGTCAGATCGAAGCATCTTACAACTGGCTCGAAAACATCATATACCAATGCCAGAACTACGACGACATGGAAGCCTCACTCCGTCTTGGTGGCGCCATTGCCGGCCTGAAAGCGCAGTCGACTACCACTTTTGAATTCTGCGCACGGGAAGCCAGTCAGATCTTTGGTGGACTCAGCTACAGCCGTGGTGGGCAAGGTGGCAAGGTCGAACGTCTGTATCGCGATGTCAGAGCCTATGCTATCCCCGGAGGCAGCGAGGAAATCATGTTGGATCTCAGCATGAGACAAAGCTTGAAGGTCCACAAGGCCTTTGGCATGAACTTGTAAAACGCATGGTGGTTCCGGGTGTTGGCATTTTTGGGTCTTTCTGGGTGGCCAGGTATCTGTGATATCTCTTTGTAGCTTCTTACATACCCAGGGTTTTGTCTTCAGCATGCGGCGGTCCATGAGCTGGAACTGTCGCATTATTTTCCTTTTGTGGCATATTCTCCTTCCTGACTTTGGTCTATCTCCGCAACATACCATTTCACCTTTGGTCAGATTGTGTATATATTGGCATTTTTTTTGGAATACAAAGCACTGTTTATATCAGCCAGCTTTTTTCTGTGCCGCTGTGACGGCATTACTTACCACTCGATCGGAGGCATCGCCACTTGTGTTCGAATGCGGGGTGGGTTCGATATTAATGATCGCGTTGGATATATGTTGCATGTAAAACGCTTTGAATTATTCCGAATCGGTCCATGAGGTCTCGAAAAGGGGCCGAGTGTCGCAGATGATGTCTTATCTACCACAGATTCGCAAAATGCAAAAGTCAGGTGGTAAACTATAGACCGCCAGCCTTCGGCCTTTGACCGCATTTGAGCCCTAGATAATGTAGGTTTGTTAATTAATATTTGTGTGACAGAAAGAGTTGGGCAGAGGTTAATTGTGCTCTCAGGGTACGGAAAAGATAAGCCACTTCTTTATTCGCGAAAAGTCCCTCGAATGTCAAAACATCTTGCCGAGCTGATTGTTGAGGTGACAGGGTGGAAAATGCGAATTTCGCGGCCCAGGAAAAATGCAAAGCGTGGGGGATAGCTCCTTGTAGCGGCCGTATCTCCTCTTTCAGCACCTGGTTAGAACCGACTTCAAAATTGAGATCTCAAGTCGAGCATGGGGGGAAAAATGTCCCATAATGAGTTTGATGGCTTGGGTCTTCCATTGCTGCGCCGGATATTTTAGCAATTTTGATCAACGACAAATGCGCCTGCCTTTCACTGGAAATGAAATTGGCACCTAATCGTGTGGATGGATTGTTTCTTTCAAGACAGCCGGTTCTGATCCAAATTACTTCCACTCTGGATCGACCATGATCCCATCCAGTCTGGCAACAAGGAGCTGGCAGTTGGCGCGATGATCATCCCTCACTCCATCACTTCGGGGCTTTCTGGATTATTCCAACATGGAACCCACGCCTATCATTCCATCCTGATTCCCGTGGGAAAGCCAGGGTCACGGCCAATTGCAGTTGACTGTGGCTGAGCAAGCCAACAAAGCAGAGGGATGTTCCCATCCTCTGATGCATGTCTGAAGTCGCCTGCACGCGGGGTTTTCATCAAAATCGGTGGGATCGGACGCTCAAACCGAGGGCGATACTAAGGACTTCAGATCTTCCCCCTGTCCCTCTCACTTGAAGCCGCGTCAGAACGCGACAATGTCTGATTGATCATCGTGACCGGGGGTTGCAAGGGCATCCATCCCTGGATTGGAATCGCCTCAACCCATCAGATTCCGCACTCACCACCGATATAGAAAATTTGCAAAACATCCTTCTGTGACCTGTCAGTGAAAAGAGTACGAGTTTTCGGCTTCGGAGTCCCGAGAGTTAAGAAGTCGTTAATAATAAGTAGTGTTTGCACCAGCAACGCTTCGAACGCAAGCATTGAGTGGCGTTTCTTAGCCAAAGCTTCTCGCATAACGGTCTTCCCTGGCGGGATATTCACTTGGCGACTCCGTGGTAATTTTAGCGACATAATCACGGATGCCATCCATTTCTACCTGCCACTGCAGGAAGAGACTTGGCTGATCTCTGGTCCTAGTCTTTGGTTGTCGGCGCCATTCAACCAGCCTACCTGTTCACCCCTCCCTGTAGGGTTACATCGAAACGTCAAACAGAAAACTGGGAGCGGGGAGCGAAAAATTCGAGAATCTTTAGCCACCATTCAGCACTTACCCGGATATTGTGTCGCAAAGATTCGCGCCAAAGGAATCATCAAGGGCTGAAAAGCATCAATGGAAATAGTGAAATACTTGCTTGTCCTCATCTCGACCCATTCGAAGACCACCCAGGATGTCTGGTCAGGAGAGATGACCAGCCTCAAGAGAGCTCATGCAGCTCCCCCGGGCCTTTGCAGCGTCAAAAAAAGGTTATCTCCAAAAGCAAATTAAGCGTGGAGCCTTTTTCCGGAGGCTTGTTTTCAATGATTGGCGGTGGACACCTCCCCAGCTACAGGCCAAGAGATATCAAACAAACCGCTAATAATATGGCCTTTTCGATCTGTCTCCCGTTCTCTCATCGATTCAACCGCATCGAACAACCTGATTGCAATTGGGTCATTTTATTTGTCAAAGAATGGGGACCCTTGGTAAGACGCATGGGTTATCAGTCAAGGTTTGACATTCCTGAAGCCCATGGGTATTGTTATGCACTGAAGCAAACTCCACCGAATTGATTTAGTTATTGCACAAGTGGTATTTTTCGTGCAAAGTTGTGAATAGGGTAGCAGGATTCGTATCGTATGTGGATAATCCAAACAAGATAACACCTGTGTTCCCAACTCTGCGAAGCATCCGGTACACAGACTAGTAGTGTAACCGGTTGGGATATCGGTCAACTGAACATCTCAGAGAGTCAGCTTGAGTTCTATGATGATACCCTGTAAAGAGGAGATCGGTCCACTCGTCCTGTCATTGGCAGTCTTTGGGAACCGGAGGGTCGCTGAGCGTTCGCCTAAGCTTCTTTTCCCCGGGAAATTGTTCTCCATTCATACCCATTTCCCGCCTCTGCCTTGGTTGCCCCATGATGTGGATCCGATGTGACCTTCTCAAGGCTGTCTCTGCTCACTTGAATGGCTGCTGACGGAAACCCAGAGCGTCTAACTTGCCGCACAATCGGGTGTTTATAACTCGACCTGCATCCTCTTCCTGGGTTTCAGGCCCTTCTTCCACCTTCCTTTAATCACACCAACACCTTATCCACACTGGCCTTGGTTCCAAGACCAACCGCCATGTCTGACAACGACGTCAAGAAAGTCGACGTCGCTATGACAGTCGAGGATGAAAAACCCGTTGCGGCAAGGGAACGCGTGTACGGTCTCGAGGCTCGCGTTGACCCAACCGTTACCTTCGAAGAATATCGCTACTGGGCCAAGCTTCAGCGTGCCCAAGAGCACGAGGAGAACCGCCAGTTCGTTGAAGAACGTGGCCCCAGAACTTTTGCCTCAATCATCAAGAGTCGATTCTCCCACGGAATCCACCACGAGAAAAAGAAAAAGGAGCAAAAGGCACAGGAAGAAGCAGCTCAACAGGGAGCATTGCAAGTCAACCGGGCCAGCAGCAGCGAACAGGAACAGAACCCGAATCCGCCCACATACGACACCTCGTCGGCTGTGACAGAAGAAGAATGGAAAACAGCTAGCAGGGCGCTAAAGACTGCCAGCTGGGGTAGTGTTTTCTATTTGATCACCACTGATATTTTGGGTTGGGAAACCACTGCGTACGTATTTCGAGTCCCCGTCAAAGTTCGTTTGACGTAGTGTAGCCCTCTCTGACCTTGTTGGGATCCAGGTTTGTGTTTTCGAGTGTCGGCTTCGGTCCTGGAGCGGCACTTTATGTCATTTTTGGTCTCTTTGCCGGCCTCAGCGGCTGGATCTTATGGAGGGTTTATCTAGGATTGGACTCTGGGCAGTATCCGATGCTGTCTTTTGGCGACACCTATTTCCGTGTTTACGGGAAAAAGGCACGGCACTTCATCAACGTATCGCAATCGCTGCAGCAGTTCATGACGGTCGCTGTACTGATTCTATCAAACGGCGTCAAGATTGCTCAACTGTCTGACAGGAAAATCTGCTTCATCGTTTGCATGATTATCTTTATGGTTGCCGGGATGACACTTGGAAGTATCCGGAGCTTGCAGCACATCGGGTGGTTTGCCAACGTGTCTGTCTGGGTGAATATTATCTGCTTTATCATCATGTGAGTGCCATCTGCCTTGTCCTCTGATTGAGCCGGGGGTAGGATTAATGAATTCGAGCAGCATGGTCGCATGTTCCAACTTCGGAATCGATTACGAAGCCGTCACTCGCTCGACGTTGATCAAAGAGATTGGACCAGTGAGAACATTCGCCGGTCCGCCGCCGGACCAATACCAGCAACAGGCGCATGGATTCGCCGGTCAATTCAACGGTATCAACCAGCTCGTTTGTATGTCTCTCTCGAAAACCTACCTGCTCTTTCCATTTCCATCAAACAGCACTAATATGCGAGCCCATATAGATAGCTATGGTGGTGCCCTCCTCTTCATTGCGTTCATGGCGGAAATGCGCCACCCATGGGACTTCTGGAAAGGCATGCTTTGCGCCCAATCCTTCATCTGCGTGGTTTATCTTCTTTTTGGAGCATTCGTGAGTCAATCGCATTCTTTGCGCCCGCCGGGGCTCTCAGTTGATCGCTAAACGTACCCAGGTGTATGGTCATTATGGCCAGTACTCGGTTGCAAATCTTAAAAACGTCATTCAGCCCCGTGAGTTGCAAATAGTTGCCAACTCGTTCGGTCTGATAACCGCTTCGATCGCATGCTGTAAGTATCTGTGTCCTCAGCCTTACGGATCTGTTCTTTTGTAGTTGCTGAGATTATTTTTTGAAGTGATGTACTTCAACATTGGCATGAAAACGGTCTATATCGAAGTCTTCCAAGAGGTCTTCAAGTTCCCTCCGATTACCACCAAGAAGGGACGCTGGATGTGGTATGCACTTGGCCCCGTCTACTGGATTATTGCCTTTCTTGTGGCAGCAGCAGTGCCCAATCTGAACGGGATTTCCGGGATAATCGGCGCTCTGCTTATTCTTAACTTCACGTACACATTCCCGGCATTCCTGTACGTTGGCTACCGGTGCCAGGCCGATGCCGCCCTTCCCGGCGAAGGATTCGACCCTGTTACTGGGATTACCACACGACATGACAATGGATGGAAGCGATGGGTGCGTGGGTTTAAAAAGAACTGGCACTTCAACACGGTTAACGTGATTTATGGTCTCGGGGGCTTGGTATGCTCAGGAATGGGCTCTTGGGCGGCTATTGAAGGGCTTATCGCAGTCTTCGGACCTGGCGGGACCGTTGCCACCTCGTTCGGGTGCGCGCCGCCTGTATAAAGGGTCAATTATAGGGCTAGGTAGTCACTTCCACGGCGCTTTGAGCTTGTATATACTCCCCGTCCGTACTGCTTGAACCTCCTTTCTGAATGAATATGCATAACGGGCTAAATGGGGCAAAAGGTTCTGATGATGCCAACCAGAGATTGTGCAAGGCACCAAGATATTGAAAGGAGAGGTCATGCCCAGGTAGATTGCTTAAATGGACCTGTGTTAAGACAGAAAAAAACGAAAGTCCAAGCACACTGCAACCGTGCTTGACGATGTGCTTTGTAGTAAGGTATTGAGATTCAGCCAACAGAACTGGAACCAGAACGGGAGTTGCTGATGATGAAATACTGCCTGGAGAGAGACTCCATGTTACCAGCAACGCCAAGTATGACTCATTCTTAGTGGTTTGCTGTGATGCGGAGGTTGACTTCCCAAACAGGCCTCCGACTGTGCCGGGGTTCGGGACTGAGAGCAGGAAGAGCAGGGCTTCCGAGTGAGCTTCGGCAAGTCGATGGACTCGACATCCATCTGCATTGTTTAGTTAACTGGAAACAAACAAGCATCCGCATCGTCGACTGCTTGCTATCTCATTATGAGGCCGTCCAAATTGGCCCCTGATTATCATGGACGGAACAAGAAGTGATTATGTAACGCGGAAGAACTCGACGCCGAGTGCCAAGGGTTCACGTGACTAGTTATGCTTACTCAGCGGTTCTTCAAGGGACCGCAGAGCCACCAAGAACGCAGTCTGAAGCTTTGACTGCAGCCGTCCAGCTGAACAACCACCATAGCTCATCGATTGAACTGATCGCATTGGAAAATTCGAACTCATTTTGTCTTGTTAGTCGCCATACCCAGGTGCTTAAATGCTCCGTTTCTGTTATTGTATCAGGCGCCGTTAGTCTAACTCCGAACCCAGCCTACTTTTGCGGCTTTAGATAAAGCGAGCCTGCCAGACTCAACATCAGTATCGCGATTACGAGAGTTTATCAAATCCGTCCCACAAACGAAGCGAACAGTATCTTATTTCTTGAGACGTTGGGCCTCTGGGCCACCCGTGGCGAACACCCTTGACGTTGTCAACTCCGCATTAGCGAAAACCCGTTCGCCTTCGCCCCCGGAGGACTGGACTCGATTAGGGAGCGCAACGCAATATGTCGCACCTTTCCGACTCGTTTTTGGATCAAAATCCAGCATCTGAAGAGGAAGATGACGATTTCAATCCAGCGCCCGCTGAAGATTCTGATGCTGAGCGTGACGATAATGCGGAACGCAAAAATGAAAACCGTAATCCTGACAGTGACGTTGAAGATGCTAATTCCGAGAATGAGAGGATTACCCGTACACCAGCGGCCAGACATCAGGATGGGGATCGTGAAGTTGATAGGGTGAATGAAAAAGCGGAAGAGAATGGGGACGCAGAAGGTGACGGCGAAGCGGAGGGAGAAGATGAGGGTCAGGAGGAAGACGAGGATGAAGAAGAAGAAGAGGAGGAGGAAGAAATAACTGTAAGTTGATTTATACTTCCATTTCCTTAGCCTATATTGACCTTGATTTAATTATAGGGCCGCCCACGGAAGCGTAGACGAGGTGGACTGAATAACTTCTTCGAAGAAGAGGCAGAGGTCGAAGAAGAAGAAGAGGATATGGAGGAGGAAGAAGAAGACTTGGAAGCTGAATTTCTTCATCCTGACGACGATGCAATCCTGCCCGCTGGCGCCGAAACCGATGACCGCAGGCATCGTGAACTTGACAGAAAGCGAGACCTTGAGGCATCCATGGACGCAGAGAAGCAAGCGCAAGCTCTTAAGGAACGATATGGACGGAATCGCGCTGCGGCATCTGATTTGGTCGTTGTCCCTAAGAGATTATTGCTACCCAGTGTCGATGACCCCAGCATATGGGCCGTCAAGTGCCGCCCTGGCAAGGAACGCGAGATAGTTTTCAATATAATGAAGAGAATGGAGGAACGGCATCCAGGCTCAAGAAACCCTCTTCGGATCACATCCGCATTTGAGCGAGGCGGGACCATGAGCGGTTATATCTACGTTGAAGCCCGCAAGCAGGCAGATGTCATGGATGCTTTGGAAAATCTATCCAACGTCTTCATTAGATCAAAATTGACCTTGATATCTGTGAAGGAGATGCCTGACCTTCTCAGAGTACAGAAATCAGAGGAATTGCAACCTGGAGGCTGGGTCCGAATCAAGCGAGGAAAGTACCAGGGTGATTTAGCGCAAATAGAAGAAGTGGAAACCAACGGGCTCGAAGTCACCGTTAGACTTGTACCACGTCTCGACTATGGCCTAAACGACGATGTTCACATTCCAAATGGCGACTCAAAGCGGAAACGGCCTGGTGGCGCGAATGCTGCAGTGGCTCGCCCTCCTCAGCGCCTGTTCAGCGAAGCAGAAGCAAAGAAGAGACACGGAAGATATCTATCTGCAGCCGCTGGCCTAGGCGGCAAGTCGTGGACCTACCTTGGCGATACTTATATCGACGGTTTCCTCATCAAAGATATGAAAATCCAACACCTGATCACCAAGAACGTGAATCCCCAACTTGGCGAGGTTACAAAATTTGCACGAGGCGCCGACGATGGTACTGCAAACCTAGATCTGGCGTCGTTAGCCGCCAGTCTCAAAAACACTACCGGCGAGGATTCCTATGTGCCTGGGGACACCGTTGAAGTATTCAGTGGCGAACAGCGAGGCGTTGTCGGTAAAGTCTTATCCGGTCGCGCAGATATCGTTTCCATTACTGTAACAGAGGGCGAATTGGAAGGTCAAAGACTCGAGGTTCCGGTCAAAGGTCTACGGAAGCGGTTCAGTGAAGGTGATCATGTAAAAGTCATCGGTGGCAGCAAATATCGAGATGAGCTCGGAATGGTGGTTCGAATCAAGGATGATCGAGTTACACTGCTCACCGACATGAGCATGCAAGAGATCACAGTTTTCAGCAAAGATTTGCGGGAAGCAGATGATGCTGGTGTCGACGGAAAACTTGGCCAGTACGATGTTCATGACCTTGTCCAGCTCGAGTATGTCTATTGTATTTTCGTTGTTTGCCGGTGGATAGCTAACGTGACTGTAGCCAAACCACCGTTGGTTGCATTATCAAGCTCGATCGCGAGTCCATGAAAGTCATCGATCAACACGGGTCAATCAGAAATTTGCTCCCATCGCGAGTTATCGGAAAGATTGAACTTCGACGGAATGCAGTGACTACCGATAGAAACGGCGCTGAAATCAAGTATGGTGACACTGTCCGTGAGGTTACGGGCGAGCAGAGGCTAGGCGTCATCCTCCACGTGCACAGAGCGTTCCTTTTCATGCAAAGTAAGGTGGTTGGGGACAATGCTGGTATCATTGTATCGAGAGCATCCAACGTCGTGACTGTGGCCACCAGTGGAGGAAGTTTGGCACCCCGGGGCCCGGATTTGTCCAAAATGAATCCCGCATTGCAGAAAAACGGGCTGAACGGATCTGGTATGCCGCCACCTCGAACTGTTGGAAGAGATAGAACTGTTGGCAAGACGGTCACCATTCGTAAGGGTCCGTATAAGGGTCTCCTTGGTATTATCAAGGACACAACAGACGATATTGCAAGAGTTGAACTACATTCTGTCTCTAAGGTTGTTCCTGTTGAAAAGGAAAATCTTACCATTAAGGAGTATGTTTCCCCCCTGAAAAGGATTTTCTTCCGCTAACAGCCAATTTAGTCCAATAACTGGTCAGCCCATTGATCTTCGTCAATTTGGTCGTGGAGCTGGCCGTGGAGGTTCCCGTATCCCCCAGTCTTCAGCTGCTCCTCCAAGATCACAAAGTTCCTGGCAAGGTGGTAGAACCCCCATGGCAGCAAGTGACTCTTCTCGCACACCTGCATGGCGTGCTTCGTCCTCAAGAAGTGAGTATTTAGCTCTTCAATTATATATGATCAATTCGTGTTGATAATCTCTTAGCTCCTGCATGGAATGCCGCCGCAAGTGGTGCTCGCACTCCGTCTTGGAAGACGGACGGCTCACGAACAGTCAATGCCTATGATGCCGGATATAAGACAACACTTGGAAGCCGAACTCCTGCTTGGGCAGCCGGCAGCAAAACGCCCCGTGATTTCTCGTCTGGATTTGGTGGATCTTCGTCGAATTCTGGGGCCTCTGGATTTGATGCTTTCCTTGCAGGCTCTCGAACTCCGGCTCATCACGCTGCTTTTGGTGGTTCTCGCACACCTGCTTGGGGCCATGGCTCTGGTTCTGGCGGCAAGGCTTTTGACGCCCCCACCCCAGGTGGAGACTACGCCGCTCCTTCTCCCGCAGCCTTTGGGGCCGCACCAACACCCGGTGCATCTGCTCCAACGCCTCGTCCGTGGAACGATACCGCTCCAACCCCTGGAGCGACCAGCGCACCCACACCTGGCGATTCTGCTTACAGTGCTCCTACTCCTGCGGGTGGAATGGGTCTGCCGGCCACACCTGGTGCGATTGATGATGGTGGGCCAAGGTACGAAGAAAGGACGCCTAGCCCGTGATTATAAATTTTCACTTCTGCGAGTACTTTCAATTAAGCATCCTCGTCAGCCATGGTCATCCTAGCTAAATGGCAGATGGAGAAGCTATTTTCTGTTTCAAATTATCACTCGTGTACTCTTCCCCGTCCTTTGCCCCTGGCGTACGGTTTACATTTCCTCCCAGGCAACTTGTGCCTAGGGTTGAAGGCTTGTCATTATTTCAGGGATACGGAAATCTGGAAAATTTGCCATTACTTCATTTATTTTAGATATGACTACCGAATGCAATCTTGCACTGCTTGTGCTGTATTCCAAGCCTTGAGTACACCGTTGCTGTCTCCATTATTATATCATTCGGCTGGATTGAGGCTTCCTAGCATGTTTGCACTGTTTGCTTTGGAGCTCCCCACCATCTGACGCAGGTGGAAGGGCGACAATAGCTGGACTTTCCCACACAAGCAGAGAACCTAGCTTCATTCTCTTGTCTCTTGGGTTGCTGCTCTTTATTCTCGCGAATTAGGTCATTTATCCCCTTTCTCGCATCAGCGCATCCGCCCGAAGCGCAGCAACTAACAACCATCACATAATGTCCTCCTCAGACCCCTTAGAAACCGAACCGTCCGTCACAGAGAGAGAGCGTCAGGATCGAGAGCACAAAGAAAAAGAAGCTGCCGAACAGGCTAAGCTACCATACAAGTGGACGCAGACAATCCGCGATGCGGACGTGACTATTTCAGTTCCCGCAGAGATCAGAGGGAGAGATCTGGATGTTGTCCTGACGAAAACGAAGATCAGAGTTGGGGTGAAGGGGAAAGAGCCCATTATTGATGTATGCTTGCTGCTGTCAAGTTGATATGATCCGCTCGGGGCTCTTCTCTATAGAAAGGAGAAAACTAACAAGTGAGCAAAACAGGGCGACTTCCCTCACCCGATTCACGTCGACGAATCCACCTGGACACTTGAACCTACCTCCAATCCTCCGGGTAAAGAGGTATCTGTTCACCTCGACAAAGTCAATAAGATGGAATGGTGGCCGCACATTGTGACTTCCGCACCTAAAATAGATGTCACCAAGATACAGCCCGAGAACTCCAGTTTGGGCGATTTAGACGGCGAGACAAGGAGCATGGTGGAAAAGATGATGTACGATCAGAGACAAAAGGAAATGGGGAAGCCTACCAGTGACGAGGAGAAGAAAATGGAGATGTTGAGGAAGTTTCAGGCAGAGCATCCAGGTGCGTCTTGGGATCGGTTTCGTATTCAATCTACATCTTTGGTTGCTAACTAAGTCTGATAGAAATGGACTTTTCGAATGCGAAAATTGGTTGAACGGAATGCGATTTCTTTTGAAATATCAGAATGAAGGGAAAAATGATTCCAAAGTGTAAACGACTACATGGAAATGAATCAACTGTGCTTAAGAATTATAGCTGAAACGCTAGTATGAATGATCCATATGCATGCTATGTTCACTATAATCTTAAGTCTTAATCATACACTGTAATAGTACACACCTTGATTGTTGGCGTCGATGGACCAGTATGAGACCAACCGAAAGGATGGAACTCCTGAGTTTGGCAAGCCATCTGTTTGCAACAACAGGGATATTCTCTTTAGTCCTCCTGGCGCAATTGCAAGTGATAGGTCTCCAGCGCTTTTTCAGTCATCTTACTAGGCGTCTTCACCATGACATCTTCACCCTTGCCCGATTTCGGGAACGCGATCACATCACGCACACTTTCTTTCCCCAGCATGATAGCGATTAGTCGATCAAAGCCCAAAGCAATCCCGGCATGAGGTGGGCATCCAGCTCTAAGCGCTTCTAAGAGGTGTGAAAAGTCCCCCAGGCGATTTTCCGGTACTTTCAGAATATCACGAAGAATAAACTTTTGAACCTCAGCAGAATGAATACGCCGGCTGCCACCGCCCAACTCGACGCCATTTACGACAAGGTCGTAGTGGTCTGCGACTACTTTAGTTGGATCGGTAAGAAGAAGATCAACATCCTCTGGGCCAAGGGGAGCGGTGAACGGGTGATGTGTTGATGCAATTCCCGCGGTACCACCTTGGCCCGGTTCTGTGTCTGAGCTGGGAGAGAAAAGGGGAAAATGCGTCACCCAAAGGAAATTGAAGCCGGTGGGCGCACGTTTGAACCCAGTTTCGGTGGCAGCTTTATGCAGAACGCGGCGCAAATCGCCGAGAGGAGTTGAGCCACCTGACAATGGAGCCTTCCGGCGAGCTTGCACGACGAGAAGGTCGCCATTATCCAAGCCCAACTCGCTTTCTAGCCTATCGACAGCTTCGAATCCAAAATCCTGAAGCCCAAACAGGGGCTGTGCAGAATCAATAACGAATGTCTCCGGCCTGCCTTCAGGGTTATTGATCAGTTCACTCGGCACGAATGCATCCAAAATCGATGAGGTAAATGCTTTGGTTTTTGCAGGATCGCCGTTCCCTTTCAATTTGATGACCTCCACGATGGGGTCACTCAAATTTGTGATTCTGCGGACCAAGTCCACAGGAATCATATAGTCGACGCGGTAAATCTCCATCCCAATCCTTGGATCTGGCTTATCAGAGCCGTATTTGGACATGGCTTCGTAGTAGGTCATTCTGGGAAAGGGGGCATCGTTGAGTGGCTCCGGCATTAACGCTGACCATAGTTGGCGAACTATTCGCTCAATAACGTTCATCACATCTTCGCCACTTGCGAAAGACATCTCGAGATCCAGCTAAATACGCCTGGTAAGGATGAATTCTGAAGTTGCTCGGCCAGGGGTGCTTACTTGAGTGAATTCGGGCTGTCTATCTGCCCGTAAATCTTCGTCTCGGAAGCAATGGGCAAACTGATAGTAGCGCGGGATTCCACCGCTCATAAGGATTTGCTTATATTGTTGTGGACTTTGAGGAAGTGCATAAGCGAAGCCTGGCCTCCGCGTTGGAACGAGAAACTCCCTCGCCCCTTCGGGGGTCGATTTAAAGAGCAACGGAGTCTCTACCTCCATAAAAGGAGGCTCACATTGCTCCAAAGCTTCTCGTAGAACCTTACCTGCCCTCGCCCTAAAAGCTAGGGCATGCCGGATCTCCCTATCATTCCTGATCTGAAGAAACCGCTTGCCAGCAGGAAATACGGTCTCTGGCTTCATAATGATGTCATTAGGGAAATCATTGAGAAGCTGTATATCCTCCAGGGCAATTTCCAGGCTATTTATATTCCCTTCTTTGTCCACTGCTGGTGCTTGCTTTGATTCTTTCGCGCTCGTCACTTTCGTCTGTAGGATCCCTCGCAACACAACGGGGCTGTGCGGTTCTATAGACTTTAATTTATCAAACGCGTCGGTCTTCGAGAAAGAGATGGCCTGCACCGTTTGCGACAACCTTGGATCTGCTAGTCGGACAAAAGACATCTTCTTCCCTATATCAGTCCGTTTGCCTAGGTAACCGTACAGAGTTACATGTTTCCCGGATTCCTGCGCCTCAAGTAGGGTACTGAAATCAGAGATGGCGGTAGGAAATGAAACTAAAGTCATAAAGCTACTAATTAGCGTTTCAAAGGCTTAGGTGGTATAGGTTATGTTAGGAGTGAATTCCGCTCCCTTACTTGATTTTCTTGTAGTTTTCAAGGAATGGATATGAAGAGATATCCTCTGCTCCTAGCCGCTTTGCGGAGTGAGATTGCCTCCTGACGCAGAATTGGCATTGTAGCCGTAGTCGTGGTGCTACATATAGCCCTCGAAGGTAGTTTGATATTCCAATGTAGCTCTGTCTTGCGGAGAGGCCTCGTTGAGAACCTGCGAACGCGACCATCGCGATGGGCGCAACAAGAACCGATGGGACGGGTCAATTGCAGCAATCAACTTTCAAAGAAGCAATTGAGACAGTAGACAATGCATTTTTGGTCCAAATCAGCCGGGAGACACGCAGCGTCTCTTGTCTCCAGCTGCTCCCAAGCGAGAATCCCATGAGGCCGACTTTGAGGTCGGAGAATTGTTTCTCCGACACCAACTTCTTTTCTCGCTTTTTCATCTTTTCGCTTCTTCTTCTTCTTCTTCTTCTTCTTCTTCTTCTCTTCTTCATCCTTCCAAGTTTTGAATACGTGAGTATATTCATTTGACTCCCGACTCTGGCGCATCGCTGCTTATTGACAGTATGCTAATCGGTTTTATCTGCAGATGATGAAAGCCTGGCGTGTTCGCTTTGATTTTGCTTCCCCCTTCTCCGGCATGGAAGCTCTCCCTTTCAGGGCTTAAGTGGCTTTCATGACGGAGCTTGGGGGAGGATGAAAAAGGCGTTCGGCACATCCACCTTGTTACTATAACGGACGCGATGAAGGCATCTCTGATCTAGAATCCTTGGGAGGTGTCCAGTTTACCCTGACGGCGAAAATAGCAGTTTGACCTAGTTTTGACATTCTTTCGCTTGCGTGGATTGCGCCTGATATTCTTGCACACATTGCCTCGAAGCAAAGCACACCTTGTTCTCGTTGCGGCTGTGATGTCTGTTCGCAGTCCCAGCGGCTCGCATCGGTTGCACTTTTCCTCTCACTTTTTCACCCTGTATTTTTGCCCTACTCTGTCCATATTGAAACCGCTACGCTGCGGGGACCCTACGCCCTATGACACCGCACCTTTGTGAAGCAAGCTTCTCACCTCGTATCCATTACAAATCTCAAGCCGTCTCTTCTCAACTTGGCTTCTAGGCTCAAGGCATGCCAAGCCAATGGAGCCTGGCGCTGATAAACCTACGCTGTGATAGCATCTCATGTCAGACCAGAGAGTGACTCGAAAACAAATATAAACTGTTCTCCGTCTCTATAGCTCTCCAATCCATGTATATTCAATTCTCCAAAACGCACATTAACGAATTCCATCCAGACCCTCACTCTTAGCACAATGTCTTCAGACACCAGAGCCCTTCAGCTCCGCCAGCTTCACACCCCAGGGAAGCCCATCGTCTTCACAAACGTCTACGACCCCGTAACAGCGAAGATCGTAGCTTCCAACCCCTCATCAGCAGCCCTCGCCACAGCCAGCTACGCGGTTGCCGCCGTCCACGGCCTAGACGATGACGATCTGGACCTCGACACCAACCTCGCTGCCGTAAAGCCCATTGCCGAAATCGCAATCAAACACGGCAAGCCCTTGACCGTCGACTTGCAAGATGGCTATGGCTCCAAACTCGAAGCCGCCATCGAGGCCATCATCGCCGCCGGCGCATCCGGCTGTAACCTGGAAGATCGAGACAACCAAACAGGCAAACTGTTCCCCCTGGACGTGGCCGTCGACCGGGTACGCCGCACCCTGGCTGCCGCCGCGAAAGCCGGCGTGCCGAATTTTGTTCTCAATGCCCGCACTGACGCCGTTGTATCGAATAACGATCTCGAAGATGCTATTACTCGCGGCAGGGCCTACCTCGACGCCGGCGCAACCACGGCCTTTGTTTGGGGCGGGCCCGGCCGCGGCTTAAGTCGGGACGAAGTCGTCAGATTGTCAAGCGCGTTTGGCGGCAGGCTGAATGTCATTGCGGCTGAAAATGGGCTTACCATCCAGGAGCTGGCCGATATTGGGGTCGCGAGGATAAGTGTCGGCCCACGCCTCTTCCGAAAAGCAATGGCGGCGTTTACAGACTCTGCAAATGAGCTGTTGGGCCAGTACCAAGCCATGAAGTCGCGCGCAGAATAGGCTGCTCTTTATTCGGGCAATTTATACCGTGTGGCTGGATAGCAAAATGTTGCCAGACCTTTAACTAGTTATTATAAAGTGGCAGTAGTCAACGAGTTGTAAATATGTTCATAATCCCAATATTTTTGGTGTCTTTGCCCAAATCGCCAATTTTGATATCAAACACAAAACACATTGAAACAGATGGATGTACAGCATGGCACCAAAAATATATAACAATAAGTAAACATCTCTAGCCTCACTCATGCTCTCCAAGTATCACCTTTTCCAGAGCTTCTCTCTCACCACTTTCTTCGACCAACGATCGGAATACACCCCCTTCTATCGCCATCAACTCTCTCGGCGCCCCAAATTCTACTGCCTTTCCTGCATCCATAACCAGAATTTTATCAAAATCAGCAATGGTGCTTAATCGATGCGCGATAACCAGCAAAGTTGTTGAATTACGTCCAAACTCCGATCGGATCGAACGCTGAATGAGAGCGTCTGTGGCCATGTCCACGGCGGATGTGGCCTCATCGAGAACCATGATCTTGGGCTTGGAAACAATGGCGCGGGCGAGGCACAGGAGTTGGCGTTGGCCCTGTGAAAGGTTGAGGCCGCCTTCAGAGATCGTGGAATTGAGGCTGTTAAATATGTTGATGTTGCTGGTCGTGGTTTGGGTAGATGTGGCCGCTGTATTGGTCGTGTCTACCGTGATGCCATCATTGTTGCTTGTCAGGGTTGGTGTAGTGCAGTCCGATATCCCTGAGGCCTGGAGAGCTGAGTCGGTGGATGAAGTTGGACGTGTGCCTTGAGCGGACACAGTGGAAACAAGTTGCACTCGTTCTAAAGCGTCGCGCAGCTCAGCATCGGAATATTCTTCAAACGGATCCAGATTCGATCTAACAGATCCAGAGAACAGAACTGGATCCTGGGGAATAATAGCCAACCGGCTTCTCAAGTCGTGAAGTTTAATCTTTGAAACATCGATGCCATCAATGAGAATGCTCCCTTCCCATGCTTCCAAAAAGCGGAACAATGCTAGAGTCAACGAGGATTTGCCTGCGCCTGTGCGGCCGACAACACCCACTCGCTGGTTTTTCTCGACCGTAAAAGAGAGCCCTCGTAAAACCGCAGGTAAGTCACGAGCATATCCAACGACTAGATCGGTGACTTCAAGTCGTCCCTCCGTTGGCCACGCAGCCGGCACATCTGATCCCTGTTGGTTCTCAATCGCAATAGCTGAATACTCCAGAACCCGTTCGGTCGCGTTCATGTTTAGTTCAACATTGGTATATCGACGTAAAGCCCACATGATCGATGCTGAATATTGTAGTGCAAAACTGAGTGCGAATCCGGCCAGTGACGCATCAATTCCTTTCAGCGAAACAATAAGTGCCGCGGTCAAAGTAGAGAATACTGCCCCAACCATGTTCATACGGAAACTCAGCCATCTGTTGAATAACCACAGGTTCCAATGCGCCTGGGCATGGTGGTCAATTTTCCAGAGCATGCGCTCAACATAGGTTTGAGCTTTTCCAAAGGCACGGATGGTTGTGAGGCCGATCAGAGAAGAGCCAAATTGTTCGAATACAGGGCTTTTCGCGTTGCTCTCCAGTCTCTTGATCTCTCGAGCTCCAGCAAGGAAGAAATGCGAGTAATAAAGAGAAACGGCCAAGAGAAGCAGCGCGAATAATATAAGCATCGGAGACACTAAGAATCCAGCCGCAATGATACCGAACACGTCAAGGACATTATACAACATGAAACCCAAATCGTATGGCAATTTAGAGTCAATCATGTTAAAATCCGCTGTGAACCGATTGAGGATTCGACCAACCGGAATCGTGTCAAGCCAGCGGAGCGGCGCCCTCAAGACGGTATACGTGAGCTTCTTGAATATGTTTCGTGATGCCTGAATAGCGGCTTTGAGCAGGAATAGATATCGGATCGCACCGACAACGCATGACGCCACGGACAGCCCGAAATATATACCTAAATAGAACCACAGCGAATGACCCGAGTCTGGCTGCCGGGATTTGGTTGCGAGGTGCGACATGACATCCAGGCGGTTGCCAGATGCAGCGTGCTCAGAGGACCGAGTCCAAACACTAACCCACCAGGACTAGATAAGAAACAGTTTTAGCCACGATCATTGAGAACTGGTAATCTAGGATTGAACACTTACACGTCCAACAGTCAATGTGGCATATGAGCAAAATGCAAGGAGCACAAAGAACCAATAAATTACTCCTCCACCACTTTGGAAATATTGTATATAATGGGTAAGCTTGATAGAACCAGTTTCACGTTTTTCTTCTTGTTGGAACTTTTTTGGCACCGACGCGTTAGGGACACTGTCCGTATGACCTTCTGTGATAGCTTGTTGCGACCTGTGAGACAAAATCTTTTGAAGAGTATTTGATTCCTCCACCTCATCTTCAACGGTTTCCACAGCTCCCTCGTTGGATTCGAGGCCTTCGTTTTCCGGCTGTGCAAGAATGTTTGCAAGGCTGCCGGTTCTTCTCAACTCTGCTACTGAGTCTGCGTGCTGAACTACTCCGTGATCCAGATGGACTGAATAGTCAGCTTGGGGTAGACAGAGACCAACGTGGTGAGTGACCAGAATTCGGGTCCTTCCTTGACATAGCTCCCCAATCAAAGCGTGGGTATGAAGATGGCGTCCAGTATGGGCATCCAGCGCGCTAAAGAGATCATCCATAATGAGGATGCCAGCCCGCGAATATAAGGCTCTGGCAAAGGAGACGCGCCACTTTTGCCCGCCACTGAGATTGATTCCATTCGCACCAATGTCTGTCAGTTCTCCATCAGGCAACATCTCAAAATCTTTCTCAAGGGCGCAAGCAAATAACACCTTGTTGTATCGGTCAATATCAAATGGTAATCCGAACAAGATGTTATCTTTAATCGACGCATTTTCAATCCAAGGCACCTGGGATACATAAGCAATAGCGGAATCAATAATCCAATTTGCTTTCGTAGCTTGGTCGTCAAATCTCTCTTCAAGGGGGGGAGCCACGGGAACGCGAACTATACCCTCGATAATATCGACTTCGCCGATAATGGCAGCAAGAAGCAAACTTTTACCAGATCCTGTTTTCCCGGATATGACACTCAGGCCCTTTGAAGGAAACGTAAAGTTGAGATCTTTAAGCATAAACCGCTCCTTGTCTTCGTCCACTTCTTCAGCGGGCCAGGCCACTGTTGCTTTTTCAAAGGCGAGGTGGTCCGCAGGGGTGGTGATTTGAATCCGTTCCGCAGAGTTTAAGTATTTCTCCACGCGCTCCGCGCTGATCCACGCCTCGACGAAATCAGCTATTAATTCAGGGAGGATTGCTAAAGCAAATTCAAGTGATGAAAATATGGCCATGGTGGTAAAGGCGACCGAGGCAGAGAGTCCGCCGTGTAGAAGAGAGTATGTACCAAGAGAAACCGCGGATAACATGACTGGGCCAAGGATCCAAATGGATATGAGGATCGTATCGTATACAAAGGCCATCCACTGTGCATGTAATTCTGTGTTCCTGATATCGAAGATTTTCCGCTCCCACTGAGTTTCTAAAGCCGAAAATTTAATCTGTCTGATCCCCTGAAGAGCCTCTGTAATAACAGCCATTTTCTGATCCCGAAATTTCATTATAGAGGTCTGAGCTGCCGAGTACCTTTTAGCGGTTATAATGTTGAGAGGAACAATGATAAGGGCTACTAGCAGCCCGGCGCTAAGACTCTGCCAACCGATAAGGCGAATCAGGAATAAAAAGCCGACAGTAAGTTTTATAATAGTCTCGGGAATGATACAGTTGAAGGCACCAAAATCCGAAATTCGTTTGGCATCAATAGCGATAAGGTTAATTGTACCCTGACGAGAATTGTGGCCAAGATCCTCCTCGTCAGCGTCCTCGTCTCCAACCTTGACCTTCGCGGTTGAGCTCTCGTCGCCGGAATTCTGGGATCCTTTCACATCTTTTCGACGAAGAGATTTGGCGAAAACAACGGCGGATATTTGTTCATAGACCGGAATGGCGAGTCTATGATATACCACCCAAAACAGCCAGGATTCGAGTATACTTTCAATAGCAATTGACGCACCCAGAGCGAAGACCCATAGCCATAATACCGCCAGATTGAAAGAGCCGGAAGACCTCGCCTCCAAGCTTTGTAGGATTCCTAGGAGGGTAACTTGCGGAGCGAAGCTGATCACAGCACTGATAGAAGAGAGGGCTAGCTGTATAAGCAGGGGAGAAGCATATTCACGCGCCAATGTCCTCCACAACTTTTCCCCTTTCCTTTTAGATTTTTCAAAGGATTCAAGCAAGGACCTCGAACGAGTAGCATAATCCAACTCCGGGAGGTCGTCGATCCCCAGACCCTGATTTTTGGTGGCGAATCGCAGTAAAGACCCAGACCAGGCGAATGAAATTTTCCCGAGAAACGACGTAGTATGCTGACGATCCACAATCTTGCCGTTTCTGAAAACATCGGGGCGACGTGGTATAAGAAGAGATGTGCAGCAGGCTAGAAGCGCGGCTAAGAGCTCAATCATGACGAGGATATCGAAAACGGTCTTGAGAGACGGGGATTTGATCCATGAGCCGATGAGGCCAACCTGAGCACAGGTTATAATGACGAATATACCGCATGAAGTAGCACTGAAAAGGCCCAACGAAAACCGTTTTCGAGAGGAGGGCTCAGTAAAGAAAGAGACTGCTTGAACAGAGAGAAGGGCCTATAGTAGGATTCCGTCAGCTATTTATGCATAGGCGGAGAGAATGAAGTGTTGTGGTGATAAAGGAAAGGATCCCGTCCTACCCAGATTGCAAAATGGAGCCATTGTTCAATGGGTCCTGGGTAAGCGGCGGCTGAATGGCCAGCAGTTGTGAGGACAGCCAGCGCAAGCGACACCAGCAAGCCCACTAGGGACAATATCGTGATTGAAGAGTGTTGGAGTGTCGCGGAGAAAGCTCTGGCTGATTCTTCAGTTGCGGATCCATCCTGGTCATGATACAGCTCTTGCAAGAACTGATAGACGCTGCCGCGCTTTTGTAGCTGCCATCGGCCCCAAATCGACTTAACAGCAGGAATGCTAGAAGCGGCGACAAGCGCAACAGCAGCAATGCCGATTGCCAACGACGACCTTGGAGAACCTTCCATGGTATCCTCAGTTGCTCTCTTTTCTTGGATTAGCACAGGGTATCTGGCGGGATCCAGACATCGCCCGTTGATTCTAGCTGCGTAGATGTCGCCGGAGCGTAAGGCGAAGTGTATTGATAGTTAAGGAACTGCGAGCAGCCCAGGTTGGCAAGCCTTGGGGGGGCGAGTGTACTGGTTGCAAGCGAAAATGATGAACTGTGACTGATTGAGGCAAACAACGGGCCTGAAAATTGAAAAATGTGCTTCACAGCCAGCTGCCAGGTCTTCAGCTCTCCACGAGAGCTCCGGCAACGCACAAAATGTTCCCTGCACCGTTCCCGCCACCGATCACCTCAGTGAGTCGATCCATGCTTGCTTTTGATCGGAGTCCCAATGGAGGAAAACCAGTTCAGATCCGGACCACATTCTCGCCATAGCTCCAAAGTCAATCCGTGACTCGACTCTGACCTCGCAATCAGCGCGTTCGTGGGAAAACCAACTGATACCGCAGGGTAGCATCGGGGGCGGGGAAGACGCTTCAGGCATTTCTTACGGCCGGCGGGCCTAACCAGCGCCATCACGAGCCCGGACTTGTTATTATTAATTAATGATGAGTTGAACTCCTCCATCCCCGGTGTTGGACTCGAGCCAACAGGAGGGCGCCGTCCCGTTGTCTCGGATAGCCGTCGGGGATTTCAACACTGAATTTTGCATCTCGCCTCCACTTTTATGCGCGTCTAAAAGCTCCAACCCTGCCATTGATGACTCGATGGATGCCGAAGCCTCAATGATCAGGACACATGGATCTCATTAAGCTGAAGAACTACGGGAGACAGAGGTAACAGAGCATGCATTCTAACATCAAGGCGGCTAAAGGACCACGACCTCAGACTCATCAATATCCAGAGCAGATACCAACCGTTCTGTGCATGGCGGTGGCCTCCCAGAATCTCGATCACCACCAGCAACTTGTGCCAGCCGATTTCGGGCCCAGGATGAAGGGGGTTTCCCTTCACGAATCCCCTGCCATTTCACAGAGGACGGAACGAGCGGCCACTGACGCGATGCAGAATTTTTTTCGTCTGCTCGTATCATTCATGCGGGATGCGAATTGGGTCATCCACTAACTCGAATTGTTTCCCCCCTCTGGTTGCTCAGATGACCAAGTTCGCTCTCACCCACCTTGCTCAGTTAATCTGATTTCCAGTGATACAAGAGACTCATGGAGCAGTGACTCACTGCGCTTGGCATGCGCATTGCAACGGTCAAGCTTTCTGACGCCCATGGCCGGTCTTCCCAGGCGGGGACCAGCGATCAAGTCTAGGCGAGGACCTTGACAAGAGATCCAATAGGAGACGGCATCTTAGTTGAGAACAGGTCTCCAACCTCTGCGTCCTACGAACTTTTCAACTCCTTCGTCCTCCAAAACATCACGCCCCAGACGCCCTGTGACAACACTCCGCTCAACCTCTGGCCCACGCACGAAAAACGGCTCGAACCCTGACTGTCGAACCGCCCCCTTGGAATCTTCAGCTTGCTTCCTCTCCCAAAGATATTTCCCAGTCGAAGCATCAAAACGGCGCGCAAACCCCGAATTCACACGGTCGAGCGATAGATACCACCTTCTCTGATGGATCGACGAAATTGAATTGGTTGCACCAGGGTAAGCGTTGGTAATTCGAACCTTTTCGTCCTCTCCGTCGGAATGGTTTGCAAAATTGTTTCCGCGAGGAGTTGTTCTATTGAATGGCTCCTCATCGTTCTCACCAGAGGAAGGCGGCGTAGAAGTCGTTGTTCTAACACGCGAAGCGGCAATCCGCCTTTGTCTAACCGGCTTCTTGGGCTGCTCGGAGGCATCGTTATCTGTGGTGAGTCGTAGAGTCACTGTGTACCCCGGAGGCAAGCGGGTTCCTTGTAGCCTTAAGCGAATTTTTCGCTTCATATTTTTCCACATCAGCTCTGCAGGTTATCGCAGCAAAGTATCCTTACCTGTTGAAAAGCCTGCTTCAACTTGTCACTCTCCGACATATCGACTTCGTCAATGACGGAGGATATATCGCTGGAATTTGAGTGAGAACAGTCCGTTTCAACTTGCTCCTTCGGCGTGTAGTATGGAAGTATAGAATACTCTCCCGTATCCCAGATTATCATGCTCCCAGAACTTGCCGATGCCGATTCTATCAAATGGTTCTAAACGATTTAGAAAAGAGCAGCTTCACGCGGGGTTCGTCATCCCTACCCAAAGATTATGAACTCTTGTCTCCGTGGCGTTTCGATTCAATCTCTTGCTATTTGGATTACCCGGTAGCCCATACATGATCGCGAAACTCAACGAGCTCGTCTCCGAGAACTGGAGGCGCAGGTCATAATGTGGGCCCGCGACAGGATGGTCGTGCTGATGGATCACAAAATGTCTACCATGCGGATGCTGATTTCGTTGATAAAGCTCAATCCATTCCGAATGTCGAAGACGGGGCACTAGAGGCACCCGGTCTCGAGTCGCGGCGCGAAGGCGGGAGGAAAACACTTGCAGGTGGTCATCTATGCGAGCCTCACCGGCTTCAATTGCAGCGAGGAGAGGGCTTGACGCTGCGGTTGGCAAGCTTCTAGGCTCCGCTTGCGCGCTTGCTGGAGAGCTATGGCGGCGTCGTTTTCGGGGAGGGGAGACAGGCGCGTTAAGGGATGCTGGGGCAGCTATGGACCATTCTCGGTTTTGTGGCTTGATAAATGGGTTCTCTATCGTCTGAGATTCTCGTTTCTGCACCATAGTTAGTCCCATCACCAAGCTCAATATGCAAATAGCTCAGTGGACATCTTTTAGTTGACTGCAGGGTCCACCAAGATCCAATTGACCAGTTCGTTCTGGGTTCTCATTCGACAGCTTATCGGAAGAATGGCAGTGATAAGCGCAGTTCCGCCTCCTGCTCTGGCTTGGTTAGGTTCAGAATCTCAAGTGAACTCGTGTTGAAAAAGCTGTGGTTTGTGCATGGATCGGCAGATAATGTCACTCGGGATGACGTTGGTGGTTGAGCTAAAATCAACGAGATCTTGAGAACACACACAGACACAGACATACAAACGAAAGCAACAAGCAATCGGGGCCTCTGCTCTAGAGTCTTGCAAACTTCAATCTTTCAGAAGTATATCACGTCTGATGTAGAAAGATATAGGTGGTGTTTCGGGCTTAGGGCGAAAAGTTCAATTCATATCAAATCCCACAGCAATCCCATTGGGAATCACTAATGCCAAAAATCAGCCAGTTACTATTCAATAAACTGAATCAGTTGCCATGGTTGAAAAGCAGCATTCAATATGCCAATCGCTTTCTTCCATGTTTTAATCGTTGGAGTTCGCCTTGCTGTAGAACTCTAACCCTACGTCCCCGATATCCCGGCCTTGTAGTCCCCGTAGGCTGGTACTAATCGCCGATTAACTTACGGCATATCCTGCGAGGGAACCTTCTAGCGGCGATTTTGAAATGGGAATCAACTAGAACTTCAGCTGCACTCTGCAGATGCTGCAAGGATCCAAATTCCATCAATCAGTACCGCTTTCAGAGCCATGTTCACGCCATTCGAAACCTCGCTTGGGGCTTTGCTCCTGTATCAAGGCTCCTCGGGCCTTCTCCAGCATAATGGCAGGGTCTTTGGCATATCAAGTTTGTTGTCAGGGTGCATGGGACGTCCCGGCTTGGAAAATATCCCGATCGTGCTAGGAATGGCGTCGAGTATCGTGCCGGTGTCCTTGATCGCCCCATCGTTGCTCCCATCATATCCACCTCTACCAGCTGGACTGGCACCTGCACTCGGGGTAGCAGCGACAGGTTTCCTGGTCGGGTGGGGAACGAAGGTGAGGATCTTATAATCACGGAACCTGAGGCATTGCAGGATCTTGTTGGCTAACCCGCATTTGCTTTCTGTTCCTCCGCGCAGAACGACAATGGATGCACATCTGGCCACATGCTCTGTGGGCTTTCCCGGCTCTCTCCGCGCTCCATCATCGCAACGGGTATATTCTTCGCCACGGCCCTCATCACTGCCAACTCGACTGTTGGAACCCCGATTCCCGCATGCCCGGGTGGTCAGCCATGCTATATGCCCTCTTACCCGTCCAATCGTGAGGTTGGATTCATGACCGCCGCCGTGGTCCTCGCGCAAATCGTCAATACTCTCCTGGTTCCCCGGTTTTTCCGCCGCGATGAGAGGTCCGCAACTATATATAGCTACATCGCGGGATTGCAATTTGGCTTGGGTCTCTTGATCAGCGGCATGGCCAATCCCGCCAAAGTCCTCGGATTCTTTAGCTGGCGTGATCTGTCGCGCTTCGATCCCTCCCTTGCACTCGTGATGCTCTTCGCCGTGGGGCCGAATCTTTGGTCGTATCTCAGAATGAAGCAGAAATATGGAAATGAGGAAGGAAAGAAACCACCTACCTTGGCCCAGTACTTCCAGTTACCGACAAAGACGGTGAAGGACATTGACTGGAGGTTCGTGCTGGGTGCAATGGCATTTGGTGTTGGTTGGGGACTGTGTGGCGTCTGTCCGGGGCCTGGACTGTTGAGATCCTTGTTACAGCCAGCATGGGGAGCTTTGTGGCTGGGTGGCTTTGGGTTAGGCAGCTCCCTAGGTTTGTGAGACAGGCATCTCTACATGATCAAGGAAATATACACAGATCACAGGTAGGAGGGTTGTGGAGTGTGCTACCCAATTTGTAGGTCATACAATATTCACATTTTCCTTATCAGGTTGTATAAAAGAGCGCCCATCAGTTAGAAAAGAAAAAAGGTCTATCTAGGCATGGCCTAGTAAGCACTTGAGAAATTCAGACCTGTTTATTAGTGGAGTGTTTCATCCATCTCCTGTATTCCATTCCGGCTCCGATGCTAGAGGCATGTTTGTTTAACTGATGGGTATCATAGCTAGAAAACAACACGAAAATAAACTGTAATATACGGAGTATAAGGGGTACATCTAATGCCAGAAAGATCAAATCTTTGATCGATGAGATAGAACGCAATACCTCGAAATTATGTCGGAGTCCGAAACATGTCAATACCCCTATTGCCGAGAAAGTGGGAAGGCCGCATTACATCCTTCAAGTATGAGATGATATTAGCTTCGACATTCGCGATAATGGAAAACATTTCGAGTCCAGACGTCTCCCGTCTGCAGAATAGCAAGAAGTTTAAAGACGTCGAAGAAAGCTTACAGCTCCGTTTTACTTCTCTCTCCCTTCCTACTCGATGGAAGTGTATCTGTCTCCAGACATTCCTCCAAATCCAACCATTCCGCCACGAAAGCCGTAATAAGCGTTCCCCAATCTTCCACAGTGTCTGGGTGTAAGTGCTCTGCATCATCTTCAATGCGATGCCAAACGTCAGGAAACGGTGACGGGATTATATGTAGAATATCGACGCCACGTTTCATAAACGGCACGTGGTCGTCTTCAATGCCAAACGGCGAAAACACATCATCGGCATGCTTTAAGCGATCGGGAAACCAAGGTTTCACGGGCTGAGGTTTTTTCTTACTGCCATTCTTTTGAGGTTGTTTCGCAGACTTGAACAAGCCGAGTTTACGCAACCGTGATTCCAAAACAGCCATGTGCTGGTACGCCCAATGAGTTGTTTTGAAATGAGAAGGCACCGTTGGATCTTTTGCTCCGAGCAGATCAAGCAGCACGAACAGCCTTATGGCTTCCAAAGGGTTCTTATAAGTCGATAGGGCAGGATGTGGTGTTCTTTCCAAGTGCTCAGCTAAGGAGCGAGCGCCATACAGCGAGTCTGTCTCGCTCCATTGACCAAAAGCCTCTTCCCCATCGAGAAGAAAGATTTGTATTCCTTGGTAATCGTATAGGCCTAGCTCATAGGCCGGATCTTCTTTCAGCACCTCCCATTTCTTTGTCAATGCGGCATCGATGCTTCGTATTGCGTGTAGTATTATCGCGCAAGGGGCGGCACTGTCGGTAGCTCCGATAAAGCCATCCGGCTTAAACTTGCTGTCGTAATGTGCCACCACGGTCAATCTGCCCACGTTCCCCGGCTGGACGTTTGGAGGATCTCGGGACGCGATCAAGTTCACAAACGGGATCTCTTTATTTCCTGTCACCGGCGTCTTGGACGTGGAGTTTTGGAACTCAATGTTCCAATTAGGTAGGGTTGTCTCGAAGAACTTCACAAAATGCTCAAGAACGGCACGCGAGCCGGGGCTCCCGGGGACGCGAGGCCGAAGAATGGGCGCAAGAAGAGTGCCTTTGTGAATATCAAAATCGTTACCGGGGCGGGGTAGGCTCCTGAGGCTGTCGTCGGACAAAGGTGTGTATGCTTGGGCGATCGGGGTGAAGCCAAAAATCCAGATCAGGGGTAGACACCACGACAGGACCCAACACGCTCGACTGTTCGGTGTCATCGTGAACGAACGATAATTTTGAATATTGTCATACCGAGATCACCGATGACAATATCCCCAAGGCTCACGGTCGGCGTGCTGGCAGCCGTCTGGACTAGTTAATGGCTTGTCCCACCCTTTGTCTCAGGGCTCAGGCAGCGGCTATTCCGCCAGTCAAATCCTGTGCAGCGGCTAATTCCATCACGTGCGCCCTTGCGAGAGCTTCAATTGAGTTTGATCGAACGAACTGCGAAAGAAACAGCCGATTTGGACGCTGAGCAGCGGTTTATTACTCCCACGGATTCAGAGGGGTTTTGCTTGATCCTGGAGAATGATTTGTATCAGAGATCGTGCCTCTAGCTAATCTGACTGCTTGCTCCCCTCTCCCGAACGATGAATGCGCCCTTCCTTTACCTCGGGCCATTGAGCAGGTCTCTTACACGATGTGCGCAGAGAAATGGATACGGCAAGCTATGTATCCGGAGCAAGGCGACCGACAGCGGATCTTCTCAAAGAATACCTCTGAACCGCTCAAGTGGTACCGGTTCCTCTCGTAGCGTTCTCCGGAATCCTGTTCGGAATGCACCTTCTCGGCCGCAACCCAACCTTGCAAGAGGTCAGTGCCACTCACCAGGTCGTCTCTGTGAATCCGAGCTAATGATTTCGCATCTAGCCCGTGCAAGGCCCCAACATGTCGTTATATATCATGCTGGAAGCGGGAAGATTGCCTTTATTGGAATGATGCGCCTGTCTACAATCCTCATCTTTGTCGTTTCATGTACCGTAGTTGCTCCCGCTTTCTACGCAGCAGATTACCCCTGGTATATACCACCAGCCAGTAAGTACTGACCGCTGCTTCTCTGTGGGAGTTTGAGCTAATTGGAATGTGATAGTCATTGCTGCTGGTGCTATCCCCATGCTCTTCGTCTCCTACACAGCTGCTCCCTTGGTAAACCTCGTCTCCTTGGCATTGCCGGCCTTTGCGCAACAGTCTAGGCAACATATGCTTTGGGATTTACAAAACATTCCACGAACAGCAACGTTGACTATCGAGACTATGAAATTCAATTTCTACCCTCGACGAACACAGGTCGCAATTTCGGACCTAGTACCTGCAAAATCATTACTGCGACCAGTGAGCTTTCTCAATACTAATCCACAACCGCAACCGTGGTGGAAAGGCGGGAACAGCGTTTATTTTTATGCACCGGAGAAAAACAGACCAGCTAAATCAACTCTTAAATTCTTCCCAGAGGTGTGGGAAGAAGTTTTTTCCAAGATCAAGCAAAATGGCCATTTAACGAAGAACACATAAATTTGATCTGTTCAGGCCTTATATACCCTATTGTAGTTTTACAAACTTGGACTGTTCTGGAACAGACAATCAAAATCTTCCTCTCTCTATGTGATAAGTGTTGTGCAACACCCTCCCTTTTCTGGCTTCATCCAACAGGGGGGTTCTTTCAGAGTACAGCAAATATCAACACATTCCACACCATATCCAGTGAGGCAATGCCTTGTATGCTGAACTAAATACAATCACGTGTAATACAGTGTATTCACGTCACTTTGTGTTTGTTTTGTTCTCTTTAAATTCACTCTCCGCGCCTCTTCACAACTTCTTTTCACACCTCCATCCTCAGCAATTTTTAAACCCAGCTTCACCTCTGGCTCTTTTCTGCTACATAACCATTTTCAGATCTTCTTAACTCGCAATATCTCGTCTAAATTCACACTTTCGTCCCCGCATTTCTAGTTTCCTTTCAGTCCACCAATACACGATACGATTTCTTCCTGTTGTCGCCATGGATTCATTGACTGCCAGTGAACAGCGTATCTTCAGCAATGGCATGATCTGTGCTGTTGAAGGCCTAAACAATATCAAGGTAAGTGTGTTGTCTAGAGTATAAATTGGCTTCTTTTTTTTCTCCTTTTCCCTTTTATCAGAATACCCAAATCCTCAGTTCTTATATTATTTTTGGCCTTCGACCGGCAAAACTAATCTTTGGTCTTGCAAATCTTTAATAGGTTGATTACGAAAAACTTGCTGCTATGGCAGGACTCAAGAATGCGGCGGTGGCATCGGTCCTTTTTAACAAAGCGAAGCGCAAGCTTGTCGCCATTCAAGCCAACGGTGCTAGCCCTGCGAAAAATGTGAGTAATATCTTTTGCAGTCTACCAGCCACTCGCTGATGTTTTGAAAGGCCGCCAGCCCTGAAAAAGTGACCAAACGTACTACCGCTCGCAAGAATACTGGCAAAACTAAAGTCAAGGCTGTTGAAGATCCCTCTGTTGCTGCTTACCCCATTTCTCCTGGTTCCACCGAGACTGTGACAGCTGAAGAAGCCCCCGCGAAAAAACGCGGGAAACGTGCTGCTACCGCTAAGAAGGTTAAGGCTGAAGAAGTCAATCCTAAGATTGAGGACGAACCGATTGATCTCATGTAAGGATCCTATCATGTTAAACACCACACATCCAGGAATACACTAACAGTCCGAAGCAATGATTCCATCAAGCTTGAGGATGGTGAAGGGTACGACGGGATGCTTGGCAGCTTTGGAGAAAGTGTTATTGACGCTACCGTGTATACCGCTGCTGGGGCACCTCTCAAGAATGAGCTTCTTGAATGAATTGGATGAGTTTGGCATGCAATACGTTTGGAATCTGTTGGTTTTCAAGGATCGATTTTGCCTGCGATGGAGCTATTGGGCCTGCTTACCTACCACCGCGAAATCAGCCCTTCTTTTGGCCACGAAAAACCCAGTGAGAGGAGGTCTAGCACGTTTTCATCAACTAAAACATTGATTCTCCCTAGGTTGCCGTCAATTGTCTTGCTTGGGTGCTCTTGGGCTGTTTTCCGTGTTTGGGGCGTTGGACTAAGGCCGTCTATCTTGGGGAGGCTATTTCACATTTTCATGATGTTTTGCATGTCGATAGGTTCCGACACAGTAGCTCGAGGTTAAGGCTAGAGGAATGAGCTCACATGTTTCTATACTTTAACTCTTTTCCGCTTTCCTAGACCTTTCAAGATATCAAAGTATCCACCTCGGCTCGATTAAAGTATCAAGGCAAGGGAAAACGAAATGCAAGGAGCTGCAATTAGACTATGTTGCATCCTCTGGCAATACAGGTGATTATCCCAAAGGAAAGTTCATTTTTGGACTGCTAATTCAAGAACATAGGGATAAGACTTTCTGTTCTTGAGGCGAATGGACACTGTACTCAGTTTGTGCTGAAGTCTCATGTACAAGTATGACGTTGGGTGCAGTCCAAAAGACCGATGTGGATTGTGGCTTTCAACTGCAGTTATAATAGTGGCCTCCTGTGATCCGATGGTCTTCTCGAGTAGCGACATTCAATGGTGCCATTTTATCCAGCATGACATGCCTCCTGTCTGATCTGGAATTTACCATAAGTCAAGTAATAAAAAAAACCCCAAGATTTATGATACTACAAGGCAAAAAAGAGATGCCCACACTCAGAGTCGAACTGAGGATCTCATCATTACTAGTGATGCGCTTTACCAACTAAGCCATATGGGCTCTTGGCTGGGTACTCTAAAAGTACCAGCTCCTAAGTTCTTATAAATCTAAATTACCAGTTTATTACAGTATTGTGTGTATGGATTTGTATATTACTAGGGCTCAAACCTTCCCGCCTTTATGCCATTGCAGCGAACCCATTGGCGGTTGCTGTTCGAGGTCATCCGTCCAAAAGCAAGAACACTTATGGCTAAGGTCTTTCAAATGCCTCGCGAAACTAAGAGAGCATGGAGACTCCCTGCTCTCCTTGAGAGAATGGCTTCTGCCTATCACGTTAATGCGAACGAGGGCAGTGTGGGCAGCCCCGCTATACCCCTCATCTAAGCAAAATGAAAAGGTTTTAAACCATCGGCCCATATGGCTTAGTTGGTAAAGCGCATCACTAGTAATGATGAGATCCTCAGTTCGACTCTGAGTGTGGGCATCTCTTTTTTGCTAACCGTTCTCATCAGAGCTGGCCGTTGATGCTTCCTACAGAGTACCTGCTTCATGCTCCGTCAACCCCTGATTCCCGTCTTCTCCCCTCCAAATCTCCACGCTTATTTATCATAACCAGGCGAATTTTGAATCATTTTGTTCTTGCTTGAAAAGTTGAGGAAACCCGAGTCTTTCAATATATGTATGACCAAGTAGTAAAGCAAGCACAGGAGCTGCCATCTATTTTCCCACCAGAGAGTAGGATTTGGGGTATGAGGTTATTTAAGTAGCCAAGGAGTCCATTGCTCCCCTCCACCCCACTTCCACCACTGAACAAACAACTTCACAATGGCAGCAACAGGCACTCCCGCTCAACAGACAGAAGAGACACCTTGGCATGCTGCATTGCCAGCTCCAAAGCTCAAGGCCAATACTATCTCCCGCACGGAAGTAATCCAATGGCTCCCTAGCAAACCCGCACCGCTAGACTTCGTGCTGGTTGATGTGCGCCGAGCAGACCACGAGGTATGGATACACACACATGTTCTCAAAAAGGAGTTTAAAAAAAAAGAAGCGGCTAGGTTGAGACCTAATTCAATCATCGCCACGATCTCGTAGCAAGGCTTGTTGTTTGTTGCTGACTTCGCTCAATATGCGTGCAGGGAGGCACCATTTCGGGGTCGATCAACCTCCCCGCGCAAAGCTTCTACCCCTCCATCCCCACGGTTTATGCCATCTTTAAGCAGGCGAATGTGAAGAAGGTGATTTTCTACTGCGGTGTGGTCTCTTTCTCCCTCCCATCTTTGTGGTCGAGCCGGCCCTGATGAGTATCATAGGGTCATCAAAGGGCCGCGGAACCCGTGCTGGGGGATGGTTGGCTGACTACCTCGCGGAGCACGACTCCACGGGGATGCAGAGTTTGGTCCTGGAAGGTGGGATCAAGGGCTGGGTGACGGCAGGGGAAGAGTATGTCAAGTATGTAGATGGTTACGACGAGGCGGTCTGGAAGAAGTTGGGGGTGCTTTAGCGAAATCTTTGAAGCCATAGCCGGTGGAGGATGGGAGGAGTAGAGGATACATATGTATCTATAATTCTCTAGTCTAAGTCTGTCTCCGGAAGAAAATATTCAAACACTGGGATAACTGTGTCCCAACGACAGCCGCCGTAGATAGTTATACACGGGGAAGGGTATAATTATTAAACAAGTAAAAAAGAAAATCCAGTTGCCGGAATCTGTGGTTCGAAGCTAACAACAACATAACCACCCATCTAGGTACCAAATAAAAGCAAGATCCATCTCGAAATAGTACTGTTTCAAATCCGGGATGCATTGAAAATTCCACTCACATGTTCTCAATCGCTTTTAGCAAAACTTCTATGCCTCTTTCACCGGAAGCACTGGGATTCTCTGCACCATCTTCCTTGAGAATCCATGCAACATCGCTCCACCAACCGAGCCCAACAAGCCCACTTCCCTTTTTCCTCTCAACACTGTCTTTCAATCGACTGGTATGCTCCCATTGTTTGGCAGCAACCTCTGCCCTTTCGACAACTTTGCTAGGGATACCGCACATCGACGCGCAGTGCATGCCAAAACTTCCTTCAGCAACTCCGTTTTCCAATTTGTATAAAAACGTAACTCGTCTATCCTCCTCGTCTACACGGATACGCATACGGCGAGGAGCGATTTCTGGATGTCCTTCAAATTCGGCAGCGAGCGAGTGGTAGTGGGTCGCAAAGAAACCCAGTGCGCCAATATGCGTTGCAACATGATGCAATACAGCCTGAGCAACTGCAACCCCATCGTAGGAGCTAGTTCCACGACCAAGCTCGTCCAAAATCACAAGCGAACGCGATGTTGCTTCGGACAAAATCTTCTTGGTTTCCGACAGTTCAACAAAGAAAGTTGACTGTGCACCGAAGATGTTGTCGTTTGCGCCAAGTCGTGACATGATTCGATCAACGGGCGTCAGTCGAGCTGATGCGCATGGCACATAGCAGCCAATCTGGGCCATGATAACGGCAGTACACGTCTAATATCAAGGTTGTTAGTTTAATCAAACGACAAGGAAGGTCAGACTGAGGGTATATCTACCATTCGCAGAACAGTTGATTTTCCAGCTGCATTAGCACCGGTTAGAAGATTGATGCTTGAAGTATCCCCACCCAACTTCACGTCGTTCGGGATGAAATCCCCCGAGGAGAGCATGCAGGGATGGCGGAGTTCTTGAAATTCAAGGACGCTACGCTCATCGTCGACAAAAACTGGACGGCAACTCGGGTAGCCAATAGCTGCGGATGCCTTTGCTAAACCAATCAAGCAGTCGAGTTGGGAAATTATCTTCACTGCCGCAAGCCAAGTTGGATAATGTTCATCAAAACGAGCATAGAATCGACCGGTCACCTCTTTGACGATTTGGCTGTGCATTTCTTGCGCTTCTTGAAGCTTTCTGATAAGACCACGGAGTTCAGGGAAATAATATCTCTTCACTTGCTTTGTGGCGGACATTTGATCCCAGCTTTTTGGAATATTCTTCACCTTGATCGGCACCTCAAGTTGATAGATTTCTTTGCCGTTATCGCGGTATACTATTGCGGAGCAATTCAGTTCCCTGCGACACCGTTTCAAAAGCTGGTTTAGGTCACCCTCGAGGCTCTCAATGCGCTCATTAGACGCATCAAAATCTTCCTCCACTCCTGGCTGTGGAATAAAAGTTCCGCTATCTTTGGCTTTCACGCGGTCGAACGCAGTCTCCCAATACTGCAATAAGCTGGTCAGATCGGGCATGGAAGAAATGAGCTGTCCAATGACCCCATCGCCAGAGCCGGTCTGCTTCACGAGACCCATCGTATAGTCTATTTGCTCAAATCCTTCGAGGACACGAACGAAATCCTGACATTTGCAGGTTCCGGCATGGACGCGGGAAATCAAGCGCTCGAGGTCTGGCATCTTCGTCAGCTGGGATGAGAACTGATCTCGTATACTGCTGTCCGCGTTCAACGCCTCAACAGCGTCAAGTCTAGCATTAATCTGCCTTGAATCCATCAGTGGGTGGCAAACCCATTGTTTAAACAACCGCTTCCCAAACGGTGTGATACAACGGTTGAGCAATTGGAATAATGTTCCGTGCTGACCGCCATCAAAAGAGTTTGCGAAGATTTCGAGGTTAATAAGGGTCTGTCCGTCTAGCACAAGGCTGGAAGCCTTCCTGATTGGATCGTACCAAGTGAAATTGCCAATGGTAATGAGGTCTCGCTCAATCTTTAACATCCGAAGGTACTGGATTAGGGCACCGAATGATGAAATCACTAGGTCTTTATCTCGAACTTGTTGTAGAACTTCAGGCCATGCCTCAATATTGTCCTGATCCATAGAAACGAAATATTCACCTGCCTCAAGCTCTCGACGAGTGGTAGATGCATCCCAAAATTCGCGACCCGGCTTTAGATGATTCCAAATGGTTGTTGGGTTCGTGTTATTTTTCAAAATTCGGAGAGCTTTGGGTGACATGAAACCTTTCTCGAGTAGAAGCTCTTGCGGTCGGGTCTGGGCCACCAGAGTTTCGAATTTTGTCATATCAATATCGTCAACAAACTCGGTTAGAAAGAATTGCCCCGTGGCCGTATCGACAAAGCTAACCCCAAAAGCCGGGAGATCGTCTACCAAGGCTTCTTTGATGGAAACACAATACGTTGACATGTCGTCTTGAAGCATGGCACCGTCCACAAGTGTGCCAGCTGTGAGGACACAGCTCAATTCTCGCTTGATGATTTTATCACCCTTTTTCTTGTCACCCCTTTCTCTCATTTCTTTTCCCAGTGCAGACTCTGACTGGTCGACCCGCGCGATTTTGAACCCTTTGGCAACGAATTGATTCGCCCAGTGCTCTAAGCTCGACTCTGGTACCCCTACCATCCGCATATTAACTCGGTCAGTAAGTTTGAGATCAAACAACTGGTGTCCAATGGTGGCGTCGTTCTCGTAAAGTTCATAAAACTTCCCCTTTTTAAAGAAAACAACAGTGTCCCAAAACTTTTGTTTGATTTCCCAGTACTGTTTCTCGAATGGAGAAAATTTTGTCCACGCGAGTGGAGGGATATACAAAGTCCGCGGGTCATAGTCAGGGTGACCGGGAGGGTTCTTTTCTATGTCAAGTATGTTTGCAAGCCATGGATACCGCTTTTCCGGCTCTGTCATGTGGGCTTTCTCCTTTCTCTTTTCTAACGATTTGGATGAAGGTGAGGGCCGGGCTAATGCTGTTCGAGGCTCGCGAGACTCGATATCAGCCGGATTATAGGTCCATTTCTGAGTAGTTCCAGAGCCGACATTGGGGATATCTAGAACCGGTTCCTCGTCACGTGGTGAAGACATAGGGGCTGACTTGGTAGCCAGGTTGTTGGATGACCGCTTGCGTTTCCTAGACGAGCCAGCTTCGTCCTCGGATTCATCAGGGACGATGAAATCATCTAGGTCTGGAACAGTTAGCCTTTGTAACATGTCATGTTCTCACCATTTCGGTGCAGCTCACCATCGTCGAAAAAATCAGTATTGCCCAATTGGAACTCGTCCTCATCTTCTGACACTGCAATTGTTTTTCTCTTCTTAGTTGCTCGTCCAGTCACTAGTCGTCTCGAGGTAGGTTTAACAATTTCATCATCCTCCGACTCCTCGTAGTTGATAGCTTTTCTCGCCTGTAGGATACTCGGTTAGGACGGTATACTACAGTAGGAGAAACCTTTGCAGTGACTTACTCGGCGAGTCGGGGTTACCGAAGTTTCCTGTTCACTCTCAGCCTGCCCTCCATTGTGCCCGTTAGCAGACGTAGCAGGAGAAGGCAAGCTAACGTCCACAGTACTAAGACTTCCCTTCACCTTTTCAATGGTTGATTGGTGGACGTTGAAGTCGTCAGAACCCGGTTCCACGGCATCGCTACTCGGGGCAGGGGTGAGATGAAGGCCCCGACGGCTTTTCGCGGTCTGCTTGGTCGATTGGACACTCGATTTGGCACCATTCGGAGCTGGCGACGAATTCGGCTCTTCCTTGACCTTGTTCACGCGCGAGGAAGTTGGAGGAGTGCATGGCGACGATTTAGGTTGAAAGAAGCCCAGGATAGATCTCTGGCTCTTCATATTGTGCGGTTGGAGTTGAATTCTCAAGGGCACTGGAGGGCTGGCTTGATTTCTTTCGCCCCTCAGGCATCAGAAGATAATGAGCGTATGGGTGTGTGAGAATGAAGAATTAGCTTAGCTAGTCATTGTTGCGGAGGACTGAGGAATAAAAAGGTGGAAGGCTGTAGAGTGAAACGGGACGTGAACCGCGACGTCCAAGATCAATTAATAGCGTGTTCAACGCGTCGCGGATAACATGGATTATGTAATCAGCCCACCGCTGGTCCACGACTTGATGAGAGAGCTTGATATGAGATGAAAAGGACGAAAAGGACGCTGAAACCCTCGAATAACACTAGACCATATCGTACATACATATTGATATTTACCTGCAACAGCTCTAGTTTAATAGTACATGTCACGAAGACGTTGCTCTCAGTTCTTTCGTCCAACCTCTATAGCTTCCTCTTCGTTCGGTTTAATGACCGTGTCTTGTTGCCCTGGTTTCCAAGTCTTAATCGCTGGCTTACTCTGCTGAGCAAAGAGAGGTAATTTAACGCGATGGCCACCGAGCTTTTGCTTGCTCTGGAACAGCTCCTTATCCGCTTCACGTTCTCCCTTTGCTTCTACTTCTCCCCATCCAGGTGCTTCCAAACCCATCTTGGCATATTCTTGATCAGACACGACCTTGATAATCTTGACTTTCCATTTTCCAACCTTTAGGATCAGCAGCGAGTCGTCAATAATGAACTTCTCTGTAATGTTAGGCGGCCACGTCTTGACAGGGACATAGGAAATGGCGTCGCCCATAGATTGCTTCGAATCTGCCTGGCTCCCAACGTGCACGCCGTTGTTTACAATTAGACGAAAACCTTCAGCTTTGCTGGACACCAACCCGGCGGACCATAATACTTTATGAAAGTACTGGTTGTAAATCAGGGATCGTGGAAGCGTCACGTGAGGAGATGGCATGTCAAACATATGTAATTTCTGCTGGCGCGGTTCATCTTCACTGTCAGGCGCTGCTTTATCACCGGTCTTGTCCGCAAACTTGGAAACAAAGATTAGGGCGTGGTCTCTTGCAGCCTTCTGGGCTTCATTGGATCCGTGGATAATTTCCACAAATTCGACGGCAAGCTTATGTTGAGCTAGTCGCTTCGAAGGGTTCTCATTATGCTTTTCCATAAGCGTTTTAATCTCGGAAGTGGGTATGAACGTGAACAACTTCAAGTATCGCTCAACATCGGAATCAGGAAGGCGAACAAAATACTGCATACAATATGGGTTAGAATTGGAGACGAAACTGACGTTTCATAAAGACAGTTTTTGGTGCAACTCACCTGGTACAGGTCATAGCATGATGTCATGTCTTTGTCAAGCCAAATGGCATTCCCAGCTGATTTTCCAAACTTCTCACCGGACGATGTCGTTAGAAGAGGAGTAGTAATTCCAATGGGATTGACGAGGTCTGGGTCTTCGCCGGGCTTTGGTGCGAATTCGCTGTTTGGGTTGTTTTTTAGGATGCCTTTAATGGCATCGATTCCGAACAGGATATTGCCGTATTGATCGGATCCTCCGACCTGGATCTGTGTTCCGTGTTGGAAGAGATACCAAAAATCCCATGCCTGCATGATAGGATAGCAGAACTCTGCAAGTGACATGCCACTGCCATCTTCTAAGCGGGATTTGACACTATCCGTGTATTAATTCAGGTAAGGCTGAAAAGCTTTGTAGCTCATGACTTACTTATCACGACCCAGCATCGGCCCCAATCTCACTGCTTGACCAAGAGTCGTCATCACATCCGCGAACGTCTGTTTGTTCCACCATGTGTTGTTGTTCTCCAAAACTCGTCTCCACGCCCACTCATATTCAAATCCATGCTTCGCGCCATACTTTTCGAACGACAAGCCAAGTCTCTTGAGCTGGAGATGCATGTTGGCGATGTTCGCTTTTCTAACCGAGCTTTTCATTAACGGGCGAGTTTCTGTGCGTCCTGTAGGATCACCAACTTTTGCAGTTGCTCCTCCAAGCTATTCGACGATTAGTCAAAGAAGGCTCCAAGAATAAGGAACCTGCTCCTCAGAGACATGGAACTCACAAGCCAAACCGCTTTCATACCGTGTACGTACGCCCAGCCCAATATCATAAACGGCAACATATGCCCAATATGAAGAGATGGTGCGGTAGGATCGACACCGGCATAAAATCCCACTCGTTTATTCGTTATTAGTTTATCCAAAACGTCTCGTTCTCTAAAGCAGACCGACATGTCAGTATATCCCAGTTCGACCGGAGCCCATATAGTTCTAGAAACGAGATAAAATAACAGAGAAACGAACCCGACAATAGAGTTAACAAGCCCCCTTTCTTCCAGAAAGGACAGGAAAGATTGTTGCTTCCCGGCTTGGATCTCCTTTGCCTGGGCCTCCCATTTTTCTTTGGCTTCCTTCGTCCGTCGCAGATGTTGCATTGTGATTTGTCTCTTCTGTTGGACGGCAGAGACGGCCACGTTACGGGCCCGTCCATTTACGCGCGCTGCGGTGTGCATCGCGGCAGAAGCTCGAAGGAGCTTCATCTGGCAGGATATGCATGTCGACGAGAGGAGGGGAGAGCGCTTCAGCTGTAATTGGGAGCGCATCGTAGGAGGCTAATAGACGTTTAATCGTGGGGCTGGTTCATAGGTGCGCAGTATATACGCCGCAACCAGGGAACAAAAGCTGCTAGATATCTTTCTCAAAATCAGACTGGATCTGTCCATCACCGCGACCCCAAATTTCGCGGTCTTGGGGTCGCGCCAAGAAAAAGACCTCAAGCTTCGGAATAAAATTATTCCTCGCGGCCGACGCGCTTGACGCGGCTAGATAGAGAGCATTCGTCCAAAACGCTCTGAGAGATTCGTAGACTATCTGAGCTTTGTAGAAAACTCATATCAAGGAGCTACTGTTATCCAAGACTTAACGTCAATGTCTATCTCATAAATATCTGGACAGTAACCTCATTACTCCATCCGCGCTCCAGCTTCATGTGCTTCCATGCCGCCAAAACATCCACCGACAGCAAATTCCTCGATTCCTGGATTTTGACTGTTTCAACGGGGACTGCTCTACCCAAAAGCATGACCATGAAGTTGTCCTCCACGGTCTTTGTTCCGATATTGGATATGAATATACCCAACTCTCCGATTGCTTTTAGGCTGACATTGAACTGGAGTCGACCATCCGGCGTGACGAATACATCTGAATCGACAATAGCGGCAACACCGGTCATTTTTCCTAAAAGACCCAAAACCGCTACTTTTGTCAGCTCACCAGAATTGCGCTTGTCGTTTTTCCCGCCCAGAGAAAAGGTCCGAATAGGGAATGTAGTAAGGATTTCCCAGCCTCCTTGCTCAAGGCCAATGGATAACAGAAAGCTCTGGTCACATGGCCCTGCGATTGTATCACCCGTGGAAAATGCATGAATGATATATTCAGCCTCGGTGTCAGGGGTAATCCCAGGGAAGTCGGTGATCGATATCAGAGAAACTACATCCTGACCGCCCACGTTGAACAAGCCAAGGATGCCACTGCCAGTATGTGCACGGCCAGTATAGCTCCCTACTTTTAAAAGGTGGCCTTCGTTATAGTTGTGATAGACATCTATTGTCGAGCCTAGGACTGCAGGTCGAAGAATGATGCTATTTCCGTCAAGTGATAGCGCGGTCATCTGGTTCACGAGGGCCAAGTCATGGTTTCCTGGCTCGTCAGTGATATATATCGGCCCGCCTGATACACATCTAGCTGCAGCGTGGAAGGAAGCATATGGATGGTTAGTTTGGAACATGTCCCAGTCCGGTATAACATTAAGATGTCTCGTCAGCAATGAGTTGTGCGCATTGCAGAATATATGCCAGGGATGGGAACTTGGGATATCAGGGAAGAAATCATCGGAATTACGCAGCAGTATGCGCGGTTTCGTAGTCGGTAACTGCGAATGGAATATTATCTGGGGTGCTTGAGACATGCAGGATATGGCTTTTGCTTGAAAGTGCCGCAGCGAAGCGATCGACCAGGCGTCCTGATACGAAGCCGTAAATCGAGAACGGTCAGTTGCGTCGGTTAAAGCGTCAAGGAAAAATTGGGCATCGGTCTTTACGGAATCAACCCCGGCAACTGACAGAAAGGAATATAGGTCATTATAAAAACGATGGATATCGTCAGGGTCGATGACGAGCATGCTTCCCCCAGCAATGCGATCGGCCTTTTGGACTATTTTTGTTTTATATTTCTTTGCAAGCTCCCCATCTGGGGATATTCCTCCCCAGTATCCCATGAGAGCATGCCAGACAGCAATATGTTTAATATTTCGATGCTTGGTGCGGATGCCATCAATGGTATGCCTTAATCCGTTGGGGAATCCTTCCGGGTTGGCTTCAAAACTTGTCCAGCCTCGTGTAAACTGCGACTGGCCTTTGTTATCCAAGGATTGCCAATTATCATCTATGATAAGGTTGGCGATGTTGATACCGTTTGTTTCCAAAGTCTCCAATGCTTTGAATATTTTCTCTTCTGTCAAATCTTGGCCTAACGAATTCCAGGTGCAGTATGCCAAACCGTCATACCAGGTAGAGAGCCATTGGGCATCAACACCTTCAGCATTGTTTGTCCTCTCATATGATTCAGCAGGTGGCGTCGACTGGACAAAATTTCTCGCACATTTCCTAGCCTCATACATCACAGCCGCGATGGCCAGGTCAAAGGATGGAGCTACCGCGGAAAGCACCTTCACATCGGATTCTTCGACTTCGTCGTTTCTCGCAGAGATGAATACGCCTGACTCGCCGGACTTGAGTAGAGTCACCACATTCGTTGGACCACTTACTGCCAAAAGCACCAACGAGAGTCCATCCTTGCGCAGAAACGCCGATAGAATGGCATCTTCCGTCAGCCGGTATGTTTCCAATCCATGCCTTGGAGCCAGCCATGGACTCCATATCCGAACAAGGGAAAAGTTCCTCACGAATTCTTTCGGCAAACCGAGCGCTATCATCGCATGCCCACTCTTGTCTTTGACTGCAGGCCCAACTTTGCCCGTAACACTCCACAAGACCGCACCTGGAGCTTCGCTCAAATGATGCTCCACATTCAATTCGGGATTCAGATTCCTGATAAAATCAGCCAATTGACCAGCTGGGTCGCCATCATTGTATTTCTCAACCCATGACCGGGGCGGATCAAAGACAATTTCTCCATCCTTCGTTCCAAACTGTGCATTCACCCACTGCCACGGAGAATCTGCATCGATTCGATACTTGACCGTGAATGCTGCATGTCTCCCACCCGTAGGAAACTCAAGCTCCTGGGAAAATGTATGCCGACGGTAATTCGACTTTGTATTTTGCCGTCCCAGCGCTATAGGAAGCCGTGTTCCAGTAACTTTTTGCAGCAGGAGTTCAGCCCACGCCCCGTGGACATTATGCCAGATGGCGACCTCCCAGGTTTGTTCCGGAAACGAGCCGCTTGATTCGAGCAGCACGGTGAATCTAACCTAGTCGAAGACAGGTCAATCGAGAAGAAAACAGCAGTTGGGGGGTTGTTTCGAATTTACAATGCTCAGCAGCTAGTTACCTTGTCCTTGGATGCAATTCCACCGCTGACGTCCTTTTTCCTTTTTACAAAGGTCACCTGGCCCAGCGGCGGCCAGGATGATACATTTGCAAACATGCTCATTTGCGCTGCACGGATGAATTTGATCTGCGATGGCTTTTGCTCTTTAGACGGAGACGCCTCTTGATTATATGACATTCTGCGAGCAGCTGTCACTCGAGGCTCAAGTGTGATCTGGATTCGTGACGTGTCTATGTTCTCGAAAGTATGTGCTGCACTTAGTAGTTTACCAGTGGAAATGGGGATATCCAACCAGGCAGTACATAATCAACCTGATGCGAGGCAGTTAGAAGTGAGTCTTTGGCCCTGTTTAACCCCACTTCCAGCATCACAAGGGTCTCTCCGCAGTTCGCCTTGGAGATGCTTCTTTATGGAGACGGCTAAAGTGTATTACAAGCCCCAAAAGCCAATTTCATTCGGGCTACTTTTGTAGCTCCTACGAGCTCTAAAACTATCGCGGAGCGATCCAAATTACGCAAACGGTGTTAACAGCTCAGTTTTGCGCTTAATTCCCCTGAAGCTCTGCGCCCATGCCTCCGAAAGTAATGGTTTTAATCGTGAGGAACTCATCCACTCCGTATTTACTGCCTTCACGGCCAAATCCACTCTCCTTGACTCCGCCAAATCTAAACGCAAAGCATTAGCAAGAGCAACAGGCGTAGATGGGCAATTCAGGAGACTTACGGTGCCGCAGGGTCGCTGATGATCCCTGTGTTGACGCCAACCATGCCAACCTCGAGAGCCTCAGCGACGCGGTAAACTCTTTGGATATCCCTACTGAAAAAGTATCCCGCCAATCCAACTTCCGCCTTGTTGGCCAACTCCACGACATCCTTCTCCGTCTCGAATGGGAAAAGACCGGCTACCGGACCAAAGGTCTCCTCGGAAGCCATCAACATATCTTTTGTCATGCCCGTGATAACAGTAGGATGGAAGAAATTCGGACCAAATTCTCCTGCAGCCTTTCCGCCGATGATAACTTTTCCTCCTTTCTCCTCTGCGTCCCGAACATGCTGAGCGACCTTGTCAACGGCACGAGAGTGGATGACGGGTCCATGAGTGACGCCTTCGTCGAAGCCGTGGCCGAGCTTGAAGCCCTTGACCTTCTCGGAGAATTTAGAGGAAAATTCATCGTAGATCCCCTTTTGGATGTATATGCGATTGGCGCAAACGCAGGTTTGGCCCGAGCTGCGGAACTTGGAAGCGATGGCGCCGGCAACCGCCGCATCAAGGTCAGGGCAGTCATCGAATACGATGAATGGGGCATTTCCACCCAGTTCAAAGGAGAGCTTCTTTACTGTCGATGAAGATTGCTTCATCAGCAGCTTTCCAACATTGGTCGATCCAGTAAACGAAACTTTACGGATTTCCGGGTTGGTGGTCAAGCACAAGCCAACCTCCGGAGTGTTCTTCATCGCAGTCACGAAATTTACAACCCCCTTTGGAATTCCAGCCCGGTGCGCTAGTTCCGCAATGGCGTTTGCAGTGAATGGTGTCTCGCCTGGGGATTTTGCAACGACTGTACAGCCGGCTGCCAAGGCAGGGCCAATCTTCCTGGTGACCATGGCGGCGGGGAAGTTCCACGGTGTAATAAACCCGCAGACTCCAACGGGCTCTTTTAGTGTTATGATCCTGTTCCCAGGGACAGATGATGGGATGGTATCTCCGTATATCCTCGGTGCCTCTTCGCTGAACCATTCAAAGAAATTCGCGGCATAGGCTACTTCGCCCTTTGCATCCGCATACGGTTTCCCGTTCTCCCAAGTGATAAGTGTCGCAAGATCTTCTGCATTTTCCATCATCAATTGATACCATCTTCGCAGCATACGAGCCCGCTCCCGCGCCAGTGTTTTTCGAAAGGAAGGAAAAGCCGCAACTGCTGCATCGATGGCTTTTTGGGTGTCTTCAGTGGTGAATTCGGGACAAGTTCCAATGAGCTTTCCTGTGGAAGGATCTATTGTTGGAGTAAGAGGTCGGGGTTAGCTGATCCTGTCTACATGCTTCTACTCTCACTCAATCAATGTTCACCTTGCACTTCGAACGTTTCCCCACTCTTCGCGTCCACCCATTCTCCATTGACATAGCATTTGCCAATCAGGAGGGATTTATCTTTCAACTTGGACACCACGGGTTAAAGTCAGCGATGGTTTGCAGGTGAAGCAGCGAAAAGGCCATTGCTTTAGAAAATATAGTGCTGCCACTCACTGGAGGAACCGTATGCATTGCGTATCGTCGTCTACCGTAGAGAGCCGGGATTGTGAAGGGGTATCCTGGGCGTGGGCGGCTTAGCTGCTGAAGAATGGGACGAGCTAGCTTTTCCATTTTGATAAAGAGGAGAAGAAGGAGGAGGAGGTAGAGGAGCACAGGTCACACGAGGATCTCGGGTAGCAAAGGTTGGAGGAAGCGGGGAAGGCGAGGATGCAGAATAACTCCTAGATATGTCAATTACCCTGTCAATTACCCGTGCATCCCAGGGACATCAGTAATAATACAAAGCGCCAGCCGGGTGTCAATTGCTAGAAGAATTGCGGTTCCCCAGCCAGACCAGGCAGTGTATTCCAGTGTCTCAGCGGAACAGCAACTGCACTCCAACCCTGGCGATATCACCGAGCTTCCCCAGCTGCTCGGCTTCTCGGAGCTGAACCAGCCAATGACGAGGCGCACTGTGTGCGGGCAAGTTTAACCAACCTGGGTTTAGTGCCGCTTAATCAGCTTTAAGCACCGGACCGGCATTTCTCCGTAAGGACATCCAGCCATTCCCCTTTTCGGCCAGAGGTTTTTGGCCTTGTCGTTGAAGAAAGAGGCGTCTCTGCCAGCCATCCTTTATATACCTCTCCACTCCGATCCCTCAGTCGTCCTTCATCCTACAGTAGGACGCAAGTAGGGCCTCTAGCTATGCAGATTTTCTCTTGGGACCCGCCCGCAAGATCCTCACAGTGCTGAGGATTGTTGTGCCTATTTCGATATATCCCGTTTAAGCATGCTGGAACGCAAGAACAGCGCTGAAAATGACAGCTGCGGCCATCATTTCGCTTGCGCTGGTAGTAAGCCTGTATTTGGCTAGTAGGGACTGAGATGTCTTGGATGAAACGGTCGAAAGTTAAGGAAGCGGTTCTCTCTTGTCTGGTGCTTGTCACTAGATCCTGGGATTTGATATGGAGAGACTTCAAAAAGCGCAAACAGCGTCATTTCCCATCCTTCGTGCGTGGGAAGTGAAGAATAAATGTCGGCTTTTAGATGACATGCATTTTTCGGTACATCTCGTTGTGGCGTCTAATTTCCTCGTTGATCCAATAATGAGTTACTGGTAGCAAGCGGCGTGTGAAGAACGTGAGAAGAAAGATAACTAATCAAAAGCAAAGGAGCAATCAATGCAAAGGATTTCAAGCTGAAAAACGAGTGACGGGTTACTCCGTATGTATTCCGCCGGGAAACATCAGTTTGCCGATGCGAATGGTTAAATTCACTTATTATTCAATTTGACGAGTCGATTTCTCGGCTCCTGGCTTGATGATTTTGGGAGCATGGAACGGCCACTTCGGTTCGACTTCCCACCAGCTTTTGTTGGCTCGACAGCAAGGCTCAACAGGGTGCTTTTAACAGCCAAGCGCATCGCGTGAGAAGTCGCCGCATGTGTGTTGCCTCCAAGAACCCGTCGCGAGTTTTAGCCTTCAGGGTGGCTGTTCCGCTGTCTCTCCACAGCGGCTGGTCCCATGGACCCGAGACCGCCAGACGGCAATCTAGAATCCTGTCGTGCTGCTCGCTTCAACATGATTTCTGGTGAATCGTGGAGGCGGAACAACGTGGATGCAGGGATCTTGCCCATCCCTCAAGATCCAAATTCTCCTGGCTTGTCAGGAAAAAAGAGTCTTATCCACGATCATTGATCGATCATCGCGCACCAGATTGTGGCGAGCTGCTCCTCTTGGGACAAGGCTGCAATCTCTGACAAGATCGACAAAATCGTGATTCCACTCATGCTTCGGGAGGATTGTGGGCTCATCGCTTGGAGCGATGCTAATCTGGAGTAAAACTAACGATCTTGAGCTTGGTGCAGAGCTAAAAAGGACACCCCTTGCTTGCAGAGATGGATCTTCCCTGCCAAACCAACTCATTGGCATCGCTTTCGAAATTAGTGAGTTTCTGGGTTCATCTGCGCATGATTGATTATTGATTCCTCGCCTTTTGAAAGTCGGCAATCCCGAATTCATGGGATCTTGTCCGCCTCATCAAGCTTGATATATGTACGAAGTATACGGAGTACGGAGTATACTCCAAACATTCTCTCCCCAAATCACATAGTTAGTTATCAAACCTTAAAGCCCGAATGAGGCCTTGCTGACTTTTGACATCCCGATGCTACACGGCTTCTTCCAAATTGGCGCGAAACTTTGGCTCAAGGGCCGTCCCTTAGTCCCAGCCGACTCCCCTGTCGCTGGTCCACACGGCGCACGGCAGAGAGGGCGGGCCAATTGTGTTTCATCAGCCTGCCAAATCATGGGTTCCCGTGTTTTTTGCTGAGGTCTTCCGTAGCGCTTGTATTTTAGACTTGCCCTGAGCCCATCAAGCATCACCCAGGAATTTCTCCCCAGCTTTTCGCACCCAGGAGTCGCTGGAATTTCTTGGGAAAAGCTTTGACGACATCTGCCTCGAGGCCAGAAACGTATTGCGGTCGGCTGAGCAAAAGCATACCATGCTATCGCTCGACGCTTCTTGGAGCGTCATTCTTTCGTGACGTTCGCATCCTCGTCGATTACCCTCTCCCGAACGGTGACTTGCTGGTGTCAAAATGGAGTCGAGCGCTCGGGCACCTGGGTCCGACAGAGGGCTCCAATTGCTGATCATCACTGTCGTCATGACGGCTGTTTCGGGCATTTTTGTTATGCTACGTCTGGTGGGCAGATATTTCAGGAGCGTGGTTCGGGCAGATGATTGGGCAATCGTCACATCTTATGTACGGGACTCTCGGAGTCATTCCTGGAACCCGGTGAACATGCTGACGAGACTCTAGCTTTTTGTTGTGTTCTTCGCCGTTTGTAATGGCATTGGTACGTGGCCAAACGACACGTTGGTGCATCCGATATCGCTAACAACTCGTTCGCTACAGCTATCAAGCATGGATTCGGGAAACACACCGTGACCGTTCCGCATTCAGAAAAGCTCGAGGCGCTCAAGGTGAGACTCTGTTCCATCTGTTAACCATGCACATTGGGGATTTCTTTTCGTGTACTAATTTAACGACATCGGAAAATGTAGTGGATGTTCATCGTACAAGTCATATACAAAATCTCCATTGCTGCAACAAAAGTTGCCATCTTGCTCCTCTACCTACGAGCCTTTTATGTGAATAAGCCCTTCCGTTGGGTATGTTACGGCCTTATTGCTTTCTCCGTTGTGTCCACGGTGGCCTATACCCCTTTAACCATATTGCAATGCACGCCGGTAAGAGCATTTTGGGATCGTTCCATTCCGCACCAGTGCATTGAGAACACGAGTTGGCGGACATCGTATTCGGTGATCAACATCAGCACCGATTTCTTAATATTGTTTCTGCCGATCCAACAAATTCTTCGACTGCAATTGGCGCGAAGGGATAAGATTGCATTGATTTTCATATTCTCGCTCGGCGCCTTGTGAGCAACCCCATCTTCCAAACAAATTCTTGAACCCCAGGAAGCTGATCGAAAGGATGAAGCGTGTGCGTCATAAGTTTAATCCGAGTAACCACCATTAAACCAACCGGTGGTAGAAGAGATCCATTGTGTAAGTTAAACTCGTTCGTTTTTCATTTAGCGTGGTGGATTTGTCTGACTGTTTCTCTAGGGAACCCCGTCCCGCTTGCAATATGGAGCATGGTCGAAGTCAACACGGGAATCATATGCGCCTGTATGCCTATGATCCGGCAGTCGCTCTCTCTACTGTGTCCGAGTATTTTTTCCCTCCGTAGCGAGGCTCGTCCCACCGGATACTCTTCAAGCAAGTCGACTAGCCGCAAGTCACGCGGGAAACCAAACGGCGTTTCAGCAGTGACTAATGCTAGTATACTTTGGACTCGTCATGAAGAAGAGCATATTTATATGGCATCCGTAAAACCGGGAAGGGAGTCGCCGATTCCTCGCACAGAGAGTGAGGAAAGAATTATCGGTGTCGCGGAAAATGCGCAGACGAATGATATGAGAATTTTTCAGCGAACGGAGATATCAATAACGGACTCAAGTCGAACGCAATCATGAAATGGTTCTTGATTTTCACTTAATGGCCCGAAGGAGTAAAGATTTGAGTGCGTTTTCAAAGACAGATACCCAGGCTTTCACCTTTGTCTTAAAACTGATGTATCGGCGCCAGAGGCTTTCTGCAGGGTGGTTGCGGTGTTTCGGAAAAGAAATGAATAATTTAGGCTTCTCTGCTTGTTCCTTAACATAATGGTACCTTGGGACGGCCTTTTCAGATTTCCACTTTCTCCCGCGATCTTTCTGTCAACCCTGGATGTTTCTTTTTCAGATGCTGATCCAGATTCCATTTCCTTGAAAAACCCTGTTTGTGCCTTTTGCATTCTTCCACGGGGCAGAATAATTCATAATCCCTCGGTTTATCGATGTATTTGGAGGTTGGCTGATCGTCCTCTACGGTTAACCCATCCTCATCTTCTCCGCTTTCAACATAATTCCAAACGGCTGTGCCATCCTCGGCCTGCTCGAGCTGTACTTTACCTTCGTCTAGCCTCCGGAAGACCATATTCTGCTCAAAGAGATCTGCACAACGCCGGGCTGCACGCATGACGGCGGGGTCTGACCATCCAGCCATAGATGCGATTCCGAGAACATCGCTCCAGTCTCGAAGTCCCAACCTGTCCCTGCGTGGATCAGCCGACTTGGGTGCTCGATTAGTTCCCAAAGAAGGAGAAGATAGGTTTGAAGCATCAACTGGGCCTTGGCTGTTTACGACATTTAGATGGGAACTGCTTGGGCGAGAAGTGGTCCTTGTTCGCTTTCGTCCCCGCCTATGTGGAGTCGACATGCGTTTATTCTCATCATCTTCCGTTTCATATTCAGTTTGGGCCATATCTGCGGCTGTAAGGTAGGCTTGCCGGGCTCGATAGAGATTAAGTAGAAGCTGGTCAAATTTGCTCAGGATATGGCGAGCCTCAGGGCGTAGAATCCGTTTTGATGCTTCATCGTCGGCCTGCACAACTGGACGAAAGGTTCGCCCATCATGAGCTTGATGATCTGCATCATTTTCCTCTTTAGCCGACATCATGGCTTCGCTATCAGAGCCAGCGTTGCGACTTCGGCTCCGAGCATGAGCGGATTTTCGCGGCCATTCACGAGATTGAAACCTCTCTTTTGCGGCTTTCATCATCTGAGCCATGAGGCACTCTTCCAGCTCTGCACTTGGACGCGCATCGAATACGCCCCGCAAAGTCCAATTTTCGTCATCATCTTTCTCGACCTTTTCGGTGGTTCTAGGTACAATTTCTGCAGGTAAAGGCCAAGCCGTCCACGCTCTACTCGGTGCAAACGTAGATGATAAATTTTCAGAGGGAATACCATCATCATGGTTTTCTTCCTTAACATCGTTGGGCCGTCGCTGGTTTATCTGTTTTCTTCTTTCTTTCAATGCAAACGCGTTGTACAGATGTAATGACAGGTCTCTCGCACGTATAGTCTCAAGTGCGGCCACTTCTTGCCTCTCTCGTTTCGTCCACGAAAGCCAGGTATTACGTGAGCCCTCAAACCTGTTTACTCTTTCAGGCGAGCCATCTTCGGACAGAGAGGAACCTTCGGCATCGCTATCTCCTAGCCCAATTACAGGTTTCTTGTCGATATCAGACTCCACAGGAAAGACATGGGCTTCGTTGCCACTGTCTTCATAGTTCAAATCATCGGGATCATCAAACTCTGGCGAGAATAAAGATTGCAACTGTGCATCCTGGGTATTTAAGATCTCTTCATCTTGGGTATTAGGGAAAATGCTTTGAGAGCTCATGTCGCAGAGGTGGAGGAGCAGAGATCAGAGGGCCGTCAGACTCTGAATTTAGCCAATTCCGGGCTGCAAGTACTTGGATGAGAATGGTCAAACATGACTTGATGCTGAACTCGATTGATAGATAGCTACACTTTTTGATGCGAGGTCTGGCTTGCAAAAAAAGTTAGTCACATGACCGCAAATCTAATTCGGGAGTATAAAATGGATATCTACTTCGTACAAACGGTCGATATAAAAATTGAGACATGAACAATTGTGAGAATCTTCTTGCAATTATAGCATCAATTAGGTCCAAGTAGCACTGATGACGCCCCAGTAAGCTTTTCCATTCCACCAAAGACATCCATGTTAAACGAGCAGGTATCATAAAGCTAAACTGGTCTTATCTTATGCTTGTGATTTCTGTTCAATCTTTCTTCGCTTCTTCCTCAATTTCTCGGCCTCCTCATCCTTCTTTTTATTCGAGTACAGCATCTTGTCAAGCAATTTACGCTTCTTCCGGCTCATCATCATCTTTTGGCGCTCGAGCTCCTCCTGTTCCTTCTTCTTCTTAGCTTCGTGTTTCTTAGCCAATGGCTTTTGTTTTGACTTTTTAGAACCCTCAGTCGCACCACTTGTTCCAGTAAATGGGAGCCCTGCAGCCTCAGCCTCAAGTTCCTTTTGGTGTTGGTTTCGCGCGGTCTCTTCCTCATCCTCAGACTCGGATTGCACGTCGACAGGTTCATTAGGACTTCCAGACTTTTCGACATTTTCTTCTTCGCTCTCTTCCTCTTCATCGTCAGAACCGGGAACATCTACATCCATACCACCATCATCAAATTCTTCATCCGACTCTTCAGCTGGGGGGGGCTGAATCTTTTGAGTGGTCACATTCTCTGACTCTTCCTCCTCTGATTCCTCTTCCTCCTCAGCTATTCTCTCGGCCTCACCCTCCCCTTCTTGCTCTGCTAGACCCAAGCGGGGATCATAATCACCCTTGGAAGGTTTGACCCATGGACTAAGGTGGGGAGGTAATGTAGCACCTGGGGCGTAAAGATCGGGTCTCAGAAGTTTGCCTTCATTTATGCAGTCCCAAACCCACTGAGGCTGTACATAAGTCCTGCCAGGCATCTTGGTCCCTGGTCGCACTCTAGGCGTTGTTTCGGTTCCTTCGGCCGGATTTTGTGGCATAGGAGGAAGAGCGGATTCGGGAAGAGGTGGGCGATCTACGACTTGGTGCGTTATCCGAGGGTCCGTTTCGTCATTTGTAAAGGCCCCTTCACCCAAAACAGCGTCCCAGCCTATCCGTTTGCACCCAAACGCTCTGAGTAGAAATTCCAGAGGTGCTCGCGGTGCTTCTCTGGAAATAAAAAAGGTGTAAGGAGCAAACAACGAGGCCGCCTCATTTCCGCTCATTTGCGGTTGGGGGAGAGTATCCGCTTCGGGTGCAGCGGCTTCAAATCTATCAATTGCATCGGTGTTGGCCTCCTCCTGTTCAACCGCCTGTTGGTCAAGCTCATCGTCGAGTTTCGCCTTTTCAAGAAGAGTATTAACTTTGGCTTGCATATTTTTCGAAATAGCATCATCCTTTACAGGTTGCCCATTCGTTTCGGGCTCAGATGCTATCGCCTTTTGAGTTTCGCCGACTTTCCTACCTTCGAGAGTGAAAGCGGCAAGCTCTGCACCACACTCATCGCGCTTCAAGTCGAATTTTGGAGGATATACCAACCCGATCGATGTGTATAGACGGAAGTTGACAAATCCAAGAAGTGTAGTGTAAAACTCCACGAATGTAGCCATAATCCTGTAGTCCACATCCCCGGTGACCTTCTGAACGAATCGATACGGAACTAGCCACAAAATATCCTGCCCTTGGATGGTGGCCTGGTAGTAGATACCTTTAATAGACAGAAAAGATTTTCGTAGCGAATTGGTGGCAATGAGATAGTGCTGGAATTCATGACAAAGTCGCTGGCAGAGGGCAATTGTCTTCGGAGGGACATTCGTCGTGGAGGGAAGGTTCGCGAAAAGGAAGAGCAAGGATAAAGCGTCATCGAGATCCCGGAGAGCGTCAATGAAAGTGGGATAGCGTTCTTTTATGATATGATCGAGCGAAATTTTCGGAGCATTGTTCTTTTCTAGTCGAGCTGCATCGCCAACTTCTCCACGACCTAAAGACCTTGCGATCTTCTTGGAAAGAGCCTTCTGTTCTCTGAATTTCCTAAGCAGGGGCTCATGTAGCAGATATTGTATATCCCTAGTGTAGTAGAATGTCGTGCTCGGAGTCGCAGTCTTAGACGCCTTCTTCTTGCTTCGTGGCTCGCGGGGATATATGCCTAGAATCGAACAAGCATCAGCTATCTAGCACATATTATTCCAACGTTTTTTACCTACCTTTAAAGATGCATAATCGGCGAAAGTCAGGAAGCGATATCTGCAGCTTGCGAACAGCTTGAGTTCTCGTGATATAGTTTTTGGCTGCGCCGGAGGCTCCTATGATACAATTAGCAGCGGGATACGCAAGTATGGAAAGGAACAGCAGAAATACCCTTCTTCTTTATTTTCGCCATTGTGGTGAATCCAACTGGCGACGAATGTTAGGAGAAGCAGGTGAGTTGCATCGGCGCATCGACATTTGAATCTCGAAAATAAAATTTTGGAAAAAGCTTTTGGTGGTCCATGCTTTGCCAAGCATTCTCCTTGGTGAACCGGCAGCATCACAGACAACCAGACCGGCTCAGAACAGCCATGCGATTGCGAAGCTGGAGGATTTGAAGAATGCCGGTCGACCGGAGAAAGGTTTGGGTGTTCGGGGGCGCTTTTCTCCTGCGACTTCTTTTCATTCTTTTGTTTCCCGGCCTTCCCGACCTGCTCACGGGGCGGGTTGAGGTCTCAACGCCAGTGAGCAGCTTCAAGAGGTGTAAGGTTTGGGATGCTCCCGCAGGCGCAAAGAGTAGCTGTTGACTTCTTCATATTATAGTGCAAGAAGGCCTCTTTTTATATAAGCGCAATGTCTCTCCCTACGATGGAGGCGTTTTCCACCAGGTAGGTCTCGATTACCGTTTCGCGTTGGTGCTGTAATTGAAGCTAACTGGAACAAAAGGCGCCTATTTTACTCCCAATTCTCTCGCTATTACCCGAGACTCGACACTGCCAGCTCATTACTAGCCTTGTGTATATCGCTCTCGACCTTCTAAATGCCAATGCTTTGGAACGCATCGCCAATTCAGGGGAGGCAGTCGCCTCAAGGCTATACACTTCCCCGCGGAAGCATATAAGATGGGACGGTACAACGATTGCTGCAGGGTATGGTATTGTTTCTATCCATATGGTAGTTTACTGACTTATTTTCCTAGTTACTTGTTCAACCCATTTACTATCGCGTCCTGCCTCGGTCGATCGACGAACCTTTTTACCAATTCCGCGATTATCTCTTCCATAGCCAATGCAATCGAGGGCAATAGTTTTAATTCCATGTTAGCATTGGGATTAGGGTCATACATGTCACTTTATCCAGCGTTACTCTTTCCGCCCATGGTCTTACTTTGCTACGATCGTTATGTTATGAACGGAAAGACCGCGAAAAGAGTTATTTCATATACCTTGAGTCAATTTGTGGTATTTGCTGGAAGCATTGGCGCCTTTTTATACATTTCATACTTCATTGCTGGGCAATCATGGGAATTCATATCCGCAACATACGGCGTGCAGCTTCTGGTCCCGGATCTTACACCCAACGTTGGGCTGTGGTGGTATTTCCTGATTGAAATATTTGATCCATTCAGGGGATTCTTCTTGGGAGTGTTTTGGTTGCATTTGGCTTCCTATGTCGGTGGCCTAACTATCCGTATACGACGACAGCCGTTATTTGTCATCACCACGCTCTTCGGAATCTTTGCCATCTTCAAAGCCTATCCCAGCATTTCGGACGTTTCTCTCTACTTCGCCTTCTTGCCTCTATACAGACATATATTCCCTCGTAAGTGTTTCTACCCTACTGTGAAAACGTCGCTAACATGTCCAAGTTATGCGGTATACCTTTTTCGCAGTTTCTGCGTTACTGTACGCAAGTTTGCTGGGACCGATATTTCATCATCTCTGGATTTACGCCGGTTCGGGAAATGCGAATTTCTTTTATGCGATAACACTGGTATGGAGCTTGGGGCTTTCAATCGTCGTCGCGGACTCTCTTTTCGCAGTATTGAGAGACGAGTGGGAGGAAGAGAGGCCTGAAATGAAGGGTAGGGACGCGAGACAGATCTAGGTGGACGCTTGTTCTTGCGCTGTTTCCGCCTTGCCCTTTAATGATTTAGACAGTATCATGTAATCGAAGTCTTTCACATGCCCGTTCCGCAATTTCATGGGTTTCGGGGAGAATTCATCCTCGACAAAACCTAGCCGCTCATAGAATTTTACTCCTGACTCGTTTGATTTGTATACTGTCAACATTGCTTTTTCTAATCCGATGTTTCGCCCAATCTCCTCGTATACACGCATCAGTTGCTTTCCAACTCCTTTACGTTGCAGCCTGGGTGCCAAGTGGACCTCATAGCAATAGAGAACAGGCAAGCCATCCTCATACGTAGTCATGAAGGAGAGCATTCCACCAAGATTCCCATTCTCCACGGACTGCTCAGTGGTCTTTTGGGACTCCTCTTCATTGGACTGGCGAAGAAGTAACATATAGCGCATATCAGGGAGTTTCATTTCAGCTTTCTTTTTCGCCGGCGACCATCCATTGCGGGAGTTTTTATATGCTTCAACGCTGGTGTACTTGAGAAGAGCAAAGCATGCGTCGAAATAGTGCTTTGGGATCGTGGACGCGGTATAGAATTTGATGGTGTATTGTTCATAGTCTTCATTATCATTCTCTCGGTTCCGAAGCTCGGTTTCCTGGCATCGAGAAAGACATGGAACCTGTATGGCGCGCGTCAAGGTGTGGGGAGGAACATAGCGCTCAATGAAATCGTCGAGAGACAAGGAGTTGACGGTTTCGACTAGGCGGGGCTTTTTGGTCAATCGACGTCCTGTTATCTATGTCAGTAACAATGCAGACGATGAACAAGGAGAACACACTTTGCGCGGCGGAGGCCCCGTTCATCCTCTTTGCAATATGTAGTTCGTCTGAACCCAGGTTACTAGCCATAGGAGATTCAGGAAAGCTGTCCTGATATTTGCGCTTCTGTGTTGATGATCGGCCAGCATGTTGAATGATGTCAGGACCGGTGCTACCTGCCATGGTGCTGAATAATCAGTGGTTGATAAAGGTGCTCAATGTGGACAGATGATCTATTTGGTAGAATGCCGATCAAGGAGGTCCAGGCAAGTATTTTTATGCGCAAGAAGTCGGCTTTGATACCGTGCCTAAAAGCTGTTTTAACGAGCAGCCGCATCGCGCGTCTCAACACCGCAAATAAAGTTCCGCCCGAAACTCTCCCGCAAAAGCTTCTATTTTGGAGCAGAGAACTTACACCAACCCAGTGATGGCAATTGACAGAAAGTCGGGATGTTGACTGCCCATATATCAAAAGATAGCTGGATATTAAACTCATGCGCGCGGCATCTCTTCTCTCCGCAACACTCCGACCGTCCCGGTTGAGTAAAACGGTCAGCTTAGACCATGTCAGCAACCACTTCTATATCGTGCTTCCAGGCTACCTATTCTGATTGTTCGCTGAGCTGTAGTTTATCCAACGACAACGGGCAGTTAAACTCTGGCGCGAAATCGTACGGGGAATTAATAGTATGCCAATTGTGCCAGGTCTCGCCCGACCATTAGGATACTAAATTGCTCTAGAAATCCCCCCATCAACGACAAGGGACGAATTGCGAACCTTTGCTCGACAGGAGTTCGAACGTAATAGGAACGTAACCGATCTGGTAGGCATGCTATGTCCGTTTGATTGAACTTGGCTAACTCCAGGCAGACGCACATCCGGTATCTGATCTCGGTACGTTGATATCCCGGATTTTATTGGGCTGGATAGTTCTACAGCTAACACAGCAGTTCAGACGGGAAAGACAGAGTTTGATGCGATGAGGCGGTATATCGACGAACAAGCTTCCTGATTAACGCACTTTTCGAGAGCAAAAGGCTCAGGCAGATTGAATAGGATAGTTTTGTAACCTCTGTCATAGATCCACCCTCAAACAAGATACAAGCATATAGGAAGGAGGTAGAACGGTACCGTGAAGTAAAAGAGAAGAATATTCGCCTATCTCCAATGCCAACGCCTACCCATGATGTATAATAATGTACAGGTTTTCTAGAAGAGTAAATCCGGTCAAATACTAGATCATTTCTCCTTACCCAAACTCTTGACAGCATCCAGAATCCCACCCGTTGGTTTCGCCTCTTCCGACTCCTTCGTTGGAACTTTCGGCGCGTCAAGGTTGGCCTCCTTTGGCTTGTTCCCAGCCTCCTTCGCCGCCTTTCCAACAGCCTCATGTCTTTCCCTCCATTCTCTATCTTCCTGGTCTCTGATTTCCAGCTCTCTTAACCAGGCATCACGCTTCGCCTGGGCTTTCTTATCAGCCACCGCCCGTTCGAGTTCTTTCCGTTGCGCCCGCTCCGCTTGGTAATAAAACCCGCCACCGACGCCGGCCAGGAGGGTGAACGCTTGGGCATAGATACGGAAGCGGAACATGCGATTGAGCTGCGCGGAATCGCCCGCTTTCATCGATTTATACGCTCGCAATAGCGCATAACTGGTGGCCAGGCATCCTGCGGGGATCGGGCGAGTTATTAGCTCATGTACGGCGAGGAATTGAACGGGGAGAACTGAGCACAGTAATATGCGTAGAAGGTAGGAGTTGTACCTATCAGGATGAGTGGTTCTTCTCGCAATCGGCGTTTGAGCTTCGCAAACGGCTTCTCCTCGAGAAACTCGCTGTAGACCGAATCAATTGAGTGCGCTTTGCAGAGGGTGATGGGAACAGTACTTACGGATCAAACGATGACGGCAGAGGTCTATCACTCATGATGAGAACATTCAAGGAATACCAGCGATTATCCCCAAGCCAAAGTCGGAAAGAAAAGTGTTGGACTCTTATGCGTCCCGCTGCAAAATCCCGTTCGCTATCGGGGACCAATAAATGCGGGCGGCGGCAAGCTCTGGAAGGTTGAGACGGCAGTTTAGCGCGACAACTCCACGGAGCCCGATAAATTTCCCAGTCAACCTCAAAAAGAATCACCAGCCAACAACACGAAACGTTAGGTTATCCGAAACACGAGTACCTACTCTACAACGCATGGATACAAAAGAAGTACACGGGAAGCGCGCAACGGCCGTTGTTTCTTGATGACTGAGAAAGGGCCGGTCGAAAGGGAAGGTCTCCTACATTGACTGAACCTCTGGATGAAGTCCCTGCCAAACCACCTTACTGAACACATGGCTTTTCGGACAGAGGTTGCATTAATCACCCTTTTGCACAAATAGACATGAGGCTAATCAAGGTTGGATACATGAGTATGGCTAATCGACCCATCGCAGTTGAACCGTCTTCCCCCTAAGCTTCTTCCTCGCGAACACACGTTACGGCCCCGAATTCCAGGCTGACACTGAGGGGTGCATCATGTGGGCAATCGGAGCATCACTCCCAGAGCAAAATGGCTATCTAGCGCGGCATTGGCTCCGGTGGCACCATCCCGAGCAACACTCCTCGTTACCGGTGCAGATCTTCCGCGGGGCTAAACAATAAACGTCAGGATTATGGAATTGAAAATCAGATTGCGAGGCTGGATTGAGTTGCCTAATTGTAGGAATCGAAAGACTTACGGCGGCATCCTTGACTTTCAATTTCATGACTGATCCCGGTGCTCATTGCTGCTGGGGACGCACAAACTGCAGCAGCGAAGAACAGAATCCCAGCGTGGACGAGCGTGAGCTTCATGGCTGTTCTTTCTGATTCGAGATTCGACGTCCGGTTTTGAGCGGGTTTGAAGAGATCAATTATCCGAAACTGGAGGAATAGGCACGCTTTTCGACTACTTAAGAGCGGGAATTAATCTTTGCCTTTATATCTTTTTAACCGCGTCTCAGATCGTCGCCTACCTGGCTGTATCCGATACGACTGGGTGCTGATATTGGGAATCGGTGTCGGTCAACTCGTACAACGATAATAATTCTCCCGTAACGAGCTTCCGTCGCACATAGAGGCATGAATTTGAAGTAACGGCTCTGACGTCTATCCATTGGCATGAGTCGATATGAATCTCAGTCATGACCCAAGCTAGAGGCGGGACGACCAATTAAACAGTGTTCGGCGAATATAACAAAGGGCAAACGTTTCTATGCTGCTCCATAACCAGCAGCTTCTGGACTGACTAGCGCACTAGTCACAGCACCGGCGTCATTGCAGCGCCTGGCTTGAGTAACTCGAGTATTCTGATGCTATTCACAGCTTTAATCTCAGGAGCCCCTTGCATCGTATGTAGTACCTTGTGCTATGGGTTATCTCGTGGGAATAGTACTTGGCCTGAACCAATTTTATCTTCACCGGCTCGCGATTGCCGTCGGGGGATATGCGATTTTGTGAAATTACACGACTGTATTGTCCGGTTGCAGCAATTTCTTGACTCGAGTACTTCGCCTTTTGATGAATCGCGGCGTAGGTCGCAATGAGCAGACCAGCTGAAGAGGATATATGTATGCAACGGTTCATTAAAAGTCGGCCGCTTTGAGTGACTCTTCGATCCAACTAGGGAGACAGCAAAATACCGGGATTGCACAGTTCACACACTCGCCCTCAAAGCTGGGCCAAATACAGGACTTTAAAATGACTCTTAGGTATGCTTTTACGGGTTATATATCTATATTAAACAGCTGTCACCGTGACACAGCGCTCTGTGTGGTATTTATTGCGATCAGTGGAACTAACCACCCATCCACACTTAACTGCAATCAAAGGTCCAGGGCCAGACTAATAAGGAGGTGGTATCAGCGTCGTTGCCAGATAACTATTTAAAATTCGGGCCGATTCCTTCAGGGAAGATTCTCTATCACAGGATCAGTTGCCGCGCTGAACACTCAGTTGTTAATCCTTGCGGGTTGAGATGCCCGGCTGCACCCTGGAACAAGACCACAATGAACGACCTTCGACACCATGGAAACCTAAATGGCTCTGAAAATCGGACACGCTTGTGTAATTTGTGCACATAAATTCTGCTCGACCATCCTCGGTGATGCGTTCAACTATCTTCATTCCGATAAGGCCATAATTTTGAGAACAGTTGCCTTTCTGCCTCGTCATCACCACCGGCTATGAAAGAGTCCCTGAGCTCTGCCACAGCCCTTTGCACCTCGTCGAATACAGCTGAATCTACCATCCCATCGGGAGGTAGGCCCCAATTATCCTGAAAAAGGGCCAGAATCTGTGAAACGTTGCTCATACTTTCCTCCTCTGCTTCGTGTGCTTCGAGCTCTTGCTCGCCGAAAGTCACAGGACATGGGCCAGAGTCTGGACAAAGATACTGCCACTGTTTAGCAATTGAATGCAAGGCACGTCGAAGGAAGAAGACGTCGTGATCCTCCCAGACGTTCACAACCAGGCGAGAAGGCTCTGTTCGTACGTCGAGGTTTTCAAGTTTCAGAGCAGCCCAATGCCTTGGATTTTGATCCATCGTCTCAGCGAGGTAATATTTGTGGCAAATCTCGCTTTTCTGATTGCTGTCGATCTTATCCTTTTCGCTTTGGTCAAGGGAGTCATAATCATCTGGAAGCTTGGGCACGTCCCAATTATTTGACACTCCTCCTGGATGCTTGAACATTCTTGGGATGCCACATTGGTAGTAGAGTGGCATGACTGCAGCTGACTGCCAGTCAATTATCCGAGTAATCTGTCTTGATTTAGGGTCGACAAATACATTGTCAAGATGAAGATCCGGGTGCCAAAGTGTCGGCGAATGAGTAACGGAAGGCACCATCGCTGGCATTAGTTTCAGATACCGATCCAAGAGATCAAGAAGTTCGTCAGGCGATTCGGGTTTCGTTGTTGACCGGTGGTAATTTAGACGCGGACGGCCGTGTGCTTTAACGAATCTCTTTTCGTTTGTGGCCATCGCTTCTACAAACTCGAGCGGTCGGGTGTCTATGTCCCATGAGCATCAAGCTGTATGTATGTGCACCTGGAAATCTCACATGGTCCCCGGTTAATGTTCATACCAGCCCTAGCATCACGCCACATACCGCTTGAGACGAGTGGTCCTAAAGTAAAACGCTCATATATTGATGGCGCCGCTCGTGTACTAGTAGTGAAGCTGCCACCCCCAGATGGACCGTTTAGAATATCATGTTTGAAATAGATGCAGCCGCATTTCGAGAATTGCATAGACGCAAACTGATGTTCTATTTTCACGATCTGTAATACCATCTCAAGTCGACATTCCATCGGCCATTGATACCAGAGTCGACCTAGGGGCACGCCTGGGGCCTTTTCTTCTAAAATGTATTCAGCACCAACAGGGTTGTTCCGATCGGCCGACCAAGCGATTATGCGAGGAGCGGGAATTTTCATAGCGTCCCGTATCTGGCAAAGGACAAATCAATCTGACTCCTGCTTTCACGACGGAGGTATGCACCTACGAATTCACGAGTCGCTACTTCTGATGCTGTTGTATAATACGCAGGGCCTGCAATCGGGTTTGGCAGACGTGCAATAATCTCTGAGCCGTTGTTCATTGTAAGCAGGTAGACCTTATTGTTCAGCCCTTCACGGCACTTCATGACTCTGACACCTAGATGACAAGTCAGCCTCTGGTCAGTTTGAACGAAGGGTAACGGGCTTACATTGGCTTGCACCATGGTCAGCGACTGCAGAGACTGCAGAGACTGCAGTTTTCAGGAGCTGCCGCAAGTCGAATTTGAGATACCTTTGAGATATTTGTGCAGTCTCATTGTGTCTTCAATGAATGTCAGTATGGACTCATAAAAACATATGGGACGCATTAAACATACAGCCAGCGGTTTCTTCTATATCTGTAAAGGTCCTCCTCCGAAATTTCTTCCACTGAGAATCGTCAGAATAGCCAAAGAGGTAAACGGGTTTGGGACACTTACACGTCCCATCGGACTTTTCCGCGACAATATGAGGAGTTGCCGTATCATAAGTACTGTGCCTTTTTACCGAATTTGGTAATACAAAGGTGGTGACAACTGGTGATCTGGAAATGATAGCTTGTTTGGAAAGCCAGCAGCAGGATGGAGCAGCTCTAATAAAAAGCATTGTTGTTTTTGCTATTGTGAACAGTTGACGGCTTCAGTGCGAATTATGCATGAATCCATTCTTAGCCAATGAGCTAAGGCCTTGTAGCACATAACCCCTATACAGATGGTCTGTGTGCTGGTAATTAGTTTGTTGTGATGTGAAAGTCATTATATATTTATATATCCCCTCTTTAGGTAGTTTGTCAAGTTGGAGTTCCAACTCTTGGTTGACAAGGGACCAATGGCTGACCATGCTGTATAACTCATGCCCCTGATATCTAGATAATCAATTCCCGCCACTAGTTTAAAACCTATATTAAGATGTTATGTATGAGCTCTACCAGTTACAATAAATATAGACAAGCAACCTCACATTTCATTTTCAATGAGTGTCGAGTCTCTTTCTAATTTCTCCATATCTTCTGGCAAATCAAGCTCTCTGGGCGATCTATCAAAAGCTGTCCAATAGGCCCAGTGCTTTTGGTACAACTTACTGAATCTTCATATTGAAGTGAACACTCTCCAGCTACTGGCGAATATGAATCCCTTGTTCTCTAGTGGCACTCACACCTACAAATGTGCTGATCAGCAGGCTGGCTTGCTCACAGGTCGATGTAGATTCCCAAACAAATCAGTGTGCGGCATTCAACTTGTGTTTCTCATGCCTCATATAGAGTACTTGGCTGGTAGCCGGGTGACTAGAAAGGTGCCAATTTTTGTGAGCCTATAAGGTAAAACAGGGGGGTCTCCTCAAAAATAGGGCTGTAAGTGTAACCCACAAGAAGGCCAGATATAAATAGAATAGGAAATTTATCACCTTGAAGTACGGAGTACCAGATTGGTTCATGTGAATAGCAAGCGCTTGTGCATTTGAAACAACACACAACGGCAAAATGTCATCATGGTGATGCCGTGTTGAGCCTATTTGCTTGCATGTACTATACACGCGCCCACTTTCCTGGGAAGAAAATCTCGGGTTTGCTCCCTTGGGATCTCATCAACCAAGGCTTGAGGTATAATGACTGAAAACCTGTTCAACACATAGGAAGGACCGCGTATTCAGTTTCACAAAAACATTGCCTGCCGTGTCTCAGTCTTGTGATATTGCGCGGTTCGTGCCATTCCAAGGTCACCCATGATGCTCTGCGGTTGACGGTTCCCCTCGGCATAGATTGCACATTCACCATTTTCGAATTGTAAGGCTGGCGATCGATCTGCAGTGCTACCTGATTTATCATTTCGAGAATCTGGACAGTCTGGACGGCATCAAGAGATGCGATCATGTGGCTCCGACGCTTCGACCTTAATCAATTGGCGCCGTCTCATTGGCTGCGAGCATCCGCTTCGTCCCGATACGGCTAGGCTCGAGGGCTCAAGCTTAGGGTGAGTGACGGATTACATAATGAGGCCTGCATGAAAAATCCAGGGAAGCCCGAGCATCCCAGTCATCGCTGGAAGCTTTGGCCTGCGCAACGAAGCTCCCTAGCCGTTGCGACAGTCGGTAAATATAAAAGCCCTTCTCAGTCTCGGGGCATGAGGATGCGAACAGGTGTTTGAAGCCATCTCACCTCCACAATGGCTGGCGTGACCACGGAAAACGGTGTTTCGAGGCCCAGTACCCCTCCAATGAGCAATTTGGCACTGACCGAATATACCGCCAACCCTTCCCCTCCTTCCGAAAGGTCTGGTCGCCGACCCGACTGGGATGTTCCTGAGAGTTTCCTCCTGCCCAATGGCCATCCAGATGTAGCGCTCCCTGCATCCTTGTTTTGTTTGAGCATCCTCTTTGCTGACGGGATATAGTACCTACGGCTCATTCTGACCTCCCGAGTCTATGAAGTTATCAAAGAGACCCCGCTCACCCACGCCGTTAATATCAGCAATCGGTTAGAATGCAGGGTACTATTAAAACGAGAGGATCTTTTGCCAGTCTTCAGTTTCAAGCTGCGCGGAGCGTATAACAAGATGGCGCATCTAAGCGACCAGAGACGGTGGAAGGGCGTCATTGCATGTTCGGCAGGTAGAAGTTCACTGAGTAATTTTCTCTTTTTGATATATCTGCTAACATTTCTCAGGAAACCATGCACAGGGCGTTGCTTATTCTGCGAGAAAGCTGAAAGTTCCTGCAACCATTGTGATGCCCTCTTGTACTCCTGCTATAAAACATAAGAATGTCTCGAGGTTAGGAGGAAACGTGGTGCTCCATGGGCCGGATTTCGATGCAGCGAAAGAGGAGGCGCACAAATTAGCGAAAATACACGGCCTCACGAATATCCCTCCCTTTGACGATCCATATGTGATTGCTGGACAAGGTACCTGCGGGATGGAACTGCTCCGTCAGGCGAACCTGCAAAATTTAGAAGCTGTATTCTGCTGCGTTGGCGGAGGTGGTCTTATTGCAGGCATCGGAGTTTATATCAAGCGCATTGCGCCACACGTCAAAGTCATTGGTGTTGAGACGCGCGACGCCAACGCCATGGCACAATCATTGGAGAAAGGTGAACGGGTCACATTGAAAGATGTTGGTTTATTTGCCGATGGTGCAGCAGTGAAAATTGTTGGCGAAGAAACTTTCCGTCTCTGTCGGGACGTTGTGGACGAGGTCATTCAAGTTACCACAGATGAAACATGCGCTGCAATCAAGGATATATTTGAAGATACAAGGTCGGTGGTGGAACCCGCAGGTGCACTTGCTCTTGCTGGAGTTAAGAAATATGTTGCCAAATACCCGTCATCGGACCCCAACCGCGAGCTGATTGCTGTCGCGTCCGGTGCAAACATGAATTTTGATAGATTGCGATTTGTAGCTGAACGGGCTGCACTAGGAGAGAAGAAAGAGGCTCTCCTAAGCGTCACTATTCCCGAAAAGCCTGGTTCGTTCGCAAGATTGGTCGAAGTCATTATGCCGCATGACATCACGGAATTCAGCTATCGGTATTCTGCACCAGACTCCGCAGCTGTCTTCATGGGAATATCACTCTCTGCCTCAACCGGAGTTGTGGACCTGGCGGACTTGAAGGTACAGATCGAAAAGGCTGGAATGGTAGTATCCGACATGAGCGACGACGAACTGGCAAAAACGCACATTCGGTATCTCGTCGGTGGCCGGAGTAATGTCCCTGACGAACGGATTTTCATGTTTGAATTTCCAGAGCGGCCTGGAGCGTTGGCTCGATTCCTAACAACGCTTCGCCCGCATCAAAACATCACCTTGTTTCACTATCGTAATTATGGCGGGGACGTTGCAAACATTCTTGCGGCGATCCAATGCCCACCAAATGAAAATCAAGAGGTCGAAGCATTCCTTCGAGACCTTGGTTACCCGTTCAAAGAGTGCACAGGGTCGCCGGTTTACCAAAAGTTTCTAAGGCACTATTAGCTTAACCGTTATAATACTTAACTCTCCGCAAGGAGGACGGCACTATGTGCCGGGTGTGGTTTGATTGAGTCTCAGCATAATATTACCGGTCTGGCGTTATGCGATTGTGCATTCTTCTGGGTATTTCAAAATCCATAGGGCTATTCGATGATTATTTCTAGCTCTGGGGATCCTTCTGTGATTCTTTCTGTTTCTTTGGGACACCTCGCTTGTTGGTTTAACAGGCGTGTGTGAGAGTATGGGTGCAAGGCACTAGAGCTATTGTGAAAATAAATATTCTAGACTATTTTTGCCTGCATCAAACAATGAGGATCAATCGTTGTATGTATGGAGTCCTCTATATAGAGGTGAGGTCAAAGCGAGACGTTTTGAAGGGATGCGATTAATACAAGATGGACGAAAGGGGGTTTGTCCGGAATCTCGGCGAAACTAATATCCGAGTCCATTTCATGCGAAAATCGAAATCCAGTATGGAGAGGTACGGAGGAGTTGATGACATCGAGCTATCCGACCAAATCAAGCAATCCCTGCGTTGCCTGCTGTATTCGCGGGTTAATTTCTTTCGCCCTGCCGTTATCGACCTGACTGGTGTCCTTGCTGCTTATAACCCCATTGCGCCCCAGAAGCCATGATACGATCCCTTCTCACCACCAACCCGGCTCTCTCGCTCCGCCAACTGCCCTCCTTCTTGTCTAACAAGATATGCCGCTCAACCTGGTCACGTTCGCTGTGGCAATTAAGCCAATCGACGAATAAACGCTTGAATGTGCTTCAGAAGCTGGCTGTTGGCGCAAATGGCTCAGGATTCGTATCTGGTAGCGGAGGTGCTTTCTCGCAAGTACGGGGAATGAAGACTCGCTCGTCGGTGAAGAGACTTTGTGATGGGTGCAAGGTTCGTGGACATAATCTTTCTTGCTTTGCGGTGCGGGAATAAGCCTGGGTTTTATGTGAATGAGAAACCCGTCGGTTGTTTCATCCAGGTCGTTCACTTTGATTTTATGATGAAAAGCAAAAAAGACTAATTCGACAATCTGGATTTTTTAGCCCGTGAGAAGAAAGAATCGCGTTTTCATTATTTGGTAGAAACCCTTATCACCTACTCCGAAATCCGAGTCTAATACCTTTCCGCAGTTCGAAGAACCCGAAGCACAAACAACGACAAGGGAAATGAATGGGCCCCGTTTCTACTGTATTATATCTCCGCCAAGTCGGTTCATTTGAGTGGCCGAGACCATCGATATCGGCTTTGAGCATGACCATAAATACTGGCATTGGCGCTGAAAGGACTTCTACTTTTCACTCGCATACTCTGGGGATTCTGGCGCTTGGTACACAGTTCCTTCTTGGAAATACGAAATATGTATTATATGTTTGTGTGATTTCGCGGGCGGCTTCGGCTTCTTATGGTTTCTATGCTGTAGCTCTTGATGCCGTGAACTTTCTGGATGGAAATTCTCGCCGTTCGCCGGAGCACGCAGCAGACGCGGGGCCTGCGGCGAAACCCAACCATCAGCCTCGCGTAGCAATTGCTTTCACCCTCTCAGTAGCACAACCTCGTGTTCATCCCATTGAGACAGTGATAGAGCCTGGTGTTGGACTTTGTCGTTCCTGCAGATCCTCAATCCCACGTGACCTTGTATAAAGTTTGACCTCCCGAGCCTTGGCAAAGTCTAAAAAAATAAATTATTAGCAGTCGTTCTCAACGCGCGCTGCGGAGGAAGCGGACGAGCACTGTTGCAGCCCTTCGACTCTGTGTAGGCCAAAGGGACAAATCCATTCAAGATGAGAGCTCATACATTGATGCGGGCGCAAGTCCGCTCTCTCGCGGGTACTCCAAAACCGGCAATGCGACCACTTCACAATTCGCTCTGTGCTCGACGATGCCTCTCAACGGCTCCTTTTCGGTCTCTGCCTACAGCTTCACACCGGCTCCCGTTGAGCAGAAAGTGGGAATTGAAGCGCAATTATGCTTCTGCAGCAGCTGCAGCAATGTGAGTATTATTCGGTTGCACTGGAAAGTCTCTACTCAGCTACTGATCGCATTCGTCCTTAAGGCTTGAGCAAGCTGCCGCGGAGCCAGAAGGGCTTTCGCTGGATTCCATCATTGAGAATATGGACCCGGTAGAGGCCGCAAGGATATCGAAGGTCCGAAATATTGGTATCGCGGTGCGTGGGCAAATCACCTATCCGTTCAAGACATAGCTGAGCTAATATATCATTTCATAGGCCCATATCGACAGCGGTAAAACTACATCGACGGAACGTGTCCTTTTCTACACCGGACGTATTCAGGCTATTCACGAAGTTCGTGGCCGCGATTCGGTTGGAGCGAAGATGGACTCCATGGATCTTGAACGTGAGAAAGGAATTACTATCCAATCCGCAGCCACCTTCTGTGATTGGGTTAAGAAGGAAAATGGAAAAGAGGAGAAATACCATATCAACTTGATTGACACACCTGGCCATATTGACTTTACGATCGAGGTCGAGAGAGCGCTCCGTGTTTTGGACGGTGCGGTTATGATCTTGTGTGCCGTTTCCGGCGTCCAGTCCCAAACCATTACCGTCGACCGACAGATGCGGCGATACAACGTCCCCCGTATCTCTTTCGTGAATAAGATGGACAGAATGGGCTCCAATCCTTTTAAGGCCGTTGATCAGATAAATCAGAAGCTGAGGATACCTGCCGCCGCAGTTCAGGTTCCGATTGGATATGAAGATGAATTCAAGGGTGTTGTTGACATCATTCGAATGAAAGCTATTTATAACGAAGGACCCAAAGGTGAAATTATCGTTGAAAAGGATGAAATCCCCCCCGACGTCCGTTCAGTAGCGGAAGAGCGAAGAAGGATGCTTATCGAGACCCTTGCCGATGTTGACGACGAAATTGCCGAGATGTTCTTGGAGGAAAAAGAGCCGACAGTTGAACAGATTAAGGCTGCGATACGACGGGCCACAATTGCTCTAAAATTCACGCCAGTCTTTATGGGCTCCGCTTTAGCAGACACGGCCGTCCAACCGATGCTTGACGGTATTTGCGACTATCTCCCAAATCCCGCTGAGGTTCAGAACCTGGCACTTGACCAGAAACGCAATGAGGCTTCCGTCAAGCTTGTTCCATATAACTCTCTACCATTCGTTGGTTTGGCTTTTAAACTTGAAGAAAGCAACTTTGGCCAGCTTACGTATATCCGTGTTTATCAGGGCACTCTTCGAAAAGGAGCCAATGTGTTCAATGCTAAAAATAACAAGAAGATCAAGGTACCGCGCATTGTCCGTATGCACTCCAACGAGATGGAAGAAGTTTCTGAGATCGGTGCCGGCGAGATTTGCGCCGTGTTCGGGGTTGACTGTTCTTCCGGAGACACCTTCACCGACGGACAATTGAACTACTCCATGACCTCTATGTTCGTTCCTGAACCTGTTATTTCGCTCTCCATAAAACCCAAAAACTCCAAGGAACTTCCCAACTTCTCCAAAGCCATTAATCGGTTCCAACGTGAAGATCCAACTTTCAGGGTCCATTTTGATCCCGAGAGTGAGGAGACAATCATTTCTGGAATGGGTGAATTACATCTGGACATCTACGTCGAGCGCATGCGCCGTGAATACCGAGTCGACTGCGAAACTGGAAAACCTCAGGTCGCATACCGTGAAAGTATTGGAAAGCATGTTGAATTTGACCACTTGCTCAAGAAGCAATCCGGTGGACCTGGTGATTATGCGCGCGTTGCCGGCTGGATGGAGCCAACTGGTAGCTTGGAGAAGAATAAGTTTGAGGAGCAAATTACTGGAGGCAGTATCTCAGAAAAATTCTTGTTTGCTTGCGAGAAAGGTTTCAACATGGCTTGCGAGAAAGGCCCATTAATTGGCCACAAGGTCCTCGGTACACGTATGGTTATCAATGACGGTGCTACCCATATGACCGATTCGTCTGAAATGTCGTTCAAGAATGCCACACAACAAGCGTTCAAGAAAGCATTTATGGAAGCTCAGCCACATATTCTTGAGCCTCTCATGAAGACAGTTATTACTGCTCCATCAGAATTCCAGGGTGACGTTATCGCCTTGTTGAACAAGCGCAATGCTATTATTAATGATACAGAGACCGGTGTCGACGAATTTACTGTCTATGCGGACTGCAGTCTGAACGGCATGTTCGGGTTTAGTACGAACCTGCGCGCCGCTACCCAAGGCAAGGGAGAGTACACCATGGAGTTCAGCCATTACGAAAAGGCGCCTGGACAGTTGCAGTAAGTTAACCCCGTTCCTGATAACAACTGGTGGTACGGGAGACTTAATACTTGAAATTTACAGGAAGGAGCTTGTCGCTGCGTATGAAAAAGCACAAGCTGCTAGACATAAAAAATAAGTGATATGTGCACTCCCTTTCTGCGAAAATGATTCCCAAGGTTATGCATATTTACGGCGTTTCCATGGAATCTGTTCAACCTAGGGTTGGGCCAGTATATAACCCAAAGCTCATCGAGCTTCTCTGAATGCTTCGTGACATCCCCAGTCTACGACTTCAGTTTCACTGGTTATTCATTTTTATGATATCCTGCTGTACATCTAATCTTTACCTTCCACCTGATGTAGTTTACCTTGTCGTGTTTTTCTTTCGGCTAAAGGGGCGGGGATCCAGGCGAACCACCTATGGATTGTTCTCTTTCTTATATGTCCCGCAATTCCGCTACACATTTTACTTTAGATCTTTATGTTTTCCGATGAATTAGGATAGATTTTTAGGTCCTGGCGTCATCTTAAGTTTGAATTGCATGTGGAGCGTTTGTGTTTCTCCTCTGTTTTTTTAATAGTCGGACGGGACAACGATCCGTGGAAAAGGATTTTGGTTAGATTTATTGGGTTTATTATAGGCTCTCCGCTCCAAATAGATATGGATATTGCTTTTATGGTTCGAACGCAATACGACTGGGGTCTATACGCAGTTTGTTAAATACGGTCTATAGATTGTTTACTCTAACAGTTTCGCTGATTGGCGATATCTGTCTACAAGGCCTCAGAATAACACCGCGTTTCAGTTTCCATCAAACAATCTCATCATTGCAAGGGCTGCCGGGCTAAGGCTGGCTATTTTCGTTATGCCCTGTAAAGAGATATGTAAGTAACTCAAATGGTAGGATGGTTCGTACCAACAGTGATAAACGAGAACTCGCAAACGTACCTCCATATCGTATTTTTTCCCATCTCACTGTTTTCAATCCAGATCCCACCCTTCGTTCCCAAACCTTGACTTCAGTGGCATTCTCATGAGGAGCTGATTCCTCGACGAAAGTCCCTAGCAGGGAGGCTTGCTCTCCTCCAACAGCTGCTTCCCATGTCCTCTTGCCTTCGCGCCAGGGAATATCAGGGTCATTTGCAGCGTGCAAAATTGTGAGACGGAAGTCCTTATTGTTGTACTTCTCATCAGAGTCAGATTTGGACAATATTCCGGTTAGCCTTGCGAGGCGTGACGCAGTATCCCAGTTGTCAATGACGTGCTCAAGAACATATTTCTGGTATTGGGGGTATCCCATCAATGGCGAGAGGATTGGCGGAAGTATTCCCATGATGCAGTAACTCTCCAGGAGTTTGGGAATGTTTGAAAATGGGGCGACGAGCATGAATCCAGCAAGTGACTTGACAGGAGAGACGTCGCTAAAAGCAAGCCGTTCCGCAAGTCCGGCGGCGACGGCTGTTCCAAGGCTCTCACCTGCGACTGCAATCCGGGATGAAGGGATTGAAAGAGGGGGTGAGGTAAGGTAATTTATGACGGTTAATGCATCCGTGATCAAGCCCTCTTCGGTAGGCGTACCGGTAGAGATTCCGAATCCCCTATAATCGAACGCTATCACGTGGACGGGTTGAGATGGTGTTGACATTGATAGGAAGTTGCGGTAGATGCCCGGACGATAGCCTGAACCAAGGTTCGCGGCGTTTCCATGAACTATGATTATTATTATCAGTGTCGACCGCTTCACATTTGGCAATGGAAAGTGAGACATACGGTTCACAATAACTCGAGCGTTCGGATTTTCAAGGAGCAGTTTGAAAGCAACGGTCTTGGTTACATCGTCCGCTACGCCATGGCTGTGATGGGCAAGGAGCTCACTCTCATGCTCTTTATAAAGATGGAGCGGCAGCACATGCCATGCATACAGAGTGGCATTATCGGGCGTTTTCAGATTAAAGGGCTGCACTTGAGATTCTATTGATTCGGGTTAGGACTCCCAGACGTTTCGCTATCTAAACCAAGGACCACAAAGTACTCAAGAAGCCAAAATTCTCGACATCATTGATATCATAGAATCTCGATGGATTTATCCCATGTGAGTACAACACACTGGCGCGATAATCAGTAATTAACGTCTAGCGAGGGTGAAGGGAGGACGAGGTAGATTCACCCCCGTTGGACGGCAGGATATGTCAGCGCAAAGATCGCAGAGACATATATGAGACCGCAGAACGCAAGAAACCAGTAGGCCTTCTTGAAAATTGGCGCGAGCTGCACCATGGCCACGATCTGGGAGAACTTGTCGAGTTTGTCGTGAGAGCTGAAGTAGTTCTCCTTTTGATGCGTCGCGAGATTTTATATCCTCGGGATGATGTAATCAGGGCTAGCATTCCTTAGCTTGAAGTCTATGGCTAGCTTAAACTCTATTGCCGCTATCCGCCACGTGATATCACAATTTCCATTCTCGGTCGCGTCAACTTTGGCCGACGAACAGGAGAGTGGTGCACGACAACAGCCGTTCTCACGCCTCGGAAGCACCGCAATCTCGGTATGCAAGAATATGGCAGAAACACGAAGGCTCCGAGCCGCCACAGCTATGAGATCACGCAAATCAGAGTCCTCCGCCCGCCCGCCGCAACGCCAGGTTCCGGCGAAGAGGAAGGCCTCAACGCCTGCACAGATTCCCCAGCTCCTCGGGCCTGTTGAAGAATCTCTACCAACAAAGATCAAGGTAGGAGAACCGCTACCAACCCTAGGCAAAGCTCAATCAACGACCCTTTATACACAAGATTACCAATCCTACAGCGAGAGGTGAGATTCTGGCTGCGATGAATTTGGATGGTCAGCCACTGTATTCTAACCGAGTTACTACTTTCCTTAGCTCCGTGGCCGCAGCTGCCCTCCATCGTTCACAGACAAAATGGCTCCAAGATTGTATTTTCGAGAAATACTGGACCAAGCCCTCTAGGAAGAAGGGCCAGCCGCAGCCCACGACTCCGAACCCCCCCAAAGAATCGATGACCAAGCTAGGACCGTGTACAATCGTGATCGAACCTCACCATTTTGAAGTCATGCTTTACGCTGTGCGCAATCTGCAGCCGCAGCAACGATATGTCGCTCCTCCAATCCAAAAGCCTTTGATTCACGTTCAATATACGGCGCCAAACAGCCCAAGCACTTTTCACCAATACCAGCCGCCTCCGCCACCACCCTTTCCTCGTTCATCCCCTCAAATCCCTCCGAGCCCTCAAATTCCCCCTTCGCATACCCCGCAAACTTCTCAACCTCCTGGCCCCCCTCCAAACCAACCTCTTGCCAGCGAACAGGCGGGGCAGATTAACCCTCCAGGCCCTCCCCCTGGCCCTCCGTCGCGGCCTCCTTCGCGCCAACATGTCTCGTCTATCGAACCAAAACCAAAACCAAGCCCTACCCCTCCTCCCAAAAAGTCTCTAGATCCGTCTCCGCCGCCGCCGAAAGGTAGCACAGATCCTGTCATACAAATGTTGGCCACAAGAGCTGCTGTGAATCCCCAATTAAAAGCGCTCATGCGCGTCGTGGCATCGAGTGAAGCAACTGAAGAGCAGTTGCGGACGTTTCAGGCGCATATCGATGAGCTTAATGCGATAATTGCGAGCCGAAATAAACAGGACTCTCGAGTCAATTCCCCAAAAAGCAACCTAGCCTACATTCCGCAACATTCTAACATGTCCCCTGCACCTAATGTTCAAACACCTGGCCCTCAGCAAGCCGCTAGGCCTACCGCTAAACCGCTTGCCTATCAACCCCAACCCAAGCCCCATCCTGTGCCCCCAGGCCAGTATTCCATCCCGCCCCAAGCGCAGCCACCTCGCTCTGCAACCTCCACTCCACCCATCCGGTCCAAATTTCCGCAACAGCCACCACATAGCTCTTATATTCATCAGCAAAGGATACCACCCCCGCTTCAACCAGCAAGACAAGATATCAAGGCTATAGTTTTCGAATTCATTACTCCTGCGGGTTCCGGGCTTACAACCTCGGGGGACAGATATCTTCTCCCTGAAAATATGATTATTGACTATATTCCCCCGGGAATGCAAGTTATAGCTTCGTTCCTTGTCGTCAAGAAGGTTGGCCCTTCTGGAACACCTCTAGATGCGGCTCCCCCTGGGACTAGCAAGCCGAAGACGAAGAAGCCCAAAGCCTCTGCAATCCCCGCTCCCCCCACCCCAGTCGTAGATTCTCCTAGAGGCACGCCTCAACCATCGACCTCTCAGCAAACAGTACAGTCATCACAGGGGGGCGAGCAACCTGCCGCCACCCCAGGTCCTTCCGGAACGAAAGACGATGCCTCTTCAAAGGAACCACCATATAAAGAATACTATCAACCAATTACAATGCGGTTATTTGCGGGCAATTCGCGTGTCCTCGAGCCTCTAGCGCGGGTGGTCAAGCCGCTCGTCGAAGTCCAACAATACATGAACAATGTGATGGACCGAATCGAACGCGCTCCCATTCGATATCTCGCCATGCGATTGCCGCGCGAAAAGGCCACTAAAAATGGGGCGGACGACGACAAAGTTGCTGAAGTAAGTGGAGGTGCTAGTACTCCCAAGCATGGCAATGCCGGGAACGGCAGCAGGAGTAGAGCCAGGAGCGAGATTGGAGATTCTGAAAGTACTCCGGCTCCGGACGAGGTCGAAGAAGAGTTGAAGGACTTTTATGATGCTCCCTCTGGGCTTGTTCCCCTGAGATGCTAAGTTTCTTTGCCAGGTATCGCCAGATACAGCTTCAAAGAAGCAAGTGATTTCGACTGCTTGTTTATGACATAATGAGTGGAGCGTTTTTAAGCAATATGTTATCCCGCTTGATTGATTAGTTAGGATGGCCCACGAAAGTGCGGCAGAAAACGAGCTCTTCAGATAATAAAAATGGCGGCTATACAGACCACAGATAATCTGAGAATAATAGGCTGCATTCATGATTCATTACACACATTTTCTCCTCAACGCCTTCGCGGGCTGTACTGCGAATCGCCAATAATTCCAGCCATTTCCAACAACGCCCGTCCAGTCTGCGCCTCACTATCACCCCCGCCAACGTTCAAATGGATCGTCTTCCTTCTTTCAGCTTCCCGAGCCTCAAAATCCCACATCGCTTTCTGCATCGAAATAGCATCCTTTGGGGAATTGGGATCGAGATTCGCATCCAGTTCCGCTGGCGTGGGCACCACGCCCCATACCTCGATGGAATGTATGGATATAGACATCGTGGAGGATGTTGCTGATGCTGAGAGTGAGAGTGATGACGAGGGCGAAAGACCTGGAGGGAGGAATACTCCGTCCCCGTGGAGTCCGTCAGAGACGTAAAATGTGGCGTTCTCAAGGGCCGGATCGATGATCAGACTACCTCCACCGCTGGGTCGGGGTTGAAGTTCATTGTTTAGTGATGTGCGTGAAGAAGGGGGAATCATACATCCGACGGCGATACCAGAATTCGTGGAGAATGAAACGACGGGCATGTTGGATTTGAGGGACTTGAAAGCCGGCGCTGCTTGGAGGACGGTGTGGGTTGGTAGGAGCTGGAAAAGACAAGGGAATCTGGAAGTATCCAGAAAGTCTGACATCGGGGTGGAAAGAGGGCTTGTAGATCGTTTCCAAGGCTCTGGCAGGTATGCTCCGGCCAAAACAGTCTCTTGTTTCGAGGAAGACGAGCCGGTTACACCCTTCAATAAAAGAAGACTAGGGGCATGCCAGGTCAAAACATGATGCGAAAACGCCGTGAGAGATTCGCCATGGAAATCCGAAGAGAAAACGGGGTGCAAACGGGTTTGATTGCGGAAAAGATTGGGGATTGGATATGAAGTGGAAAGAAAGAATGAGAGGTGGGATAGGATCGCAGAGTTAAGTATGTTCGTCTCAAAGTGGCCTGGGAGGAAGACGCACTCCAAATGAGGCGAAGGAGGCGGGGATGGTGAGTTCGATTCCTCATGGCTCTGATGTGAGTCCTTCCGCTTCGATAGATCTAGATTTTTGCTGAATAGGAAATGCTCGAAAAGCGGCGTTAGTGGATCAAAGAGGAATGGAAGAGATGTCGTGATAACCCTAGAAAAGTCCGATAAGTAATGGCCATCGCCGTTGGCTTCATCTCCAAGGCTGCATGATGCTATCCAACTGGGCTGAACTGCGTCGATTGACTCTGCATCTGTTTGAATCATCTGACGTCGTCCCATGGGATGCAGCGGTGCGATAACGAGCAGCAGGGCTAGCAGTCTCCGAAACGTGCTAACGGAAATGCGTGCCTTGTACACGCTTCGATCAAGGCGCTGATCATGCTTGAATACTTCAATTGCGTCCAAGGATTCCAAAGCAGCCAGGGCTAAATCATCATCGTCGTCTTCCTCCTCTCCATCATTAGCAGGTGCATCAATACTGAATCCCGTAATATTAGAAGAGGCCCCGTCTGTACTATAGGCCTCATCACTGCTCATCTTAGTATCGACTTGAGATGTTTCTCGCTGTTTTTCTGTCTGCGTACGACCAACATCGGCCAAACTCCCAAACAGCAGCTTCATTCGATCCTTTCGACCTCTCTTTAGAACTCGTCCATACCTCTCAGTTAAAAGCACGATGACCTTCACGATAGCATCATAAGTAAGGACGCTGGGTGCGAGCGTGTTATGGAACGGGAATGCTCCCAGGTAAGACACCATGCGAAATAAAACGGGGCCAGCGTCAAGTGTGGCATCAGTCTGCGGACTGGCTTTCTCTCCTGCTCCATCTGGTATTCCCAAAAAGCGTGACAGGATCTCTTCGTTCCAATATCGAAGGCCATGCTCGTCCAAAGCCTGTGAGTTGAAGTTGTCTTCTAAATGGGTGAGTTCGAGGGGCGTAAAGCATTTCGAAGCAAACCGCTGAGCCAGCAAGTGGCTCATCTCCTCTAAATTGCAGTGAAGCACATTTCCTCATAGTTAATGGCATGTCCTGATTATCTGCGCAGCACATGAAGAAAACTAGCAGGTAGACAAGATGGCTGTGATCCGAACTCTTCAACGTACCGGGAGACGATCTACCCTCTGTGGTCGTGGTTGATTGACCAGCACCCATTTTGTCAGTTTAACTGGAAACGCGAGAGCATTCAATTCTCTGAGCTGGTCTCGGCATGCACAGGTAGTTAACCACTAGATATCACGCCAGAAAGTGTTGCTGGCCGTAGAGGCTGACAGATGGCATCCGAACCTGAAATGATCTTTGCTGCAAAGGATCTTGTTGAGTGTTGACTGAACAAAGACCGCCTTTCTGACACTGAAGGAGTTTAACTATGGAATTGGGCCTTCGAGTCTAGACCTCGCGCCACCTTGCTGTCGGTTGCACTGGATGTTGTCTTGGAGCCCCAGGATGTCCCGTGACATCATAGTCCGGGGTCAAAAGTCTAGCCAACAGCGTCATGGATTTGAGGCAGGATCTGCTTTAATGCTTGGGATTTGCAGGGCAGCTACCCAGTCAAAACTTCAATATGCTCGCTACCAATACAAGCTGAAGCTAGTACAAAGGCCATGGACTGTGGGGGATACAATTTAAGCTACGTAAGAATAGGATAGTGTATGAATCATGTCAAAAAAACCCAGCAATCTGGATGCTCGTAGAAACGCCCCCGTGGAAGTGGTTGGAAGAGGGAGTTCAGACGAGGACAATTCCCACGCCTCCTCTCTTTTTCTCGTCGGGAAAGTTCTTTTCGTTCACACCACCAGCAACAGTGGCCGTGCGATAGTTGAAGAGGTAATAGTGAAGTTGACCGTCTCCCGGACCGAACTTGAGCTGTTCAAGGAATAACGGGTTATCGTGCAAGGTCAGGGCGTTGAATACGTCAAAATGTTCCTAAAGGTTGTTAGTGGCCATGCGCCCCAAAGCGACGATTTGTGACATTACCTTCTTTGCAAGAATCAAGGCATCGTTGACGAGCCCTGTCAGTCTTTCTCGTAAGCCCCTTTCCTTTTCCGCAAAAGCCGTCTCTGTAGCGTAATAGTACATATATGCAGCTCTGATCGAGTTATGTTTCTCGCTGTGAATAACTGTAGACTCAAGGGAATAAAAAGAAACAAAGTCGGTGATTTTATGCGTTTCGTCCTCTTCGACCACATAAGCAAAGACGACCTGCTCTGTCCCAGGTTTCTCTTTGTGGATGAATAGATGCTCGATTTCCCGTCGGCTGAATGATTGTGCAAGGTCAAAGCGTTTCATATATCGGTTAAGGAGATCATGGACGGCATCGATATCTTTGCTCTGCATTGGTCGTAGACCCGGCGTGGCTGTTTTACTTGGAAGGTGATTCCTTGTAATCTGTCTGGCTTTTGTCGACCCTGCAGGAAGAGCGGAGAAACCGACCTCAAACAGTTTCAGCCAGTCAAGCGCACGGTGATAGTACCGACAGGAACCAACTGGCGTTGGCAGAATAATCCCAGCAGTATAAATAGCTTGGAATATGCCGTCGAGGTTACATCGCCGAGTGATTTCCTTGATTAAAATGGGTGTTAACCGTTTCGAGCGCAATTTCTTGTGTATGCATAAGAAGTTGATTTCCGTGACCTTGATCGGTTGCCCGCGCACGACGATCTCCGCAGGTACACCGCAAATAGTGGCAACCAGCTTGCCAGATTTGGAAGCTCGAACACCGACATGCCATTCCTTTTTCCATCCAGGTGCTTTTAGGGCCCTTTGACGTACGTTAACAGGACCAAACACAGAACCGGGATTGGGTCATTTGCACTCACCAATTCAAGAAATCCGGCGAGTAATTGAAACGGAACATTGCGCTTCCATCTTCGACATAATGGTCTGATAGCAGCTCATAAAACTCTTTCAGCTCCTTTTCGTTGTTGAGATCCAATGTGACCCATTCAAACCCTTCGACTAGCGGGTCTGGGTTCTTCGGTACATCCTCCACGTTGACTTCCTTAATCGGTCCATCTGCGGCGGAGCTCTTCTCGTCAAAGCGAGGCACAGGCTGCGTCTGCCAGAACTTGAATGAAGCCATATCCTTTTGATTCTTTTGATTCAATGAGAGGCCCGTGAGCAATTCCGATATATCCATCTTTCGCAGCATTTCCGCAGCTTTCGCTTTGTCCAAGCCTGCCAGCTCGTTCTTTAGCGCAGGATTCATTTCCAATAGAGTCTCCGCCATGCTGTCTGTCAATTTCGCTCCAGCGGGCGTTTTCGTTGGCTCTTCGCCCTTGGCCTTGCGCTTTCCCTTCTTCTTGTCGCTGGAGTCATCGTGCGCAGGCGGAGACTCATCGCGACGGGGATCACTAGGAGCGGTATCCTCCATTGTCTGACTCTGAATGCCTTATAGGTGCAGATCAAAGTGATTGAACTCTGCGACTTGTTGAACCGGCGATAGATAACGTAGGCAATGCGCAGTCTGTTTAAAGAAACGGGGACAAATGGGGCTAAATAATCAGTTAGTTTCCCTCAGATCTAAAGTCAAGCGCGTCCATCGTACCGGGTCCTTACTGCTTGTGTCTATTGATCAAACAGCGATGCGAATGTTGGCTCATCAACCCCTCCAGTTGCGACAAAAGCCACCTACGACAGAACGTCAACTATCCAACAATACGTGTAATCGCTCTATCTGAGAATGTATGTATATGTAACGGTATTACCGTATAATAATAGGAGCTAGATTAGGTAATCACATTCATCGACTCCAGATGGATATATTAATAGGAGTGCTCCATGGATAGATTTGAATGATGATGCCCTGTTTGCAGGTGTTGAGGCCTAGCAATACGCTCCTACTTTCTTGCCAACTGCCACTGGTGCAAAAATGATAGTTTCTCCCCAAGCGGCTTTGCAATCCTGGTTAAAATCGGGCTGGCATTCTCCACCGGTATTTCATCGTTCCGAGTATATTAGAATGGTTGGGCCCCTCCTTGGGAAGAACAAGATACGGCCTTATTGCTGTGTGGTTTTGGTCTCCAATACCTCAATCAAGCCACCAACAAGATGCAAACTCCCCGTCACAAGAGCTGAGACTGTATCATCTTGGCGAGAGGCCAAACTCCGCACATACTGGACTGCCTCCTCAATTGTGCCTTTCACTACAACAGTGGTGTTCGGTGACAGATTCCTCCATGTCTCTGCCAGAGTATTTTGTACACTCAATTTCTCAACATCAGTGGCGTTGGTATTAATGCTCACAAGATCTGGCTGATATCCCGCTTCTTTGTATGTGATGTTTGTGCAGAATACGGCGTGGGTAAATGAGCAGTTTCCCGCAGATAGTGTATCATGAAGCGCCTTTGCAAGTGCCGAGCTGTCACGGGATTGCTGGTTGAACACTAGGACTTGCGGCTTGTCATGTCCTCCCGCTGGAGAGCTGTGGGTATAGGGTTGTGAAGAGAACCACCTACCCGTGGCTTCAATGCTATCCAACGTATGACCTCCGTCAATGTGCCAAGTAATGTTTGTTTCTTTTCTAATCTCGCATCTGCCACCCAGGCGGGTATTTTCTAGACCTCGTATGATCGGTGCTGCCAGGGGCTCCTTGTCAGCGTAGGATGGAGCGCCCTCAGCTCCTCGAGCGCGTAGGAATGAAGTTGCCACAGCCACCGCAAGTTCTGCGTTTTTGTACTGAAAATCACCGGACAAGCCGAGTCGAATATTACCAGGCTTCAGGTCTGGATGGCCCGTCGCAACGTGTACGTCAACTCCTCTTTCTTTCCCTCTCTTCCTTATAACCTCTAGAGCGCTTTCTGGCTGGGGGGCAGTGTAGGCGATTGAACCCGGTTTCATAATTCCTGCCTTATGCCAAGCAATCTGTTCAATTGAATTCCCCAGAAGCTCAACATGGTCGATTCCCAAACTCGTGATGCCAGTAACAATGGGACTATCCAGAATATTCGTGCTATCATATTCCCCTCCAATTCCACATTCTATGATAGCTGCGTCCACGCCTTCTCTTAAATACGCATGCCATGCCATCAACGTGAGGTATCGGAAATAAATTGGTTTCGTCGCGGGGTCAGCCGGGTCCATGCCAGCCTTCCGAGCAGTGTCTTCCAGCCGATCCCATATTTCGAAGAAGTACCGAGCGAATTGCTCCTCGGATAGGGGGGTATTGTTGATCTGTATACGTTCACGCACGAATCGAAGATGCGGGGATGTATATAGGCCAACTTTGCTAACTTTGTAATTTGGCGAGAGATTCGAGTTTTGTGAGGTTTGCCGCCCGCTCGCGGGGGTGTACTGGGAGAGAATCGAAGAAATGAACGCGCATGTAGAGCCTTTGCCCTTGGTACCTGCGATATGGATCAAGTTCAATTTGTTGAAGTCCGACGGCTGTTCATGACGAATGATCAGACGTCAGCATTCGCAATCCCGGCGCGAAGACGAGTTCGTAGAAGACCTCAATCGCACACCTTGTATCCGATTTTCTCACACCATTCTACCATCTCATTCAATGCGGTCTCGTTCATCCGTCCGCCTGATTTTCGAATCTTTTGGACGATTGAGTAGTTTGATTGTAGCGAGTTGAGTGCCGTGATGGCATCCTGAGTTCAAACTGCTATCAGCCATGATAAGTTTATCGAATCAACAGTTCACGGGGAAGAGTTAGAGCAAACATTGTATGTGCGCCCCATTTTGGAGAAATTCCGAGCTGTGAGGTATGGCAAGTAGTCAAATCCGTTAAAGGCTCGAGGTTGACGCCTGTACATTGCCACAACGCTTGGAGACATTGGAAGATCGATTTATATTTCTGATGATTGTTCGGCCCGTTCTTCGGATGACCCAAAGCATAAATTCCGCATCAGAAATTGTCAATGGTAAATTGGTAATAGATGCTTTTCCGCGCGTCGGGCAAACCACGACAAGCCGACCAGTACTTTATATTTTGAAGCATGACAGGTATGCTGTTCCATAACAATAGAAGCGATGGCCGATTCACTAGCGGAGATCAGACACGAATCGTTAACTACAACAATGCTTTCAGACCCTCCGAAGAAGATTCTGTTTAACTATAGGTACACTCTTTAAAGAAATAGACAACGAAATGAAAAAGAAATATTACTTTATCAAGGCGTTATGCCAAAAATATATCAGGGAATTCATGGAAAGGCAAATTTAATAGAGCCGAGCCACGCAGCGAGCGGAAAATTATTCTATCCTCTTCTTGCCTTCCTCCATGTAGCCGAGCCGTACATTGCTGAACCCGCGCTGATGCCGAGTTGCAGGTACGAATCGTCCAATTACCTTATCTGAGTGCGCTCTTTGTAATGCGTCAAGGTAGCCCTCTGTGGCTGCTGCTGGAGTATTGAGTTTAGGCCAGTTTACCTGTCAAGGACCTTTGTTAGCCTATTTCTAGTTGGAACAGTTATAGATGGAGTAGCTCACATATAACATGCCATGGGAGTAGATGAAACGTAGACACCAGGCTCCGACGACCATCCAAAAAATAAGGAACAACCTTATTGGCCAGGCGGCCGAATCAGGAAGCCTGCGGCTCAGAGTAGCGACGAGGACCATGAAAATGCTGGCTGCAAGGATGTATGGAACGGCTTGGATGACAAGCGGCCGTCGATCCACGAATACCAATTTGCTGCTTGGAGAGAACGAAGGCAGGTAGGTGCCTAAGAAAAGGTCAAAAGCGTCCTGCCGAGGGCCATCGAAAAAGTTATTGCGGATGTATCTGGTCAACGAATTGTTGCCATCGAGAAGGATGCCGGCTTTGGTCCTCTCGCCGGTCCGGGTAAAGTCAGTTTTCAAGGCACCTGTTCCGGAATACGACTTTGAGACAACATCAGCATTGTCTGCCCAAACATTACGGAACATGAATTCGAATTCAGGATCGTCGCTTGCCGATTGCCCTGGTTGTAGAATACCAGCGTCGACTAGTTGGCGTGTGGCTATCCACCGGCCCAGCATGCTTTGCACAACATTAGTGCGGTCTAAACAATCCATACAGTTTGTCCGAACGACACTCGATTGTAGAAGTCGAATATCGAGCGGGCCTGAAGGTTCACCCAAGGGCTCAACGCCACTGAAATACTGCCCTCGCACTAGGCCATCTGTAAGATGGTTAAGCAAAAGCTCCGCCCGATGCCATTGAAGCCCCTTGGTCTCATTATGGAAATCAAAGTAGATGTAGTGAAGTTTATCCATTTGTTGCTTCTTGAGGGATGGGTCGACGATGTGAAATTCTTCAGAAGTCAATTGGTCGGCCTCAGTAGCCTCAGAGGATGAGGTGACCAGTGTGCGAACCATCTGTTCATATGCCTTTTTCACCTTTTCCTCTCTTCCCTTGTGATTTACCAAGTTCACAAGATAGTTTTCGCCGTAGATATTGATCTGTTCGGAAAAATGCTGGCGTGCAGCAGGAACTGCAGTTTCAACACTGCGAACTTGAAGGCGGGGAATGTAGAAGAGATTGTTGATTTCAGACCAGTAAACTGGCACACTACCCCTGGTTTGCACAAATGACATGACGTGCAAGTCTTTGTTGCCGGCACCCTTCAGCTTTCCATTCTGCATGCCGGTTCCCCCGGCAAACCCAGGCAGGCTTCCGGTTGAATCGTTAAGGATTATAATCTGTTCCGTTTCATTATAGTTCGAGACATGGCCCTGTTCATCAATCCCACGGGAGAAGTATCTGGTCCCGCCTCGATACCTCGACCGTCTGGTGATCAGAGCGAAGGTAAAGGGTGTTGACTTGACCTTTGTTGGTGTTATACGTAGCATTCCATACATGGCAGGTAATATGTAAGGATCCACATCAGAGAGCTGACCATATCGGATCCCCGTGCCATCAGACAGCCCGGACCTAAAATCTATGAGATCTGTTTGGATAAAACGATTCCAGAAGAAGCGATCATCGGCTCTTTTCCACAGTGGCGCAGATGGGTCGCTCTGGGATTGACGCTGAAAACTGTTGGTAATATCCAAGGAGTAGGAGAAGTATATGGGGCTGTTCTGTAGGAACTGCTTGAGTAAAGACAGGTATGTATCTTCATCAGGATCGTGCAACGGTCGTTCGCGGAGTGGTAGGAATTCGGTTGCGACCACATTGTATATCATATGACCTCTCAATCTTCCCATCGGACGTGCTTTCGTTATGATGATAATATACTTATCTGTGACAGTCAGCATAGTAGAACAAAAGCTTCGGCAAGAAAGTCCAGCATACCCAGTTTCAACTTGACGATCCCCAAGATTCCTGCGATGCTGGACACCCGTTTCGCGCCTTGTACGGATATATTATCGAGTCGCAGGTCGCCCGATGGCCTCTCAACAACGAGAGTTGGGGCCGACGTTGACGAAGCCGACCGGAACGCATAATGGCGAGGAGAGACAAGGAGATTTATATCGCGGTAGGGGAGCGCGGGCGCCATTGCGGTTGGCTTTGGGTTCCTCTCGGGGAAGCGAAGGTAGATAACGACGGAGAAGGGCAAGGGATTTAGATAGCCGTCATTATCAACAGTGAAGAGATATCAGTCCTTTGCGAATCACGACACACCCACTCGAAGACTGGACAGCTTTCTCGTTCAGAAGGCTGGTATGAGAGCAAATAAGCTAGTTAAGGGAACGGGTTAACTATCGGGAGCTAAGGTGCCTATGTGCACTGAGGCCCTGGTTTGCCCACGGACCAGCTGTTAGCGGGACATCTCAGGGCTCACAATCCCACCAGTGCCACCACCAGCCTGGCGTGTCGATACAGCTCACAGAGCCGTGGCAATTAGCATGCAACTAAACTGTGGCTGATGTGGAAGCAGCTCTTTTGGTTCGTCATCTTTCAGAACTTGCAACCGATGAATGACAACACGCATCACTTTGCCTGCTGATTCCAACTGAGCTCAGCACTGCTCCCTCAAGCAAAGAGACCTGCTCTGTTCACTCTTGTCTCGGCACGTCGACTGCACGATCTCACTTCTCCTGTCAACCCCGCATATCACCCGTTGCGATGGCCGCAAGAGCACCTGCTGGGGCCCGACCTGGAGCCCGATTCGCTCAGTTCAAACTTGTTCTTCTTGGTATGCCTCTTGCTATTTGCTGTCTTTGGATAGCTGCGAGCTGATAACAATACCATCTGTAGGAGAGTCTGCTGTCGGAAAGGTGCAGTTCAACCCCGGCTTCCCTGCATCCAGAGTGATCATACTGACTGCTCCCTCAGAGTTCTTTAGTCTTGCGCTTTGTAAAGGTGAGTGATGGTGCTTGTTTTTGGATACTCCACGCTGGTGATGCAAGGTTACCAAGTGCCGCGGTCTGTGCTGAATCGGTTGGCTAGGATCAATTTGACGATTATCGGGAATCCACCATCGGCGCTGCGTTTTTGACCCAAACTATCTCTCTTGACGAGAATACAACCGTAAAATTTGAGATATGGGATACTGCTGGTCAGGAAAGATACAAATCGTTGGCCCCGATGTATTATCGTAATGCAAACTGCGCAGTCGTCGTCTACGACATTACCCAAGCGGTATGATCTGTCTCCCCGGAAGACCTACAGTACTTTAAAAATACTAATCTCCTGCCGGCCTATATAGTCGTCACTCGACAAGGCGAAATCCTGGGTGAAGGAGCTTCAGCGACAAGCGAATGAAAACATCATCATTGCTTTGGCGGGAAACAAACTTGATCTTGTGACAGATAGTCCCGATAAGCGGGCAGTTCAAGCCGCCGATGCCGAAGCCTATGCACGCGAAGCTGGTCTGCTGTTCTTTGAAACCTCAGCCAAAACATCAACAAACGTCAGAGAGCTATTTACTGCCATCGCGAAAAAACTACCCCTAGATCAAGCTGGCCCACGGAATTTGAGATCAAGCGCTCGCCCAGGCGTGGATTTACGTCCTGAGTCGACCAATACCCAGGCTGGAGGATGCAACTGCTAAATTGGTCTCATATCGGCAACGTCTCTTGATCTCTCTGTTACTCCCGGTACACCCAGTTACTCTCAATATTTTTTCCAACAATGGCCATTCGGATTTCTCTGTCAAACTTCTCGGGAAGCTGCCAGGACTGCTTGGGAGTAGGGAAAATTGTCTCGACAGTAAATGCCGCATCGGTTCCTTCCTCTAGCTTTTCTTCCTCCGGCGCCGCAACCCCCTGGCTTCCCTAGATACCGCAGGCTCCTGATGCTATTTCAGTCGACGCGGCGCTCGAGAACTTTTAGCATTAGGTGCGTTTTTAGACATATGTCTGAATGGCGTCTTGCTCTTGCGTGTGTGATTTATGTTCGTTAGCTGCTCTGGTGTTATTTTGGGGACTTACTGGTCTAATGTGCTTCCTTTATTTTCTTACGAATGTGGCTGCCGATTCATCTTTGCTTTCCCAGTGGTTATTGTCATCAGATTTGGGCGCGGGATTGTAGTTTCTCGTTTTTTCTGCTGGCATCTTTTAATAGAACAGGCGTCCGTTGAGGCGGAAATCCTTTTGCCCCAAATTTCGTGTAATGACAATGATGATAATATTCAGTGCTTTTTGATATCGGTTTTGTAGAAGCATGCGCAATCCCATAGTATCACTGGCTCCGATGTAGTAGCTACTTGAGTATCCGATCGAATCGGGCGCATTGCAGGGTTCCGAATCGCAGAGAAGCAGTGATTGCATGTCATCATTGGATACTCAGCGTTTGTTCTGAAGTAGTTATTAGTTTTCTAGACTGGTGGAGGTGAGAAGTTGATCTCAGAAGACGCTAAATTTTCGTGGCCAAGCAGGAAAACACCCGCTTCAATTGCGCTCTTGTCCCGAGATCTCCCAACTTCAACTTTCCAACGCCGACAATTAACTTGAATTGACGAGCCTCTCGCTGGCAAATTGCAGCGCTATGCTACGCTCTTCAATTGCGCCGAGTCGCCAGCTACTTTCGCCTACTGTTAGCCGTCAATGGCTGCAAGCGTCTCGGGTAAGATAGCTTGAGACTGCCCTCTCGATTTCCAATGGCCTTCAACAAGGAGACCGTTGTCTACTGCCCGTGGGTTATGTACTAATACCAAATATGACCATAGAGATGCTACTCCAGGGTGCGAAGCCCTGCTGCCGTTTCTAAAGGGATTCCAGCCTTTACGCCCAGAGGCCATGCGTTCACAACTAGTGCTAGACTCGCAAACGATCCCAATATACGATCACCGCCCTCGCCTTCGTCGGAATCGACAATCCCGCCTGAGAGTGTACCCCGGCCACCGCCATCTCACCCTATCCAGACTTCACCCGGTTCCACGATCGAGGGTCGTACTCAACCTCCTCCCCCTCCGCCCGTGACTAACACTCCGCCACCACCACCTCCTCCTCCGCCTCCAGCTCCGAAGAAGGGCGGACGGTTACGACGATTGTTGATCTACCTAATCCTTACTACCGGGCTCGCTTACGCCGGAGGGGTCTGGCTTTCCCTCAAATCGGATAACTTCCACGACTTCTTTACTGAATACATTCCGTACGGGGAGGAAGCCGTGCTTTATGTGGAGGAGCAGGATTTCCGTCGACGATTCCCCAATGCCACAAAGCAAATCTCCCGCCGTGCAGTTGAGCCACGGGATGAAGGTCAAAATGTAACTATTCCCGGCAAGAGTGGGGTTTCCTGGAGAGTCTCTGAGGGACAAAAGGAAACTAAGGAGGATGGAAGTGATGTGTCTCGAAGAGGCAAACACATGAGCGCCACGGAAGCCAATACGGCTAAAGAAGCGACCAAAACGTCTACTGTTGAGGAAACCAAAGCCAAGAAGCAGGTTGAATCCGCTGCTCCCACCACTGAAAAGAAATCTGCCTCTGAAACGGTGAAACCCGCTCTTGAAGAACCTAGAGCTCCAGCTATTCCCACCATTGATTCAGTTGAGCCGCTTTCTATGCTTGTGGACGAACCTACCGTTCAGGAGCTTACAAAGATTGTTAACGACCTTATTGCTGTGATAAATGCTGATGAGTCGTCATCCCGATTTACATCTACACTTTCCAAGGCCAAGGCGGATTTCCAGAGACTCGGAGAACAGATTGCTGTACTTAGACAAGACGCCCAAGACGCTGCACGAGTGGAAATAGAAAATGCGCGCGCGGAGATGGAGAGAACAGCTAATGAACTGATTCGACGTATCGATGAGGTTCGCGCAGAAGATGCAGCTCAGTTCCGAGAAGAGTACGAGAGCGAGCGCGAGAGATTAGCAAACGCATACCAAGAAAAGATCAAGACTGAGCTCCAGAGAGTCCAAGAGGTGGCTGAGCAACGCCTCCGAAACGAACTTGTTGAACAAGCGATAGAGCTCAACCGCAAATTCCTTAGCGACGTACGATCCCTTGTGGAAAAGGAGCGGGAAGGCCGTCTTAGCAAGCTTTCCGAGTTGACTGCCAACGTTGGCGAACTTGAAAAGTTGACTGCTGAATGGAACAGTGTTGTGGATACAAACCTGAACACCCAACAACTTCAAGTTGCTGTCGATGCTGTTCGCAGCGCGCTCGAGAACTCAGATATCCCAAAACCGTTCATTAATGAGCTTGTTGCGGTGAAAGAGCTGGCATCGGATGATCAAGTCGTTGACGCCGCTATCTCATCCATCAGCCCGGTTGCCTATCAACGAGGCATTCCATCTCCCGCTCAGATTGTCGAAAGATTTAGACGGTTAGCCACCGAAGTCCGTAAGGCAAGCCTGCTGCCCGAGAATGCCGGTATCGCCAGCCATGCAGCCAGTTACATGGCGAGCAAAGTTATGTTTAAAAAGCAGGGTTCAGACGATGGAGATGACGTAGAAAGCATTTTGACCCGGACTGAGAATCTCCTTGAAGAGGGCAGACTTGATGAGGCAGCGCGTGAAATGAACTCGCTACAAGGATGGTCCAAGATACTGAGCAAGGATTGGCTGGCGGATGTAAGGAGGGTTCTTGAAGTGAAACAGGCTCTTGAGGTGAGATCCTCCGCCCTTAGCTGGATATAATATATAAGCCAAATGCTAATCGCACTATTTGCAGATTATCGAAACGGAAGCTCGTCTTCGGTGCCTTCAGGTTGAATAGGTCTTTGAAGCTGGCTTTTCTATAGCTTCTTTACTGTACACTTACGATTCCTTTGTTGGATTTTCCTAGATAAAAGATGCTTTAGACCTCCAAAGCCTGCGATAGTCAGTCATATAAATAGCTTGTAAACAATTTCATTGATGTGGTGTTTGGCATGTTTGCACGGCCAGCTGTATGTTTGTCCTGTTTGCACCATCAACATCATCCATCGTTCCATCATCTTGAGTGCTCTGTATTTAGCCGGAATGCAGTCTGTTGAGGCGGCGGTGCTTGTGTGGACTCACTGCTGAAGCTGGACAATGGGCAAGGCAATTTGGAGATCTCTTGGCTAGTTAACAAATAGCTGTTGCCATCTGTGAAACCTGTTGAGTCTTGCTTGCCCCGTGTCCTCGTGATGGTCTATGCATTGGTGGCAACGATTCGCACGCCAAACATGTATGGGTAGCATTCCAACTACATGAATTACCTACTTTGAAGCTGCCTGGAATCATTGTGAATCAGCACCAAACCCCGGCTTCGACGCAGTCATGGAAGATGGCTCTGAAGACTTCGCCATTACCAACGGCCTCCTGGACGCCAAACGAAGACAAAAGAGTCGGGCCAGCAGCAGCTTTCGACTAGGATCAGCTTTACATGCCAGAAGATCTAGCTCCAATCCAGGAGCTCGGCCCGGTCATGACTTGGAGTCTCGACGAGCCTCCAAACGTCCAGTCGATGAGTCCGAATTGCAGGTCACAAAGAGACAACTCAGGGCTCAATATATCCAAACCTCTGATGGTCAGCCAGTGATTGCCGGCAGTTCTTCCGCCGATGACCAGGCTTCCTCAACTATTCAATCCGAACCTGGGCCGTCGTCAATAGCAGATACTCGTGCTCATGGCCCGACTATGGTGGGCCTCGATACAGACCCAGCTCAGATCGTCAACCTCGCACTGAGCCTTGGTGAATCCCGTCGGCGGGCAATGTCTGGACGAGCCGTTTCCAGTGGTGTACCACGCGGTAGGCGCCTGTCCACCATAGTGCCCGCACGTAGCCCCGTTCCCGAAAGTCGCATAACACCACTCACCGATCAGGATGGGCGGTCTAAAAGCCGAACTCATAGGCGCTTATCGCATGCATCCCGCTCATCCCCCCAGCAATTTCAACCTCCAGCACCTTTTCTTGACTATGGGCCACAAAACTTGGTGCCCCCGGACTTTTCTGCGGGCACACTGGCTAGAGCCGAAAAAGCAAGACAGTACTTTGAATTGTTTACGGAATATATACGCCTACTTCCTTATCTTCCTCCTCTTCACCCGCCTGCTACTGGCTCCATAAAACAAAGCGACTCTTCCATAACGTCAAAAGCTGTCGCTCAAGGAAGAGTATACAATCCCCTCCAATATATTCGGAACAGGAAAGTGAGATTCCGCGAACGAAGTGCTATAAACTCAGAAGAGGAAGGCTGGATGGATGTTGACAGGGTTCGAAGCTGGGTCAGCGACGTGGTTAACTCTCTTGAAGAAACTGAATGCGGAGCAGATGGGCGCATCCAATTACCGCCGCTCCAGCCGCCAATCGAAATCACGGAGGAACCGCAGGAGCAATTCTCCAGCCCTGGTCGCACCAATACTAATGACACAAATAAGCTACGTCGCCCTCGGATGGATTGGGTCTTCTCTCCAGCTGATCTACTAGCCGATGCTGCTTGGGTTGAGGCCGGTTCAAATAAACTTAAACTCGAAGACAAAGATGGAAACAAACTGTTTCCCCCAGATACTCAGCTCAGAGCCATTACCTTAACTGCAGCCACTCCGCCGCTAGAACCCCCTCCGATTGACGAAACCTACGATCCGCTCTACTCTACTGGAGCCCTACCCAGCTTCACGTCGGTCGGGTCCAGGTCTTCATCTCATATAAATCGAGGCCGTCGAATGCATAGATTTGCGCAATCCGTTCGCCTTACTCCTGGCCATAGCCATTCCAGAGAGAGCAGTAAATCCAGCTGGCGGAACGCCTTGGCTCGGCCAAGGAGCTCATCAGGTTCATTCCAAAACCACGTCAACCGTGACCATTCAATAAAGGCCTTTCCAAAAGATCATATACAACCGAGCGAACAGAATACTGGACGCAGTTTGCTTCCTCCTCTGGACACTAGCGTTAGCGAACCCAAGCGTCCATTCTCGCGCCAAAATCAATACCCAGGGTCGGTTTCTTCTGTCGATGAGCCTCCTAAAAAGGCCGCCTCACGCCCGTCATTCGAAGACGCTCAAAGCGGTTACCGGACTCCAGTAAATAAATTGAAGTTCCCAAGTATTACAGCCAATCTTTCGCCTCCACTAAGTCGCGAAGCCTCACCAGGCAGAAGGCAGCATCTACCATTTTATAGCCCTGATCGACAGGCCACAAAGAATCATAACGTCACCAGTGATTCGCCATATTCCGCTATTGGATCACCAGCGAGACAGCCAGTGTCTCCCATCTCTGATACCCAGAAGCAGCCCTTTTCGTGGCTTAATCAAATAGAATCCCCTCCTGGAGCAAGTACCAAAATTGGAAAGGATCCAGATTCAAAACGACGGGGGATATTCAAAGGCGGCAGGATTGCCGAGCTTGTTGGTAATGAAGTGTCTAAAGTAGGCGAATTTATTCGGAAAAGGGACGCATATGGTCATTCCCGCCAGTCGTCGTCCGCATCCAGCGTTTCTGAGTATGTCGATATAGATGACGATACCGGCGCCGGAAAGCGAAAACAAAGAGCAAAATTGGTTCGTTTTCCCACACAATCCGACTCTGGGTCACGGTCCATCCCAGAATCGATAGTTGATCGGGCTAAATATCGCACTCCGAATCTTCCAACCTTCAAATCATCGTTAAAACAAGGCGAGACATGGCAAGGAACGGATGAAGATCACTCTACACTAAATGAGTCCAGAAAAGATGATCAATCTGGTCCAGGCAGCGAAATTGGGAATGATATTGAAACTACCGCAACTGCCCATGCGGAAAGCTCCGGTGCTGGCGGAGACATCGAGCTACAAAGGAGACCCAGGGCACCGCAAGAAAATGACGTTCAGGCCAATCGTGATGCATCTGGTGTCGTTCAGGCAAGGCCTAAATTATCCGAAGCTACTCGCAACTGGAGTCTCTCGTCTCGCAGCATTCCCAAATACTCCGAGTCGACTCGTGTGAGTAAAGGCGAAATTATCCGCATTCAAGCTCATTTACTCTCGACCGGCGTGAAAGCCCAGGAAATATGTCGACACGCCAATACATCAGTTTCTGATTTCAATCCGCTTCGTATAGGGCCTTCGAGCGATTTGCACAGTCCCTTGCCGTACATTAGAGATCAGGAGTTTGTCACCACAGCCACTAAACAATTGCTATCAGCCGTTGATGACGGTGTTCACCATGTTCAGAAGTCCATCTCCAGATTCTCGGCTTCGGATCTCCCGAAATTAAGATATGAGCTTGACGACTTGGACCGGCTGATTTCTACGTCCCTCAATAATCGCCTTCGCAAAGTGGGTGATGAAGCAGAGCAGCTCACTGGCCAGCTTTCTATGACGAGTACTTTGGCTATCAAGCAACTTCATGATGCTTTGGACAAAGGAATTCGGAAACGAAAACGCAGATTCCGTTGGGTCAGTCGCTTTGGTTACGTTCTGCTTGAATGGGTGCTGGTAGGGGTGATGTGGTGGGTCTGGACCATAGTAATGGTTTGGAAAATGTTTAGGGGTATTTGGCGCGGAACAGTCTCCGGCGTTCGATGGATTCTTTGGCTTTAGAAGCCAACCGAAACATGGTTGAACCATTCGAGAATCGCTATCTCGGCAAGTTTGAACAGGAGCAAGCCTTCGCCATGATTGTCCAAAGCTTCTTCCCCGTTTGTATCCCTGACTGATTATTGCTTCTTCTAAATATATCATTTCGCTCACGTTTGTTTTATATACCCGTATAGACCTTATGCGCCTCTTTCCACTGCCAATACTTAGGCCGATACAATATCGTTTGTCGCTTCGAAGGCAATTAATACCATCAGCCATAGCCCTATTTCACTCTTGCCATTACACTGCTTTACAAGAATCCAACTAGGTGGTAATTTCCTCTCGAAATTACTCCATCATTGAGAGTCACTTTTTCCTTTATCACTTTGTCCTGCTTTATGCTTTTATCATAGGCCCGTTACATCCCTGGTTTTACTATATCTCCGTCACTCTTGATTAACAACCAAATAATATTATAGTGATGGCTTTGAATATACCCTGCTTTTCCATCACCCTTAATCACATACAGTGGGATGTTCCTATCAACCAGTTTGTCTGTGATTGTGACTATTGGATTATGGTTACAAAGAGTGAGTGCTAGAGTATTCCTACAGCTAGGTATATAATCCACATCTTGTCTCCTTGTTGGAGTGCGGGTACTATTGCAATTTCTGAAGCCTGAATATCCTTTGAATATTGTTCAATTTCGCTACCTCCTTATCCATTCTCTATCTCTCTCTCTGGTATATTGGAGCAGGTTCTCATTGGTATACCTGACTTCTCAACACGAGTTCGAGAGTTGCAACACATCTATACCCACCAAACAAAAGACCACTAACTAGTATACTTCACCAGCAAGCCTAAAAAGGAAGACAAACGTCGTATCAAGCAGACCATGAAGAAACCATTCTCGTGGCTATCAAAACCAGGCGCTTCAAAAGGTAAGCCTACCGTTTATTAGGATACTGGGAAAGCCGTCTGCGCAGCTAGAGGTCCGACTGACTCCAATAAATGACTAGCTACGCACGAAGACTACGTGGTTCCGGGTAGCAGTGGCTCAATCCCAGCGCACCTGGCCGACCGGCTGCGCAGAGGCGGCGTGAACGTTGATGTCAAAAAGATCGATCCCCAAGAAAAAGCCCGGATCCGTGCTCTCCTATCCCAAAAGATGGACAGCGGCATGACGGGCGTTGAGCTGGGGAGATTCATCGTCCCCCATCTTCAGGGCAAGGACCAAGGACTCAGTAACATCATCACCCAAATGGCACTTCACCAGTTCACTTATGCCGAAATCGCCATAGCCACTCTGGAGCTTGTTGGCCTGCTGACGCACGGGGAAGACTTTGCCGCAGTTCCTCGCCAGCCGATCATGGGCGGAGACCGTCGTTTCTACTCCAATTCAAACACACAGGCAAGTTAGACTCCAAATACGGCAGCGCATGGCCTGACAATATGCGAGCGGAGAGGAGGATCGCGCCCTAACATTCCCCTGAGCAATAGTAACCACCGTGTCTCCGGTACAACTTCCCAGCGGACAAGCGCGCACGCAAGGAATTCAAGCCAGGGCACCGTATCTTCGAGTTTTCAGTACCATCCACCTTCCTGGCCACGGCGGCATCCGTCAACGACACCTACAATTCGTCAAGTGCCCTCTGGGACGTCCACTGGTGAGGACCCTCCGCTTCTTCGCCCTGCCACCATTGAACGGGTTGAGCGAGGTCACCCAAGTTAAGAGGCCAGGTGTGACGCCAGCTGAGAGCCAGAATTTCACGGAAAAGTGAAGCTCGAGGTTTGCTCTGTTCTTCATTTTTCTTCTGCTTTATACTTATGGCGTTAATTGTGCAGCAAGGCAAGATTTTGCTCCTTATATTTCTTTGAATGTTATCCCCATCCCTTTTGATTCTATAGCAGCGATGCATAACTCACTTGTCCGTTTATATATCCATAATTGATAGAAGCTACTATTAAATTTGTCACGAACTTAACGATGATCTGATTTATCGAACTTTGTCTCCTAATCTCAAATTGGTTTTAGCTAAAGATATACCTAATATTTAGAAGCAGTACTATGGGTATATGAAACATCACCGTTGATAACTATCGGTCTTCAAATCACCCATACCTTTTATAGGACAAGGATTGTCTCCCATCCCTCACAGTCAAACAGAAAGGATATTAGCCCTCTCTAGGGATTCCATTCCCCCCCAGGCATCAATAACGTAGTGGACAGTATTCCCCGGTTCAAAGACCTAAGCGGAATCCCTATACTTCCGTCCATGGAAAGCCAGAAGTTGCTTTAGCCCTACCTTAGGACAGGGCTGGAGCTCAGGTATCAACACTTTATATAAATACCTCCTTGCATAGGGAGCTAAATCCCTGGCTTATCCCCATGAAGGGGGCTCCGTCCTAGAGCTGCAAAGCCCCCAGGCAGGGCCCGCTGATAAGGGGGAGTAGAGGGCTCGGATTCCAGTTGAACACAAGGCATCAGCCCCCGAGAGAAGCAGCCCTCTCTGTTAAGGGACCAGATGAAGCACCCTCACGTGAGAGGGTAAACAAGCTGGAGACGCGCTAACAAGCTGTGAATCTGGGTCACGGGATGTCCCGATTAGGACCTGATATCCTCCTTGCAAAGTGAAAACAATGTCCTCTTTCAAACAACAGAAACTTCATAGGAGGCATATCGCGCCTTCATCGTTGTTTCTTGTTGAAAACTTCGTTAACCTCCCATCATTTCAAAGCTTTCGGTTTCGTCGTTCCATTTCGATCCGATGTTTCTTCATTCACGAAATGACTAGCTTTTTAATACATTTCGCCTTTTTTTCTTCGCTCTTTTAAGAAACATCTTTAAGACCTCCCGTTAGCAGCATCACGAAAAAGCGATGAGGGCGTCTCTCAGTGGTGAAGCGGCTGGTCAGGACAGCAAAGAAGCACCGAAAGGAGAGTTATTCGACCATCTCGAGACGACCAAGCAAGCACCAAAGTCTGGGAAGCTGGGGAATTTATACCATCGACTCGTGAATTCTCAAAGGAACAGGCCAAGTGCTTCCTCTGAATGCGGAGTCTCCGAACTATCCGGTGAATCGTCAGCAACCAAAGACAAACAGAAACGCTCTCGCATTAGAAGAATCATGGATAAGATGCAGAAACTCAGCGGTACTGGAAATCAGCCAGAAATTGAACCGGAACAAAGCTCCGTCGGTGAGCAACGCGGGAATGAGGAGCTGCCCCTGTTGTCAGTTTGCAGTGACTTGTTCACACAAGAAGAATGGGACGACCTTCGTGAATTCCGCAGAGACTATGCCCGAGTTCAGCAGGAAAAGCGTGACAAGGCTAGCGACCCCTACCCTGATGCCAATGCCAGTGCTCCCGTGGATCCGCCAACCAAAGAGCAACTTGCTTCTTTGGCACGTCGAGAAAGGGAAAAGCCAAACCCCTTTATCAATAGTCCAGTCCCCCTTCCCGCGATCCAGGAGCCCGATAATCATCCCTGGACCAAAGGCCTATACAAAACCGCGTACAAGCCAACAAATCCTACGATGCTCAGCCCGGCATGGCTGACGAAAAAAAAGCGTGGGGCCGCGAAAGGCGCTAGGTTGCACAAAAACAGCAAGAATTGGGGACCGGAAGACTTTGAATTCAGAGACTTGCTGCGTGGCATGCTTGACGACGAGACTCTGGAGAAAATCATGGCGGAAGATGATCGCAAACAAGGAAAAGAGCCGAGTGCAAGCTCCAAGTTCGGCGAAGATGGGATGAGGAATGTGCTCCATGTTATGCTTGACCGGCTGATAGACAAGACGGTCGAGGAGGTGCGTTGTGTGGAAGAAAGGGCCAGGCAGAGAGCTGCAAGCGATTGTGAGGAAGCAGCAGACCAGGAGCAGGAATCGTGGACTGGAACACTGAAGCGGGCAGCTGATTTAACCAAGCTCCAGGATTGCGACTCTGAAGAAGAAATAAACGATTTATTGCGAGGACTCCTTCAGGATATGATGGAGCTGGTGATTGCGGACACAGCACCCATCAGCCCAGACGAACAACAAGAGGTCAAGAAGAATGTACTGTCCCGAAAAAAGGATGAGTTCTGAAGGCACAAGTTATGGGACATGCGTCAGAGGAATAGGGCCAATCCAGTTGTACTCAGTAATCTCCTTGCTCTAGGATAGAATTCTGAGGATGTCCTTCAAGAAGTGTCAGTAACAAGGAAGTTTAGAATTCATGCAAGTCTAAGAAGCCTCATTTACACCCAGTAGACATATAAAGCACCTTGCGTAATAAGGATAATGTTCTCGTTTTTGGTGTATGTATTCCGAAAGCGAAACGGACCTTGTTTCCTTTGCTCAAGACCTGGGGCTGCTCAAGATTTCGGCCTTCAGAAATAGATGATTTGAACATCCTATGGAGAGCAAACGCATAAAATCAGGGGCAACGTGTGATCTGCTAGCCTAGAACATAGAAGAAGAGTGGACAGCCCAAGGCTTTCGGAATCGACGCGAGCCAGAGCGATGCGCGGTGGCTGGTGAGCCTTGCATGGCTGCCTCAGCTTCTGGTTTTAGCTGGATTATGGATTCATCCTCCTTTTTACTGCGATCTGGTCGCGAGGATAGAGATGCAAGAAGGACACTACGTCTTCTTCCCAGTGGTTGTTCATTGTTATCCGAGTTGATTTGTTTTCCTGTCAGTTTGTTCCGCAACCGCCGCATCCTAGACTGGACAGGCAGAGTGCTGGGGAAGCCAGGCCCATAGTGTAGAGGCTTGCATTCACGGACATGACCCACAGGCTCTTCGTTTTCCTTGGAGTTGACGGCTATATAGTCAGCATCTTCGTCCATTGTGGGGTATGTAGTAAGGGAATAATATTCCAGTGGTATTAAAACGCCACCTGCATTATTCAAAACATCAGCGGCTGCCTCTAAGCTTTCCCTGCGTTTAGGAGGAATGACTAGTTGCCCCGTCGCCGGATTGCTGACGGCTACTAATCCATCGCCATGTATCGGGTGGTGCCGAATGTATTTGCTGAAGTTAGCCTCTATCGTCACAGAGCAAAGAGGCAAAAATTTGATGGCTTCATTCGATGTAGGCCAGGTTGTTGTAGAGTATACAGGACTCATGAGGTGATTGATGGGAGCCGTAGGATAGACCGGAGTAGCAGTATCGAGTTTGATACACGAAGCCCACAGGTCCAAATACAACCGGAGCACCAGATACACATCACCAAACTGCAAATGAGAATAATCATCCTTCTCTTTCTCATCGTCGTCAAGAAGGGTGTCGCAGATGCAAATGACGCGGGATCCACTTCGGATCGCAAATCCGTTCCCGGGTCCTGATGCCCTGATGTCGCGACACGATTCAAGATATCTCTTGCCCGCTAATTGTTCATTGTCCCGTGGAAGTTCCGCTTGCTCCATTGGCGGACTATACCGTCTTATTGGGTCAAGTTTGGCCTGTGGATGACTTCCTTTATCAAAACTCATTGCCGTACGCTGCTCAAGAGTGGTGAGAGGCAGAAGGGCGAACTTTTCCAGGGATATATTTGATTCGTCCGTGAAACCCATAATAATTCTAGGCTCAGAAGGCTCTTTGACGACGATTTCAGTAGCTGATTGAGCCGGATAATCGAATGCGGGCACTGAATTAGCGTCAAGGGCAGAGGCAGGCAGGTTGGAGCTTCGAGTTGTTGATAGCTTCGAATTCGAAGGCTCTTCAGAGAATACTTCCGAACACTGCTTCGAGCAAGCGGTTGCCAACGCCGAGTCTTCAGCGGGAAAGTACAAATTGACATCGCTCTCATAAGATGGAGCAGCACCATCACCACCGGTAGGCCCAAGCATCCAAATGGGAGGGCGATGGAAATATACGCCCTGGCGCCGTTTCTCCATCAAAGATCCCGTTAACGACTCGTCAACGGGGGTACCTCCTTCATCATCCAAAAAGGTTCTCGGCGGCGTTGTAATACGATCGACGATCCGCATGTTGTATTTGGCGGACGGGGGAAGAGAGGAATCACGAGGTGCCAGCACTTCATCGCCGGGAACTTCGGTATCCTCGCTTGAAGACCCGCGTTCTGATGAGCTGAAGAACTGCTCGTGCGCTGAATCCATTGCTGGCAGTCACAAGTATCAACTCGCCGTATCCAAGGAAATGCAACACCTCCAGAGGCCGCGGCAAGTGCACAAAGAGCCAGTCAAGCGCTCTAACGACGAAGAAGCCAAATATATCTCGATAATCTCTGTTGAATGCGCAATACGTGAAAGGATCGATACGGCTATAAAAGACGAGCGACGATGAGGAAACGGGGACAAAGAGGATGCTAGCTCGAAACATTTCAAAGGCATCAAGATCAAATGCAGTCGGGTTGGCAGCGACGAAGGATAGGGCAGCCTCACGGGCGGTAGGAACCATGGTAATAGCATTCCTTCGCTTCAAGAGCGGCTCGACGGGTATGGATGGCAGATGTAGTTAAATCTCCAACACGCTTTCACGACGTGGCTATCCGCCCATCAGAGCCAAACACAATTTAACCCTTTATGCTGCTCGCTCAATGCCGCAAGGGTAAACGAAATCCGAGGGATTGAATCGCGCTAGATGTACGACGACCAGAGGAACCGGCGATCGGATGCCGAATTAGACGCATTTCCAAGCGTGATGGAGATGAAACCACCGCGCTAGGATGGCGGTCTCGTTCCCGGTGATTATCTCAACAGCAGGCCATCACTGCCGGCATTTTCAGTGGGTGTGAGAACCAGTGTAGACACCAGTTTGGCTGCCATCCTCAAAATGATAATATCCCGGTTCAGTGAGAAACCATTGATAGGAGCATGTGTTCAGCGGGGAGCCTCATCGCCAAAGTTCACGAGTTCATCGTTGTTATTTGCGTTCACGCCCTTCAGCCAACTAGTTAACTTGGTGATGGAGTGAATACTAAATGGCTACACACCAGCAGAGCATTTGGGCCGTTGATTGGTTTCACCCGGTCGTACTTGTTCACCAAGATGTGATGACGGGGGAGAGTGACCTCGGCTATAGGGCGTGAGTTGATTAGAAAACATATTAAGCTGGAGCTCGGCTGCTCAGAACTGCTCAAAAGAGTCGTGACCAGCTAGTTATCATCTTCCCCATATATAGAGCGTTGAGTTGCCATTCGCCGGGGTCAATATCAAATACATTGCACTGCTCTGCAAACTAGTTGCAACGTACAAGACTTTCAAAGCCATCCGGAATGGCCGCGCCAAAGATTACGCTGTACGTCGACGTTGTCAGTCCCTTTGCCTATCTGGCATACTATATCACACGAGTAAGCCAACGTGAAGGAACGTTGTCATTGAGCGTCTCTGAGCTAATCTTGCACAATAGCACTCGCCCGTCTTCGCGAAATGCGAAGTATCCTACATCCCCGTGTTCCTCGGCGGGATCATCAAGGCGACGGGCAATAGCGCGCCAATTGCTGTAAAAAGCATGTATTCCCCCGCGCAACACAGTAAGCCTACTTACTGTAGATACAATCTAGCTAAAAAGTGAAATGTAGACAAGGCCAAATGGATCCACGTTGAGCGGCTCCGATGGGCCCGCTATTTCAATGTCCCCATGACCCTGAAACCGGCCAAAGGCTTCCCTGTTCAGACGCTGGCGGTAAGTGTTGTGATAAAATATCTCGACCCGCCGCCGAATCTATATCCAATATTGAGCGGATATCCCGCCCCGCTAAGTACGGCTATAAGTATTCTAATCCGGGTTGGATAGCTCCAACGGGCGCTTTGCGCCATGGCCTCCAAAGACCCGGGAAAATTGGTGTCATGCCTTGATGCTCTCTACCACTCTCATTGGGTGGAGGCAAATCCTGAAATCGGGAAACCAGAGGGCTTCATGCCGATTCTGGAACAGGTGGTGGGAAAGGAGGCTGCAGAAGGCGTTACCGAAAAGGTATGTACAGCACAACGCTGGGCAACAAACCGATAGTTGCCTTCTTATTCGTGTGCCCTAGCTTCAAGGTCCAAGCTAATAAATAATGTGAAGTCTGTCACAGAAGCGGTGAAGAGCATGTTGGCTGCAAATACCGAGAAGGCTATTGACGCCGGAGCTTTCGGGCTTCCTTGGATGGTATGCACGAACTCAAAGGGAGAGACTGAATCCTTCTTTGGTGTTGATCATTTCGGGCAAGTTGCTGCATTCCTGGGGCTAGAAACCTTGCCTGATAAAGGCTTCCGCTATACCCTCTGAAATCTGCCCATAATCCCGAGGTTCTAGTTCGCAGCTTCATTTCTAGACGAAATATGTATATTCATGAAAACAGCATAAATTTGCTGGTTAAAGTTGTCGTTTCAAATCAATGGTCGCCTTGATTTCTTTGCAATCTGTTGACTCTTCGCATATGAAGGCCTTTGGTTCAATCGCATTGAACTTTTTTTTAAGACTTCGGGTGAGCACCAGCCAGCAGTCCAGATTTCAATTCGTTTTGCGGGCTTCCAAACATCTCTGCTGGGGACAATGCCTTGGGCGTATTCCGCAGTGACTCTTTTGGAGAGAGCCAAGTGAGGACTCTTCTAAGAAAAATAGGGAAATGTAATAATAAGAATCGAGTGATTCATTACTCATGACGCTCCCTGCCGATCACTAGAAGGGGTAGACGTAGAATCGGGGTCGGTTGGGGCATCGTCTTGCACACCATCCGACACTACAGGGGCCGTTCCTGGGCCGCTATCAGTCTGTTCATCATTTGAATTCAAGGCTTCATTTAGAGTAGTATCCTCCGGCTAAATGAAACGTTAACAATAGAAGAGCAACCATGGGAACTGACACTTACCTCGACCTTCCCGGCATTAACACTCAAGCCCCTTTCACGGGCAAGCTTTTGCGCAGCCCGCCGTCTCCGTTCAATCTCCATATCCTCTTGGATTTGCATTTGTTCTTCTTCATGCTGGAGATCCTCAATGGTGGGGACAGGAGGCCCTGCCGGCTCAATGACCCCACCTCTAGGCGACGAGGCAGGGGATCTTTTGGGTACGGCGGTATTTCGTCTAGTCCCACGTTTTCCTTTACCTTTATTAACATGCTTGGATGTTCCGGATATAGAGGTCCCCGACACGGAGCGCCGGGGCCAGGCAGAATCATCTCCCGAAATCGTCGATCTCCGTTCCAACGCCATGGCAAATTCATCTCCAAGAGGGACGGCATCCTCTTCTTCGTCACCAAGAATGAGGTCACCCCGTGAGCTTAGAGAAGTGCTCGTATCCTGGGACGACTGTGTATTGCTTCTTTGCCGCGTGACCCCGTCCCCGCGGTCCGCTTTCTGAGCATCTTCATCGCTTCCCTCACTACCTTCCAAGAGAGGCTCATTCTCGAGCGCATTTCTCTTCATCCCGCCGGGGTTCTCCTGTAGATCAGCCGGAGAGGGTCTATATTTCACTCCGCGCGCCCCGAACCGCCATGGGAACCGCTCCAGAAACCCCAGAAACGACGAACTTGGTATCACAGTCGGATCCTGCCTCTCATCAGGCTGTAAAATCGAATTTTTCCGCCGTCCGCCGCGAGCACCATAACTCATGCGTCGGTCCTTTCGCGGCTGATCACGACTTCCGCTACTACCCGCCAGCAATCTGTCCAGTTCATCGGTACCCCAGCCGAGCGGTCTATCGCCCATAACGTCCTCGTCGTAGTCCCAGTCATCGTAGAAGTCAAAATTCAACTCTGCTCTTCCCCTCGAAAGCCCTCGTTTCCGGCGCCGTAACACATCATCTCGGCGGGGGAAGCACGACGCCGTACAAGCACCCACGCAGTCGCGGATTCCAGCGAAACAAGGGGCGATGTAGTGATGCGAAAAGGTGTATATGCCTTCCTGGGCGGATTCGTTCGCAGATTCGATGTTCTGAGATATCTGATTGATGGTCTGCCGGATCCGTGGGTCTCTTGGGTGCATCGTCACGACTGTAAGAGGGGGTGGTTGGCAGGAACGGGTGCCGTAGCCGCATTAAGACGCGCAAAGGTGGTTGCACGAGCGCATTGAACGGGACGCAGGATGGCAGATGTGGGATTCCGCGGTTGAGGGCATCTGAGCCGGGACTCTGGTCAGCCAACATGAAGCATGAAACGCAGTCCAGACGGCCATCCGTAAGTGGTTGCAGCAGAAACAACAAGGACTGCATTACGTCAGATGCCAAGCTGCGGAGACGGGTCTAGTCCTCCAATCAGATGCCGCAAATCCTCGAGCGGCATTACCTAAGCAGGTGGGCTCTAGCGTGGCTCGAGCAAGCGATCATGGCAGTGGATTTCAAGCGGGATTCTGATACGGTATGCATGCAGGGTAATGAACTAGTTTGTACGAGGATACACAAGCCACTTGCTCTTCTCTTCCAGCATCTTTTGAGGCCTTCATTCGCGGTTCCTTGCGGCAACTTAGTTACTTGGCTTAAGTTCGGGCCAAGGTTGTGCAAGGGAGGGAACCTGGGCATGGGTTTGATTGGACGGCTTCCTCCAGACTGGATCTCGAGGTGAGCCGGAAAACGCTTGTTTTGAGATTTTCAGATGCTGTGAATCGTCTTGAAAGCCATGCCTTACTATGTCCGACTCCTAAAACAACCACAGATCTCGAAGCAGAATGGCAAGGCCGCTGTGGTTACCGCCTTGATCACTATCACCACGGATCTTGGTGACTCGTTTCTCGCTGAGGATGTTCAACTTGATGCAACTGTGCATTTTGCACGACCAGCTACCCCATTAACAACGACCGTTTGTTGGAAAGCAAGCAATCGCGAACAGAAAATAATACTTGGGCCTCTAAGACAAGACCTAATTGATTGTCCGGTTCAAGTTAGTGTTCGTCCTGCGAGTCTGGTAGATGCCGATTGCCTAGAGGGAGCTTGTATTCCTAAAATCATCTCTGCCTGGAGCCCATGGTTTGATAGCTCTTCAGGAAAGCCTGTGGAGAAGCTCGTGTTGAGGCGCTTCAAAACTAGGAGAGGGCCGGAGTTGCAGATATGGGAGGAGACTGGAAACAGCATCGCTCGGCACATCTGGTGAGTAGTATCAGGCTGCCCACAAGGTATGGAGGCTGGATGCTGACGGGTAATCAGGGATGCTGCTTTGGCAGCCATTGTTGAGTTTCAGGACAGTTTAACCCATGGCAGCGGGAATTTGCTTCGACATGATGACAGCAGCCCTTTCAATGTGGTAGAACTAGGGTCAGGGTGTGGGATTGTAGGTATTGCCCTGGCGCAGATGATGCCAAACTGCTCTGTGCTTCTCACGGATCTGGAAGAAGTGCGGGAGATTGTGCAGCGCAATATCTCGACAGCCCAGCCAGCTAAAAACTCACAAATTGAATTTCACACCCTGGACTGGGACGAAGACCTCCCTGAGGGGATTAGGGCTCGTCGCCACGACTTGATCTTCCTGTCGGACTGCACCTACAATTGCGATGCACTGCCGGCCCTGGTGGAGACCATTCGAAAACTACTGGATATTTCCCCCGATGCGCAGGTGCTTGTGGCGTGGAAGAAGCGATGCGAGAGCGAGATGGTGTTTTTCGACTTGATGCAATCTGCAGGATTAGCCGTTCGAGGGCGACCAAGCCATCGCCTCCAGCAGTCTTCCAGCCCGGAAAGCGATGACGAAGAGACACCGAGAGTCCAAATTCTCCGCTTTGGAAGCTTGGTCCACACGGGGGCTCCTAGTTGAAGACGGGTTTTCTAGTCGCATTAATAGGTGCGCGCAGCTAGGATAGAGCTTTGGCCAAATAGAAAAACCACGTTGGCAGTTTAGTTCTGATCTATCATTCATCCGGCAGTTGGCCAGCTGCGATCCAAGCTTTCCAGTCGGCTCAGCACGCGGCGCGAACGGATGACAGCGACAAGATCGTAACGTTGCACCAGTGGCCGTCAATGGGATTCCAGGGACATAAATACCTCATACAATCCAGGCAACACGCAGCCTGTCTCCCGATCCTCAGGGGGTGTTGATAGCGGTTTGAGTCACGGCCAGCTATCGTCGTCGACTAATTATTAGTGACCGTGGCTGAGGGCGCCGGCTGCGGTATTTGTGTCACGGCCTGGTAATGGCCGCTCTCCACCCTGCCCGGAAGTGCCGCGAAACGGCGTAATGGCCGCGTCACAAATACCGGCAAACGCAGCAAACTTCAAGGCAGCTTCTCGCCCACTTTTTCGCTGCCCCTCGCCCACAAATCCCCAATTTCGCTTTTTTTTTTCTCTCTTCACCTCCTCGCTCGGTCTTCACTGTCTCCCCTGTTCCCTCCTGAGAGATATCACTTCATTCGCGCCTCGAGCCCCGAATCATCCGCTTTTGCTCACTGCAAAACACTGGTCTCTTCGTGCGGAGAGGTGAGTTTTCTCTCGGCATTTCCCTTCGAGCACATGCGGTCGTGCCGAACCAACGCCCGTTGCTGCCCTGCTTAAGCGAAACATTCACCGCAATTGTGTGCTAACTCCTTTGTGTGCGCGTGTCTGCAAGGTCAGCGTTGCTCAAATCTTATATAAACCCATTGCCAGCGCGCCTTTGGGGCCATACACCCAAAGGCACTGTGGACCACGGCTCCAGAAACCAGAGGAGTCTCTCACTTTGCTCTCCTTTCCTGCCTTGAACCCAAGTTCCCGCTCGCACCCCTCCAGCTCTGGACGCACACTCCAAAATCTCGCCCCTTAGCGCCCGTCGACCTCTGCCCTCATCCTTCTGAGAGCTGCCAAAACCTTGAGCTGCCGCATAGGACTTCTCTAAAGGTTCTTCCTCTTCCAGAGGAAGAGTCGAGGAGGCTCAGTCCAATCAACCACGGTTGCGAGACATTTCGCCCACCCTAACACCCAATCCGTTCTGTTCGTTCACGAACCGCATTTAGCCTTGTTTTAGACCCGTTTTACCACTTTATCGACTGATCATCCGGCTCTCGGATGGTTATGGCACCTTCGGTCTTCGATTCAACTGAAGTTTATATTACTGAAAAGTACCATCGCGAGAGTAAAAGTAATCATCAGCATTCTAGCAATCATGGCGGGCTCGAATTGCTACATGCCCGTGAGGCCTCCAAAGAATTGATCCTGAACATACTCAGAAACAAAGCTGCTAGCATCGATGTGCAAAACTGCTGCCCCGGCGAAGAGGACCCGTTCTATGTGGCGGATCTAGGAGAAATTTACCGCCAGCATGTCCGCTGGAAGATGAACCTGGGACGCGTCAAGCCCTTTTACGGTACGTCTTGACGCGCTCTCAGGACCTTGGGATATGATTTGCTAACGAATTGTGCAAAAAGCGGTCAAATGCAACCCCGATCCTCAAGTCCTCCGTCTCATGGCTCACCTGGGAAACGGCTTCGACTGTGCGTCCAAGGCCGAAATTGACTATGCCCTCGATGCCGGTGTTGATCCAAGTCGCATCATCTACGCTCATCCGTGCAAGACAAAATCGTACCTTCGCTATGCTGCGCAGCAGGGCGTCAAACAGATGACCTTTGATAATGCCGATGAGCTGTACAAAATCAAGGCCATGTGCCCAGATGCGGAGCTCTTCCTGAGAATTCTAACCGACGATTCCGCCAGCTTGTGTCGTCTCAGCATGAAATTTGGTGCCTCTCTCACTGTGACTCGTTCTCTGCTTGAACTGGCCAAGGAACTGGACCTAAACGTGGTTGGAGTGAGTTTTCATGTTGGCTCGGGAGCCGAGGATCCAAAGGCATTTGTCAAGGCCGTTGAAGACGCGCGTTTTGTCTTTGATCAAGCTTCGGACATTGGCCACGATCTCAAGGTCCTAGATGTCGGCGGTGGCTTTTGCGACGAAACATTTGAACATTTTGCGGCAGCCCTGAGTGATGCTCTGGACACATACTTCCCTCCGCATATTCGCGTCATCGCCGAACCCGGCCGTTATTACGTTGCGTCGGCTTTCACGCTCGCAGCCAATGTTATCGCTCGTCGCGATGTCAGCCCCTCGGCGTCCGATTCCGATTCTTCCACCGGCCCTGCTGAAATGTACATGATCTATCTCAACGATGGAGTCTACGGAAACTTCTCAAACATTGTTTTCGACCATCAGCACCCGGTAGCTCAGATCCTCACTAAAGATGACATTACTTCCACCCATCCCGTGGAGTATTCCATCTGGGGGCCGACCTGCGACGGAATCGACGTGATCAGTGAGCGGATCACACTCAATGGTGTCTTGGGCGTGGGCAACTGGCTGTATTTTGAAAACATGGGTGCTTACACCCGATGCAGCGCAACACGCTTTAACGGCTTCGCCGACAATCATGACATCATTTATATTTCTACCGAACCCAGTGCCGCTGCGCTTTTGGGATACTAAGCAACATCCCATTTGAGAGGAAGGTTTGATGGCAAACCATTCAACATGAGCCATCAATAAATTGTTTTTCCGGCCTGTGCGCTGTGGTTTGGACAAATCCTCATTTTGGATCTCTTAATTATGTTTTTTGGTTGTTTTTGCAAAAAATTGTTCCAACTCTTGTCAATCATTTTGGTCAAATGGAGACGATAAATCTAGTACTTATCTCGACGCCAAATACCTGCTAATCATAATAACTAAAAGTGATTTTCTTGGTTCAACTTTCTAAATTCTTTCTATATCTATACATGCCTTCCAACGGGATGTTCAATCAAAGGACAGTCATATCTATTCAGACTTTTTGACGTATACCCAAGCAGAACTTTGGACCAGTAGACGTGTCCAGTCAAGTCTATCGTGATCATCGGAAACAATCTCGTAAGAGGACTCCCGGTGAGTGTTTCCCAGGACAGTCGTTGCTGCTTCACGCATTTTCCACTCCGTTCAACCGACTTTGTCAACTTGCAGCACGGTCGCACCTTTGGCATCTCCAGCGAGTTCTACGAGGCCACCCGCTTCGAGCCTCTTCTTCCACTTTCCAGATTCATATCTTGCCAGGATGAGCGTCATCCGGAGGACGTCGTTAGCATTGGATCCGTTTGCCAGTTCTTCAGAGACTGTAGGCGACGGGGTAAACGTCCATCTGCCAAACGCCCAGTTGAGAATATAGTTCCTGATTTTGATCCCGTCCTCTGGGGCGTTATTCGACGACGAGGAAGTGGCTGCGGGCGCGCGGTCGCCGGAGGAATCCTGCGGGGGATCGTCTGAGGAGCAGCGCATTATGCCTTTTATTCGGTACACTTCATCCCTCGGGGCCGAATGGAGGAGCTTGGTAAGAGCGGGTAGATCCACGATCGCAGTCGAATCCGGACTCTCAAGAGAGACAGATAGCACCTCGACTTCCGACTGATGGTCATGCGCATGCGCATTTTTATACTCCTTCACCCGGTCCTCGCCTCCCATCAACATCACATCCAAGCCCGCATGCCCCTTGTCCGCCATCTCCTTTGCCAGCAGCGCCCCATCAATCCCCAAGATCACATCCCTCTCCACGCTCCCCCTTGGCGCCTTCACCCACGGCGTCTGCACCTCCAAATCCCCCATCCGATCCAAACACTCATCAAACCTCCTCTCCGATACCCCTTCCCACTTGTTAAACACGATCAAATCCGTATACCTCGCCTGCAACTTGGCCGTGTACGACGTATCCTCATACCCCTCCCAATTCTCCACATCAATCACACTCACCACCCCATCCAGCACAAACCCACCCCCACTCTCCCGCGCCAGCCGATTCACCTCCATCGCCAACGTCGCCGGAAACGCACTCCCACTCGTCTCGATCACAATGCGGTCCGGCCGCACCTGGTCGCGCAGCTGCACCAGCGCATCGCCCAGCTGGCCCACGAGATTGCAACAGATGCAGCCGTTGAGCAGCTCGCGCACGCCGGAGATGGAGGTGGCGGAGGCGAGTTGGGAGTCGATGGCGACGTCGCCGAATTCGTTTTTGAGGAGGGCGAGGCGGTAGGTGGGGGGTAGTTGGGGGATGAGGTTGAGGAGGATGGTGGTTTTGCCGGAGCCTAGGAAGCCGGTGATGATGGTGATTGGGATTGGAGGCATGGTGGCGGCGGTGGAGAGGAAGGGTGTCGGTTGGGATTTGGTGGCTTCATGGGTGTGAATCGCATTCTTTTGGGTTGAAATGCGAAGAAATTGGTTGCGGTGGAATTGATTTGCATTTCGTCATTGTGGCTGCGGGGTTGGGTTGGCCTTGGAGGGGCAGACTGGATCGATATTCAACGGACGATTATCGAGTACATTGGAATGAAATAGGTTCACGGAGTGTTAACGAGTTGATGGCCATTTAGGTTCTTTAGTAAAATAAATCTATGAGCCTGATTAAGAGGCCAACGGTAAATGACCCAGATGATGATATCCAATCTAATGTCAAATTCCGAAATTTTTTGTAAAAAAAATCTATCCCAAATGCCACAAGTCTATATCACACCCGATTGTAGATTCAATTCAGGCCCTCCTTCTCAGCAACCAACGCCGTAATATGCCCGCTCAGCCAGTATCTACTCAGCACCTTTGCCGGCATATTCTTCGCTCCATCGACCCAGCCCAAGCAGTCCTCTGCTCCACACGAGCACCGGAACGGCTGCGACATCTCCCACTCCGTGCTCGGATAGAAGAATCTCAATTCCTCGCCCGCAGCGATCTCCCTGAGACTCCACACCTCCAGCACGCCGGCAACGGGCGCCTCCGGGTCTACCTTTGGATCAGGCGCAAGCGTCGAGGTGACGAAGCGGACGTTCGGGTCACACGAATGGTTGCAGTAGAGCAGGTCGGAGTTGAGCCGGATGTGCTGCGTCGCGGATATCTGCACCGTCGAGTAGTCCTTGGTGGAGGCGAGGGTGGTGGAGGTGTTTGTCGCGAACAGGGAGTTTGCGGGAATGTCGTGGGCGGCGACTGCGGTGAGGCAGAAGATGGGGCCGCTGGCGTCGGAGCCGGAGGCGAGTGTGTCTGAGCGGCGGATGGTGATTGCGGAGTGCGAGGGCTGCGTCCAGGTTTCCGACAGCGGTTGCTGGGGCTGCTGTGGTGTTTCTGTGACTGTCATGTTTGTTGTGGTGGAAACCAGAGGAGGACAAGGAGATATTGGAGGAAAACGGTGCTGGAGGGGTCGCGAGGGACAGAAGAAGGAGGATCTAGAAAGGATTCAAATGTTATTTGGCATCAAATCCTACACTGTACTTGAAACCGAGGCTGTTTAAATCGCATTGCTCCCTGTGAAGAAGTGCATTTATTGTTCTCTCAGGGACTCGGAATGGGTATATAAGGTTGCCAAAGCCCCGTCATCCCGATCATGTTCCGCAGAAATGGAGACACGCCCGGTCGATTACGGAACACTGACGGAGCGACTTCATCTTGCTCAGAGTCCCAGCATTGTAGCTGAGAGAAAAGGTCCATTTATCAAGTCTGGTGTTAGTATTGAATGAGCATGTAGATCGTGATCAATCATGTCTGGCGGCCCGCTGGTGGATTTGGGTGGTCCAAGGGTGTTGTCAAAAAGGGTTGTGGAAAGCCCTCCACAGGCGAAGACACAAACCACACACCAAGAGATCGCTAGGTTAACTATGGGGTACCAAGGCGCAATCCGAGGAGCTTCTGGTCAATCAACCCATTTCCATTCATCCGCATCTGACGCTAGGATGTCCTCCTCGCATGGTGTGGGCGACATGGCGTTGAAATGTTCAATGCTCGCTATCTCTAGCGGAAGATTTCGGGTGTTGACTCGCTGCACGACGGCTTGGACTTAATATGGTTTCTAACTAAAACATCACGGACGGGCTGATAAGTTGCCTTTCCCCAAACCGACGAAGATGGGTTGAATTATTATTTAGCTCTGCTATTCATTTTCTCAAGTCACTAACTAGCGATAGTGTGCTCTCAAGCATAGACAACCGCAATCACAACAACGACCATGACACCGCTGAGAGTGCGGAGTAGCGTCTTCTAAATCAAATCGAGCGCAGGCTGGACTTCTTCTAGCCTCGCTACCATCGATCTAAACTCCATGCAGGACAGTCCTCTCAATTCAAGATCAGCGACCTCATCCAAGGTCTTTTCTTCGGCTCGCTGCAGCTTCGTCTGGATAGACCCGGGCAGGCCATCCTACTCCTTTGAGTAAGAAGTGCAATTTGCTCATCCAAAACAGTCATCTTCCGTTGAGAGCTCCATGCGATCCGAAGACACTTCGATTCCTTTGGCGCACCTTTTTGCACTTGGTCTTTCTCACACGATAATACCTGTTGACCACCTTGGTATCAATAATCAAGGAAGCAGTTCGATGACTAAACGGCTATTCGGAATATTGTCGGTCCGCCAAGGTGCAAACAGCGCAAACACCTTCCCCTTTTCGGCTGCGAACCGAGGACCATCGCAACGTCTCCGCTCGAGTTGAGCCGCGGGTGCGGGATCACCCCCAGAAATCGCATCGTCGTTTGCCATCAGCCCTCGCTTGCTGATTATTCCTCAGTGTGCAGAGCTCTGCTCTAACCGCCTGATGCGGCTTAACCTTCCGGCAACATGGAACTTACCCCAACGTCGGGTAAAACTCCACAACTTCAGACATAGCGCGGGCTTCGGTACAAACGCCGAGTTGAGGCGAACCTTGATGCTGAGCTGATAACGGCGGGAAAACGAGCTTGGAGTCGATAACGGCGCGGCAAACAGCTTCGTGACACTCAATCCCTTTGCTGGGATTGGACCTGCGCGCCAGATAGCTGGGCCTGGTGAAGGTAATTAGTCGATAGAACTCCACTTCTCCGCACTCTCAGCATGTCCTTTTGCCCCATGGCGTCCAGAGTTTGAACTGACTGCCCCAGCTTTCGCCAATCATGGAGCTGGAAGCGACCGAGCTGACATTCGTACAGCCGGCCAGGAACCCAAATCTTGCCGCCATTTCTTGGACTGTCCCGCTATCATGGTCTGGATTGATGCTTCCAGCTTCAAGCGCTGTTCAACCCCATATTTATTAACATGCTCATCGCCCATCTTCAGCGGCTTTCTTAAACAGTTCTCGTCGTCAACCTGCTTAACCTCATGCATCTTACTCGGTTATAGCTGATCGTGTCCTTCTCGGCCGAATCTTCGTAAAAGCTCTCAGTTTCAAAACAAAATATAGTAAGTCTTTGTTCTGAACCCACACTCGTCTTCCACAGGAGTCTGACTTGTTCGAAACCAATAGCTTGAGGGGAATTGCCGGAATGGCGACCAACCGTCCTGATCGTACGGACCTCGTCCCCGGGACCGTGCATCTCGTAGACATTAGTGGCGAGGCGGCGAACACAAAGCATGAAAAGGATATCGTCCTTGTGCCCCGTCCAAGCGCGGACCCAGAAGATCCGTTGAATTGGAGCCGACGGCGCAAGTTATTACAGGTGGCCATGATCTTTACCTACACGCTTGGCGTGGGTATTCCGACCACCTTGCAGTATAGCGTGCTCGCGGACATCACGCGCGACACCGGCATCACTACGGCTCAACTGGTTAATGGCACTGGTCTCATGTTCTTGTTTCTCGGGTGGGGGTGTCTGCTCTGGCAGCCTATCGCAATCACTTACGGTCGTCGCGGCGTTTATGTCATTTCCTGTTTGCTCTGCGTCCCCTTCATGGTCTGGACCGCGTATTCCAAGACGTATGGAGAATGGTACGCGCATCGCATTATCATGGGCCTGGCAGCGTCACCCATTGAGTCACTCCCGGAAGTGTCAATCCCCGATATCTTCTTTGCCCATGAACGTGGAAGATGGATGGGCGGTTACGTGCTGTTTCTGTTTGGATCGAATTTCATCGCCCCTCTGATTGCCGGATGGTTCAACGACGCCTATGGGTGGAGATGGGTCATGTATTTTGGCGCCATGATCTCAGCGTTGGCGACCGTGATTATCTTCTTCTTCATGGAGGAAACGCTCTATTTCCGCCCGAACGTCGAAGGCGAGGAATTGGAGATTTCTTCATCCGGCGACGCAAACTCTACCCGGTCTGATTCAAAGGAGAAGCGAGAAATGTTGACCACATCCAGCACGGAAAACATCCAGTCGTTCCCGCCTCCACGCACCTTTGTTCAGAAGTTAAACCTCTTTGTCTTCCTGGAGGGACGGCCAAGTGTGAAGCAGATGCTTACCATGATGTACCGCCCCCTGCTGATTATTCTTTATTTCCCCTGCACATCCTGGTCCGGCTTCCTTTACGGCATCAACCTGTCTTGGTACAACGTGTTGAACGCAACTGCGTCTCCGGTTCTATCTGCAGCCCCATATGCTTGGACGGCAGCCCTCGTTGGTTCTGCTTATACCGCACCCATCATTGGGGCCATCTTTGCATGTGCCTGGTCAGGCATTGTCGCCGATAAAGTCGCGATCTACCTTGCTCGGCGCAACAAGGGCGTCCGTGAGCCGGAGCATCGTTTGTGGCCCCTCGTCGTCTCTGGCGTCGTTTCCACTGCAGGGTTGATTCTATGGGGTGTCGGTGCCTCATACGGGATTCATTGGGTGGGCCTCGAGTTTGGGCTTGGCATGCTTGCTTTTGGATGTATCACGGGAGGGTCCATCGCTATTTCATACAGCATTGACTGTTTTAAGGAACTCAGCGGAGAGTCGATGGTGTCGGTCATTATTATTCGCAATACGCTTGGGTTCGGATTCAGCTATGCCATCACGCCGTGGATCGAAGCACAGGGCCTCCGGAACTGCTTCATCACTGTTGGCATGGTTTCGCTTGTCACGACGGCCACCTTTTTGTTAATGACGGTGTTTGGGAAGAGACTGAGACGGTTCTCGAGGGACAAATACTGGCAATACGTCGCTACGAGTGTGGCGGGAACGATTTGAAGTTAGCGCCGGGTATTGAGATGGATCGCTTGTTTTCGTAACTCAATGAAGAAAGTCTAGTTTGTATCTTTTGGGGGCTGGCTTCAGACAGAGTCTTGTACATATTCCATACATTATTGTAATGTTGGTCCCGGAAGGCTGGTTGATGTAGGGACTATTCAGCCCAATTTAAAAGAATACCGGTTTGAAAACCATTTGCGCAATTGAGATTCTGGGAGTTGCCGATGAAGGTCTCGAGAGCTGGTGGCCGGGAGGCAGAACAGCATAACAGCACAGCAGCGTGAAGAGCCTGACTAACCGCGCTGCACCGTCATGCCATCTGTGTGAATAATGGACGAACCAGTCAGAGAACTGGCAGAGTATGACTTTCCGGGGACATGGTGTGCCGGTTCATGTTCTGGAATGCCTTGGCCGGGGTCAAAGATTGTCGAAGAAGTCTCAAATTTGAGTCGGCAAGGATTGCATCGACCAATCAAGCATGGCATGGGCATCACCTGTCTCTCCCAAGCAAGGTGCGTTGACCGTGCCGCAATCCTGGGTGATCAGTCTAGAGAGGATGAAGGCGACTGATATCTCGAGCGGTTCGATCTCAGATTTCGCTCCTGCTGTTTGATGACAGTAATCGCCATCAATGCCGGTCGTCACTTCCCTCTTTGTTGCTGTGAAACTGGTTCCCAAAGCGGCAATCACGATGGGTGTGTTTATTCTTAGAAGGAGCGAGAGTCGCAGTTTCCAAGTCCAAAGATATCAACCCAGGAGGCCACGCTAAACCCAATATGGGCCTGAATGAACTGCGCCAACCTCCGCTCTCAGCCAATCATCCCGCGTTGGCACGCTAGCAACCACTGTGTCGGGACCACTAGCGTGTTTCCTCGCCGGCGCATCGAACTGCATCGGGATCCTTTTTATCAAGTTTCACCCGATGGATGCATCATGCGTGGGCGAGATGGGCGCTCAGCACAGGAAAATCAGACGGTTTCCAAAGGGGAAGGCTTCTAGAAGACAGGGATCCCGGCCTTCTCTTGCATCGCATCCACAATGGCAGCGTTCGCTGATTCGATGGGCTGCAAGCCACCGCTGCACGATTCTCCCTTTGGCAGTCTTCTAGAAGGATTCTTTCCAGCCCTACAGGAAGCAACTCTGTTTTGGCGCCGCACTGACCGGACTGCTGGTCATTCAGAAACATGCAACTATCGGCGGGCCTGCATAGCCGTGGTGTATAAGTTGAAGCAGATGCGCTCCCCGGATTCAGCGCCTTTGTCTGCTCTCTTTCTTTCATCACCAGGCGCAGAGCACACCTTCCAGCCAATCTTCGACAGATTGTCTTTTCTCCCTTTTGTACTGTACATACTCGTCATCATGGCTTGCCCTCGTGCCATTGCCAGGAACTTGATCGTTCTTTTGATCTTCGCCGCCATGTGCTTAGAGCTGGTCTCTGGTCGGCCGCATGCCGCCCCTTCATCGTCAACGGTTACGGCGTACAATACAGCCGGCTGTCAGGATATACAGGTCGACGGGCAGGCGCATCAACTTCATGCCAGAGCCCTGCCAGCCAACTATGAGAGTTTCACAAAGCGCGAGAAGCTCATCATCGGTCTCGGTGCCGGATTTGGTGGATTTTCTGGTATGTGTGAAAAGACAGCAGCCTAGACGACGAGACAGACTAATGAGTCCATGTTGTAGTTCTTTTAAGCGTCCTGATCATCGTTTGCTATCTCAAAAGCTGGCATCGAACACTCCCATCAAAGTTCACTCGCAGTGATCAGCGCAGGGATGCACCCAGGTCGATGATCCCTCAGGATACTTTCCAACACCATCACCGATCGATGTTTTCCATCGGCACTCCTAAGATGGATTCGACGCCATCTTATGACCCCGAGAACGCACTCCAACAAACCTGTCCCTACCACCCAGGCCTTCCAAGCCCCATGACCTCGTACTACCAACCGGTCGAAGTATACCGCACCCTCATACAACCAAATAAACATCCTCGACGCCCAGTCACGCCCATCTCTGAAGCTTCGCAGAGCCCGACATCGCCAGTTCCCGCCATGCACCCTGCGCACTATCGCTACATTCCCCAGAATCCGCAGAACACCCCAGAGCCGCCTACACCCGCCGATTCTCAGATTTCTCCCAAGACGATTCCTCGTCATATGCTATATGCTCCACAACCCCGTCGCGTAGGGTTGCCCAGTAGCGTCCGGCAATCTGCTGGGCTGGGAATTGCTGTTTTACCACCTCCTCCTGCGGTAAAAGTCCGGCCTCTGCCGCTAAGGGATTACTCCGAGACCCGCTAGGCTTGGTCCCTTTTTGGACGAAAGGGGGGTACCCTTCTACTGGATGCATCCATCCCAACAACCGATTTCACTGCTGAGCTGTGTCTCTTTATTCTTTTGTATTATATACCCTGTGCGCTATGTCGCCGTTGCTTGTGTTTTTGGCGCTCTTCCTATGTTGACGGAAATTTTCGGTTCACGACGATGATGATTATAGACTTTGTTTCTCATAGACTTATAGACATTGATAGACCTGTGATAATTGCTTTGGGCAGAAGACGGGTATACTGGAGTTTTGGCTTGGGCCTAAAGTGCATAGAATGGCTGGCTATGGCGATGGGAGTTCTAATTTCTAATTTCAATGCAAACTTGGTGAAATTGAAGGAATATTGTTCTTGATCTCTCACTGAGATTAAAACTAAGCGCTGGGAAGGTCCAAATCTCCCGATTCCATCTATCAGCCGGCTGGTTCTTCGACCAGGGATTCAATAGTGAATTTTGCAGCGCACATCATTATTGAGACCCATGGATGCATGGGACATCGTCCACCCTGGAACCAGCTTCTCCAATCACACTCCGGCGCTTAATCGATCAACGGGCTTTGGTTTTTTTGCTTGCACATCGACTCCTGCTCGACGGTGATACAGATTCGCCTGATTCCATCGGTTTTTGAGGAGATCAACGTCCGATGGCGCCAATAACATGAGAAGTGAACAGGTCAAGATACAGACGTTGGTTGTGCACTGTATGACAAGATACCCTGGATGCATGCCTCAAAAATGATCCCCGTCACACAGCAAGGGGAAGAGTCGACCAGGATCATTCATCGCGCGGAGTTGGTCGCTTGGTCTCTCCGCGGGGCACACTACTGTGGCGGATCACAGAATGAAGCAATCATTAGGGCCGCAGTCTGCTTCAAGCGGCCAATCGCGAAGAATGTGATTCGTTTGTGATTTTGATTTTTCGTCATGTCTTGAGGGTCATCGCCATGGCCCTTGCTCGACAAGCCCCGTCGGCTGTTGGTGTGCGGGCGGAGATGCGACCGCATTGGTGAAGAGATTGGCAGGCCGCATCGGGTCCCAACCTATGGTATTCCTGAGCCTGGATGCATGTGCGAACCGCGTTGGACAGGTCTTTTCTTTTGCTGCAGTCAATGCGCTGCAGGATCAGGGGCTTTTCATCAGCTTGGGTCTGGAAATTGGGATAATGAGTTACGGCTGTCGGGCTGGTGATGTTGATGCGCACGATATCTCTCCCCGGTGGATAAACCACCAAGCGGCAGAGACAAACGGCTACAGTTCAACAGTTGCAATCAATTCAGCCAAAGAAAGCAAGGTAATAATCTCTCGCTGAACAGTGAAAATGAAGAGAGAAAAAGAAACCATGGCCTAATGCAAAGTGATCACACCAAATGCGACCGGCCTCAGCCACCAATATCGCCTGCTCATAACATGCTTCAGTTAAACAACGCTGGCCCCAGCCTCCCTCCCAATCAGCAGCCGAATCACCGCATTCTCCAGACCCCGGTCGAGTCGATCGTGACGAGATCCCTGCAAAATGGCTGTTGGGGACGAAAACAAGCCGCTACCCGCACCCGCCCGTCATTTGTGCTCTCTTCAAGCTTTTGCGGGCGAATGATGGCCAGCCTGAGACATGTAGCCGATTCAAGAATGCCCTCGCATTACGGCCAATGACCTGCCTCGATCAGGGTTCTTCAAGGGAAAGTTTCGCGCTCGATCCCACCCTGGGGACAAGCCAGTGACCCCGGGAGCGACTGGGAGGAGTTCTCCAGCTTGCAGACCAACGTCTTTCTCATCCTTCAAGGACCGCACTCTGTTGCTTTCTCAGTGGTTCGACTATCAAGCCTTGCGCTTCCCTTAAGCGCCGTGCTTTTAGTGTTGAGTTCAACTACTCCATACTCCGTACCTTTATTAGCGGATCTCAGCGGGCGTTATCCAGATCTTCAGAGTGGGGGATTGGGGTCCGCTTTTAAGGCCGCTCTGTTAGTGTTCATTCAGATCGTTTTCATACTCTTATTCTGTTGAGACTGACAAGTGTTGTCAGCTCTCGAGTTACGATCACTGGCACCCAGTTGATCGAAATGCGCCATATCGTCCTACGCTGCACCGCGAACTCGAGATCGACTACGATTTACTTGCTCTGAAAGACCACCATCGCCAGGACGAGAACGATGCTGAGCATTTCGAGCTGAAATAACTTTGGACTTTTGAGGTTGAGGTCTGACACTGCCGCCAACCATGATATCCAAACTTTTCTTGCTCGCTCCCCTTCTCGCCTTCACCGCGTCAAGCTTGAGAGTTACCCCCGGCTCTCCCTGCGCGGAAAGATGTGGCCCAGTAACCTCCAACACTACCGGCGCTGACATCGTCTGCCGCGATTACGAGTTTCAGGAAAAGCCTGAGGGCATCCGCTTCAAAGATTGCGTCAAATGTGAATTGCAGAGCACATTTCACGATAGGAGGACTGCACAGTCGGATGTGAAATGGGGCCTGTGTATGAGCACCCTATCCTTGCCACCGTTGCTAGACCAATCTTGCTTACAAGAACCTAGATAACCTCCGCTACGCATTTTCGAGTTGCATCTATGGCTATCCTGCTGTCAAACAGTCGTTATCTACTCCATGTCAAGTGACATGCGACTATTTGATGACCGCGGTCAAACACCAATTGGTAAATCCTAGGTCGCAGTCACTTTATGACTTTTGTGGACTGGACAGTCTGTCAGACGACATCGTCACCAAATGTGCGCTTTGTTATTCGCTCACTGAGGATGAGAGAATATTGTCAAACTGTACGTGCAACTCGACACCTAGAATTACGGGTCTTCACTAACAACGGCATGCAGTCATTGAAGCCGTCAGGCAGGGTTGCCATTCCAGGGTACCCACTGGAAGCGAATTTATCATCGACGCCAATAGAATCTTCAACGAAACTTTGCTTCCACCAAGTACTGAATCAATCGCGCCGCCAGGAACAGAAACCGGAAAGAAAAAACCACTCGTCCTTATCATTGTCCTCCCAATTGTCGGCTTCTTATTACTCTGCCTCGTATCCTGCTTCTGCTGTTTCTTCTTCGTTCGACGTCGACGCCGGAAGGCTCAACGGCTTAGCCAGGCCGGGCATCTACACGACAGGTGGAACGACACTTCTATGATGACACCTGTTCCTGGTGGGCTCAGACACACCTGGGGGGAAACGCCGCAATTCCACCCCACTCAAACTTATGGCTACGATCCGTCAGATCACCAGGGATACTATGCCCAGCAGGATGTCAAGTATCCGACTGAGACATACCAGTTGGGCCCGGTTACCTCTGAGCCCGATGACACGAAGAAGGCAGAATTTGTAGCGCAGAGCGTTCCTAAGCTTTCAGCACCTCCTCCTGGTCGCAAATCACTTTCCATCACCCAATAAGATCTGTTTGACAAGCGCTGTTTCTTCAAACCACGGGTTCTTATCTGCGATCCCAGAATCCGTGGTAATGGGATAATATACAGGCGAGTCCAGTAACTTGTTGCATGAGATAACGATCCATCTCCGTAACATCCGAATCACACTTACCAATATCCTAACTTACCGCTTTTATAACCGAGAAGAGGACCTGGCAGCTGGTCCATTTGCTCAACTCGAAGGCATGGCATTGCGATTTCCAGTGGCTTTTTTATTTTATTCAAGCCTTGTTGTGTCTTGGTGGCTACCACCTAGTGCGCATTCCAAAGATACCATTTGCGTATCCTCTTCTGTATTCTAAGTTCATCGTTGTTGCCCTAGTTAATTATTAGGTGCAGGAGTTGAAGGATATCATGAATTGAATAGTTAGCTTACAACATTCCCAACACAATGAGCACTCTCTTGCAATGCTGCAATTAGCTTTCAATTTCATGTCGTCTCATAAATATCAATGAAGGTCACCATTTCTTCTTATCTTGCAGAGAATTGGGTTTGTTAACTGTGTGGTTGTTCCCCCAGAAACTCAAATCGGAGCTTCTTTGGATTCCAGAATGAGACGGTTCTGACCACTTTAACCCTTCTCCCACTCACTGATCTGTTTCTTCCCCTCCAGCAAGACGAACAGCTCGCTCAAGATGACATCCATAAACCAGGAACAACTAAAAGTCCTTGAACAGACGCGACAGCGACTTGTCCAACTGACACAATCCCTCGGCTCACTATCCAACAGCATCAATCAAAGCAACCCATTACCAGCAATGGGCAAGGCCCACCCATTTCCCGGCTTCCTTTCAAGCCAGCAGGGCGGAACAGTCAAAGCTTACCCCCGAAGTCCGCCAAACTAGGTCCTCCCTCCAATCCCAAGCAACAATCATATCCAACAACCTCCTCTCCATCTCCCGCCTCCTCGTCGAACACCAGGAGCTCCTCTCCTCCCTCGTCGCCTATCCCACCCCAGATTTCCCAGGCCGCACAGAATCGACCATCCTACACCAGCTCATGCGCACCAAACTGGAACCGCGAGTGGAAGAGTGGGTCGCCAAGGGAAGAAACGTAGCGCGCCACAACACCGCTTCGTCGCAACTGCAAGTGGAAGCTGCAGCGGCGGCGGACGGTGAGTCTGTACGCTTGTCAGTCGATGAGCTGCTCGATCTATGGCACTGGGCGCCCCTTGAGGCGAATACGGAGGCTCGACGGAGGGATTGGGGTGGTGATTATACGCTTGAGGAGAAGGAGATGGGGGTCAAGAACGTCATTACGGGGTTGAGGAGGAAGCTTGATGAAGGAGATGAGGAAGACGAGGATGAAGACGAAGAAGAGGAGGACGAAGATGTACAAGGCGAAGAGATGGAAGTTGTGGTTGGAGCGCATGCGCGTGCTGGCGGAGGCCCAGGTGTGGAGTTTGATATTGCTAGAGGAAGTAATTATACTCCTTCGAAATCAATGGCTCCTGGGATGCCACTCGACGACGTCTTTCGATACATGATGACAGGAGCGCAGCCCAGATAAAGATAATCGATTTGATTTTTACGATTGCAATGCGGCTTAAGCGGGGGTTTGCATTTACTGGGAATGGATGATAAACCATTTTATTATGATATCATGGTAATTAGAACATGGTATAGATTGAGAATTGGATGTAGTGCCGAATCCTTAAAATAATACAATTATCATCCCTGTACACAATGGATTGAATGAGGCGGCCGTCATTCTGCTAGAAAATCCAAGAAAATCCTCATATCAAGAAACTAGCCTCGTCGTCTCGTACTTGGGCCTTTGCCCGACGGGCTAGCAGAAGCACCACTGGTTGTTGCAGCAGGGACCTGTACCGCTTGCATTCGCTGCACGGGCTTCACTGTTTCACTCTGTTTCTCTGAAACGGTGGTGGGAGAATTCCAGTAGTAAAGCATTTGCATCGCCATGATTAGGTTGAGAGAAAACCCTGCGATGAAGCCGTACAGGATGAGCTTATCGTCCACTTCCTGGAGGGTTGTGAAGATACGGGAGAGGGATCCAAGGAGGTAGTTGAACACCTATCACAACACATTAGCACGATGCATCATAATTGGAAGATTGCATGTAAATTCCTACCGCAAAGGCGCTCAGTTGACCTGTACCACCCTGAGACCAAATCGTCCAGATCTGGGGGATCTTGCTCGCCACACCCAAAACCCCTGCGCCAGCCTGCATATATCCCATCATCTTGTTATCCACCAGTGACTCTCCACTGCCCAGAAGCGCATAGACGACTCCAATTACCCCAATAAGGAAAGCATTTGCGGCCCCTGGCTGTCCAGAAAACGCCAGTACCAAAATGCCAACTAGGACATCTTGGACAGCGATCAACGCCGCTTCGCCATATGTGCTAAATGGAAATTGTTGGCGCACATTGTACGCGAGCGTGATCAATAGACTAGTCGTTTCGAGAGCGTACGAAGTGAACGAGACTCCTGCGGATGAACGGGAGGAAAGGATTTTAAGGATCTGCGGGACTTTGACAATCGCGCTGAATGCAACTATTGCGATTCCTAGTGCTTTCGAGATCGCGAGCGGCAAGCAGGCCGGGTCTTTGGTGATATCGACGGCCAGGACAAGGGAGGTATAGCATTTATCACCAAGAAGGGAGATTAGGGTGTTGCTGATCGGCTCGGGGAGGGATGTCGTGATCGGGCGGAGATAGGGCTGAAGGGGGTCAAGTATAAGGGACTGAATCGACTGCTTAACGGACTCCATGATTGCGGGCAGGAAGAGCTAGCTATTGGCAAGAATCAATCGTCGCTGTCAAGTCTGTTGCAGCTTGTGAAAGCAAAATACGGAAATAAACAGCTGGATTTCCCTGTTTGGCACGTGACATAACTAACTACCTGCTTAGTCACCAGCAGGCCCGATTTGGTAGGACGAAAGTTGCATCGCAAGTCCAAAGTCATCGAGCAACGCTGGAAGATCACAATTGCAATGCTTCCGCTCCCCTGAATCCCCTTTTCAACGTGATTCTGATTGGCAATGAGCCTCCGGGCTTTTAGCCTGAGGCCTGGAGCCAGGCTTGAGCCAGGAAGTGTCTGCAGCGAATGCCTGTTTCGCTTTCTAGCTCCTCCCAATGCGATCCCTCGACGGACATTTGCGGCGGCGGGGAGCTTGCACAATAAACTATCTCAGCCTCGAGTGCTTCCGCGAATATTAAGGAAATCGTACTTTTCATCGTATATGCCAGATTTACCACAAGCGACTTTCTTATCACGATCGAAAAAGTCCGCCTCCTTTACACATCAAGCCTCGCTCTTTGAATCTGCGGCACCAGAGTCCAGAGGACAGACATCCAATCCGGCTGCACAACTGCAAGGCTCCCCCGACGCCGTTGACGAACTACCACATCGTCGCAGACAGCGACTAAAAGCTGAAAAGGAAAATGGGCCTACTGGGTCCGCGGAGAACGCCATTCGTCCCGATGCTTCATCACGACTCTCCACTCTCTCCTCCTCGTTGCCCAAAACCTCCGTACGGCGGCAACTAGCAGCGTATCTCGCTCTCACAAAACCGCAACTCTCCTTTCTCGTCGTTCTCACTGCCACTGCCGCCTATGGGATATATCCCATGCCCACCCTTCTCGCCCTCGACCCCTCCATAACCCCCCTTCCAACCTTATCAACATCGACACTGACATGCCTGTACCTTACAGTCGGCACTTTCCTTTCGGCAGCCAGTGCCAACACTCTCAATATGATTTTTGAGCCCAAGTACGATGCTCAAATGTCTCGCACCCGCAACCGACCTCTTGTCCGCAAGCTCCTCACTCCCCGTGCGGCTTGGCTCTTCGCCATTGGCACAGCAACTGTCGGTGTTACGGCTCTGTATTTTGGCACGAATCCCACGGTCGCGGCCCTATCCGCCGCCAATATAATCCTATATGCCTTTGTATACACTCCCATGAAACGGATGTCCGTCGTTAATACTTGGGTCGGTGCAATTGTCGGCGGAATACCCCCGCTAATGGGCTGGGCGGCTGCCGCTGGTCAAACGGCGATAACAGGGCACGATACTTGGCGGGACCTTTTGTTCGGGCCGGATAGCTTGGGCGGCTGGTTACTCGCCGGAATATTGTTTGCATGGCAATTTCCCCACTTCAATTCCCTCTCTCACGTTATTAAAGAAGACTATAAGAATGCTGGATACAGAATGCTAGCATGGACAAATCCGGCGCGAAATGGCCGGGTTGCGCTCCGATATTCGCTTCTCATGTTCCCTCTTTCCTTTGGTCTGTGGTGGGTTGGTATTGTCAACAAAGGCTTTCTAGTTGGCGGGACTGTGGTTAACCTTTGGCTGACCAAAGAGGCGTATCGATTCTGGAAGTTGCAAGGCGCAAAAGGCACAGCACGAGGTTTATTCTGGGCAAGTGTGTGGCACCTGCCACTGTTGATGGTGGGAACATTAGTTGCAAAAACAGGCGTATGGGATGGTGTTTGGAACAAGGCTATGGGCATTGTGTATGATGAAGACGAGGAGGACGAGGAATACCTGGATGAGGAGGAATTCCGCGAGAGCCAAGATGCTCAGGTCTCGACTCAATTGGCCCAAACTACGAAGCCCTTTGTTTAAAGGTTTCGGTTGGGCCATGTATATTACGGGAGTTTTATCACTTTATTTGACAGGAGGAGCTGATTCCACAATGTATGTTATGGATGGGAGTCATTGTTTCGTTTACGAGCGAGGCAGTTACAGAAAGTAACCTTTTATACTGTTCCTGTGCATGCATGTATGGGCCAACTCGTCATCTAACAACAACGGCTCTTGCTCCAGTATTGTGGAGCACCGCCCAAGGAGCATTCGCTTTTCATCGCCTGAATATTAGTACGGGTCTGCAATTACACAGCCTCGGGCCCAAGGCGGACTTCCAGATTAAAATCAATACTTCATGTACGCTTGGAATGCAAGGTTTGCCTTGTCAACAGCGGCAGGTGTATACGGCGTAGGCTTTTGCGAGTGCTGTCGGGGAAATTACAGCAGTATAAACGGGTTTGTAGTCAGGCTTCTTCATCTCCCAAATAAGATATTATCGCGGCATGGCTGAGTCGATCGTCTCCGTAACCAAGCTCATGTTCAGAGGCTGTGAGAGCCTGATAGACCCTGGCCGCTTCGTGTTGGCAGCGGTGCAGGTCACGCCAAGACACTAAGGAAAGCTTGTTTCTTCCAGAACCTCTCGGGGAATCACGCGAGTCCCCGAACAGGACTAGCGGGTGGCTTTGATCTCACGTTTGCCTTGTTTGCTCGGCTTCGGAATGCCAAGACTCGGGATCCGATCAGCGGACATTTGGGGAGGCGCTCCGCAGGGCGACATCCAGGGACTTGTTGAGCTTCTAACCCGGTTGATCCAAAGGCGTAACTTACACGCCATCAATCGTTATCTTCAGGTCACTGCCTCAATCCTGGCCCACGGATATGTTTCATGGAGGGCTCGAAGCGCAGATCGCATCTGCTTCAAGGGAGCTACTGGAGCTATTATAAACGATCTCATGCCCCTCAAGATGCTCCATTTCCACTGACTAGAACCTTGCTATTCCCGTTCTGGAACATATTCGTTCCCAATCCGCGTTTAATTTAGTGAATCAATCGGCCTCACAAACAGAAATGGCGCTCACATCAAAGCTTCAGAGCCAAGCTTTGCAACAGCCAAACGATGACTTGACGAGCACCACTCGAGTCGTGAAGAATCAAATTGTCTTTCGGGTAAAAGATGTTCGTAAACCGGCAATTCGAACACGGCGGCCCGCTGCACCAGACCACAACGGGGTCTCCGCCGAGCCTGCTTTTCATGCGCGAAGATCCCATCGAAAATCTCGAACTGGATGTGGTAATTGCAAAAGGCGAAGGGTCAAGGTAGGATTAATACCTGTGTCATTTGTCGAGCGTTGATGCCGGAGTCTAACGATGCTTGCCGTAGTGTGACGAAGCAAAGCCGCAGTGTCAGAAATGTGAAGGCTACGGCATATCTTGTGACTACAACACCGTTCAGCCGGGGAATCGTACGACCAACAAATTGAAATCAGCTAATCTGTGCAAGTCCAATTCCGGACCTATTGACTCATCGATGTTCACCATGTCTGTAGTGGACCTTGGTAGCCGCATCCTGCAAGTGCTACAACCCACTCCAGCAGACAATGGCGAGACTGAACTGTTGCCGTCCTTCACGGTGGCCAAGGCGCCATTGACCTTACATCGTTTCATCCAAGGCGTGGGCCATGTTGCGTCCATGCCAGATTCTATGAGAATAGTAGTAGCCGGGGATATGATACAATTGGCATTGAAGGTACGTGTTGCCTCTTTTTTCCGTGGAATTTACCTGTAGTGCTGATATCTGATTCGATGCAGACACCGCATCTTATGCATGCTGTCTTCGGCATAGCCAGCACATTTTCGTTCCACGAAAAGTCACACAAAGTTGCAGAAGCATATCATTGGCACAATGCCATAAAGTTATACAAAAAGGAAATCGAAGGCCCAATTGGATTCCACAATATGGACGCCCTCATGTCCACCTGCATGCTGATGGGAATTTTATCCTTCTCAGAACCCAAATACGATCCCCTCGATTCATGGGTTTTCACATCGAAACCCACCGATCTCAATTGGCTTTTAGTGCAAAGTGGACTTCGGTATCTCATCGAGTCGACTATCCCGTGGCTACCACAGAGCATTTGGTGGAAGTTCTTCATGGAGTCGGACGACAGGGATAAAACCTTTGACGACCATCGGCCCGGGCGCGTCGGCCTCGACCCCGAACTTGCGGACTTGTGTGAGATTGGCTCAACGACGACGGAAGACGATAATCCGTACCTATGGCCGTTGAGGTTAATCACTCCGCTACTCAGTCTTCCAATGGTTCGCGAGCACTTCAGCAAGTTCAATAGTTTCATGGGCAGACTCGAACCGGATTATGTCCAACTTTTGCACCAAAAAGACCCCAGAGCGTGCCTTATTATGGCGATCTGGATGGGTAAGATGTGCGAACAGACAGCTTGGTTCATATATCCCCGAATGCAAGCCGAATGCACAGCCCTCTGTATGTTTCTCGAGAACAGCGAGGATCCGAGGATCTTGAAACAACTCGAGCGTCCAGCGTCTGCATGTGGATACACCTTGCACCACACGCGCGTTGAAGAATTGCTGGATCTAGATCTGTCAATGACGAGCTTTGACGAAATAGAGGGCCTCATTGGAATTGAGAATGCCGACCAGAGCTGGCTAGCGATGGAGAATGCTCTCGTATGACCGGCCACTTCACCTGCTCTGTCATTGCAAGGGAGTTGAGTGCCGGGTTCGAGCCCGTTACTTAATCGGGTAGCCCATCATGTGACCTTGTTCGTTACTGTTTGCTACAGGAACATCTGCATGCCAGAGGGCCTTTTGATGACGAGTTTGAAGATTGACTGCATCTACAATGTCTAGTTGTTGAAAGGTTAACAATGGAGGAGAAGCTCAATATCAAGCCCGTTGAGAAAAGCTTTTACCACCATAAGCTTAAGTTTGAACTCATACATCGGGAGTTTTTGGTCGTCAAGTCGTAAAGCTCTTTTAAAAGCAGGAGATCCGCCCTCAAAGCCAAAAGGAAATTCCAAATGAAACAAGGAATGCAACGACCTAAGAGTGCCCGTCTCTAGCGTAAAGACTGCCGTGACCGTTAGGAAAAAAGCAGCGAGATATAGCCGTCCAAATACCGGAAAAAAAGAAGCCTATATCCTTCATTTCGAACGGAACCGAAAAGAAAACAAAACAAAGCTGATTTATTTGACCTTTGTGTTTGAAATAACCCAAGCCTCCCAGATTTTTCGCTGTCTATATTCCACGTTCATGCCATTGTCATCCAACTCATCGGCTGACACAGTAGACAACAACTCCCATTGATTTGTGGACGGTGGCAACTGAAATATTGGTGCGTTGATGGCCGTGTCGGGTGCCAATTCAATTTGATTTGCTCGCGGGCCGTCGTCCCCATTGTGGTCGCTCAATCCATCAGATTCTTCACCAATACTCATGTCATCGTCGGTATGCCCGTTTTGGCCCTCGTACACATCGAACATATCCTCCGCTTCGCTGTCGGAATTGGGGAAGAACTGAATGTCGGATATGTCTGCGCTGGCCGCCCATTTTTCGTCAAATGCGTTTGAATAGTCAATTCGTCGCAGGCTAACCCATTCGAGCTGCTCCATCTCATCGTGCAGCATCGAGAGCACGTCTTTCCACATGCTTCCTTCCTTTAGGAGAACGTCACGGAGACGAAGACCACGTAGTGTCTTACGATGGCGGCGGGCAAAGTTGATGATTTCATGCGAATCAAGTCGCCATGATTGGATTCCAAATGCGCGAAGCCGCTCCCAGTACACATTGTGGAATATGTCCTCTAGGGACAAGTCAAGAGGCAGACGCGACGGGAAGCCTAAGTGCACAGCCTCCATATTCTTCGCCGCTAAGAAAAGCGTGTGGAAGACACCAGATAGTTCCCTCATTTCCGCATTCACATATCGAATGGCGTCGAAATGGATTTCAAGGCACGTCAATTTGCCAGCCAACGCTGACATTTGCTCTGCAGGTGCGAGTCTTAGGTTGAGAGCCGCCTGCGGGCTTATTTGTGGCCCAGAAAAACGGCTTATGGGGGAGCCTGACTCCAGGATGGCGGTGCCCACGGTCTGGACGGCTCGAACGCAGGCTGGTTTCCAGTCTAGCACAACGAATGGGTCGAGGGGATTATCATGCCTTTCTATGAATTGCCGCAGATCTCGCTCCACTTCGTCTTGGACCCTTAGTATTTTGACATGCTGAAGGGTCGTGAAGGATTTCATGGCTCGTCTGAGCGAAGAAAGGTCTTCACCCGATCCAACCAGCTTTCGTTGCTCTTCAATCCGACGAAGATGATCGTCTATTCTGATCTTGCTGGAACTAGCCGTCCGCAACAGCTGTGGTATGTTGTCGCGCCCTACGAATTCAAATCAGTTTTTTTTTTTTCTCCAGAGCAAAGGGCGTAGAGCAGTGGGCAAGGCAGTACCACCTTCCACATAAAAGGACCGGATGATATAAGTAAAGCTCTTCGCGTGTCTAGCAAGATGTGGAACGCTAGAAAGCTTGTCTAGCCTTTGAAATGCAGACGCGGAAAATCGTACCACTACCCGATTGAACTTGTGGGCGGCTCCCACATCTGCAAACCGCCTACATACCTCCCTAAACCGATCAACATCACTGCGGAGATCAAGGGACGGTGGTTCCGGCGGACCGGGCCTCTTGAAGCTCTCAATGGAGAGGGACGCACGGTGATCCACGCTGATACACTTTTCAGGGTCCCGAGTGAGGTGGTCGAGGATCTCCTTGAGGAGTTCATTGGAGAGCCTCATGATGCCGCGTGGCTCTTCCATCTCCGTGTCCCTAGATTCTGTCAGCGGTTCATGCGCCGCTTGAAGGTCCTTATCAGATTGGTCGTCATAGGAAAGGTGAAAACGCTGGAAAAACGATGAAAGGAAATAGAAGAGGGATCGAAGTAGATACGCCAGTTTGACGACGGCCTGTTTGGCTGGCGGCTAACTACACACCAGAGAGGGCGTCGATCAGGAGTGGCAATATTTAGTTACAGAGTGCAAGTGGCTAACTACAGCCGCTGATATTAATAGTAGCAGATGGCAAGACGGGCATAGTATTCTCTCTAGAACCCAAGGGGCAAAATGCCAGAAGAAATTGAAAACAGAAAATTCCTAAGGCTGGAAGAGGAGGAAAAGGGGTGTAAAAGAAAAAAAAAAGAGCAAACAGAGGACTGTTGGCATGCTCTCCGGCGTGCCAGTAAGAGCGCCTGGAGGAAGAAGAAGAAGAAGAAGAAGCGGAAGAGAGGGGGGCAGCAATGGGAGAAAACGAAAAAAAAAATCAACGATAGCCATACGAACGAAGGGATCGTAAAGACAACTGGGCTACGTACGCACACGATAGAAATCCATCAGTTCAGGCGTCTTCATTGCCGTCGTCATTGTCGAGTAGCATCAACAAACGTGTGTGCATTCCCTTCCAGACAGGGCTCCTCCAACCTGTATTTATTTTCTTATTCTCTGCTCTCTTCCTGACGGCTTATCAGCGAAGCAAGAAAATAATAGAGAAAAGGCCCTGTTGGTCCAATGGCGGCATTTCCTCCTACACCAATAAATCAGCTGACCGAAAAGACACCAGCAGATCGTTCAGCCTGCTGCGGGAGCAATGCGAGTTGAGCGAATGGAGAGCAAGAAGAGCAAGAAACAGGCACAATCTGTGCTCTGGCGCGGCTGTGGCGGACGAATCGCTGGGGAGAAATGCATTCTGGTCGTTGACGGTTTGACGGCCTGCAGAGGCTCGCATCCCTGTAGGCTGCGGAACGCGCCCTCCCCCCCTCCTCCAAGCCCGTCAAGGATAGGGAGCATGCAAGAGGGCAACCCCCGGCTATTCAAGAAGAGAGATGGCATGTCCTTCCCGAGACGAATCAGGTGTGCGGACCAAGCCAACATTTTAGCTTCGTTGGTGCAAGGGTTCAATCGACACGGGCTCGAAGGGCATTCGGGTCTGGAACAACTTCATGTGGGCTGCAGACGAGCGACGTGCAGTGGGATCATGTCGTCGCTTGTACGACCGTTGGGTAGGAAGGGCCTTCGTCGAACTACCGCTGGCGTTTGCCGTGTAAAAAAAAATGCAGCTCGACATGCTGTGTGAGGAGACGAGAGGAGAGGCGTGCAGAGCAGAGCTGCCCAGTCAGTGCAGTCGGGAGAGATTTGAAGGTTTGGTCGTTGCTGGGGTGCGATTTGTCCCAGGCTGGAGGAATACGATGGAAGAAGACGTCGCCCTGAAATTTGCACATGGGATCCCCCCTCCTTTGTAAACCCAGTCCAGGGGAGAAATCAGACAATACTGCCGTCATACATTGCCTATTATAGGGAACCCTCTGTGGTGATCAAAGAGCACGAGGATAGGGGAAGCACGGAATTGCGCTCTTCTCGAGACTTGCATTCTGCCTCGATTCAGGATTATTCGCCAGGGAAACACTATCAACATGGGTTCGGAAGGTATATGCACATAGATACGTAGCTGAAGCGAGACATCGCTTTTCCTCAAATCATTGCGCTGATACCCCTGCTCCCGCACGTCCTGCAGATAAAAGACATACAATCATGCAGTGATTTATTATTCACATCCCACTCTGCCGCCAAGGATGAACGAAGCAGCAATGCTTTCTAGACCTGTCGGTGCAGAGCCTGCAGCAACACCCTGTATCGGGAGAAAGCAAAACATTCCCGTAACTGCGGGGCTTGAGCGAGTTACTGTGGCATCGAGAGTGGCTCACGGTTTCGTCAGGTACTTGCGAGCCTTTTCTTGAGTCTGCAAACGTCAGGCATTGTGACATTGTGGGCGCCTGCATTCAATCCTTGCGAATCGAGAGGGAATTGCGAAGCCGGATGGCTGTATGTAGTTACCCTTGTTCGGGCGGTTGGCTTCGAAATGCAATTGGAAGTGATTTCACTCCCAACCAAAACAGAACTAGAGAAACTTGAACCCTTGAAATGGGGGGAAAAAAAATGTCATTGATGCGTTGGCACTTGGTTTCAAAGACTAGGACTGCCCTTTGCTAAATTCATTCGACGCTTTCGAATTTCTGTACTGCTGATCTTTGACTCAAAAGTCTCCATAGATGCATTGCTCTTTGCCGCTTCTGGTTCACTCAAATCTAAAACGTCGACTTCAAAGACCTCCAGCGTCTCCCAGCCCTTTTTCGCGCGTTCGTCGTTGACAGACTTCCCGCCCGACCGCGTTTCTTTCGAGACGACCAAAGCAGTGATATCTTGATCCGTGATAGTCGGACCGAACGGGTCAGCGATCGGCACGGCTCTGAGTTTTAAACTTTCACTTTCACCGATCAAAGCGGTTGCACCTTTGGTTTTAGAAGTGGCACTGTAATCCATGTAGATCTGCTTGGGAGTCCCTGGAGGGAAGAAGTCTATAATTGACTGGAGAAACTCCCAAACGCCGTTCCATCTCTCTACCCAGGACTCCAAGAACTCTGAGTATTGCTTGTTCACTAACATCTCGTCTCCTGTGATCCCAATCGTCATCACTCTCATCGGGCTTGGAAACTGGCCCACATAGGGATCCAGGGCGAGGAGTGTAGCTGTAAGGAGCAGCTTGTGCCCGGTGTGTAAATGGTCAAACGTGCCACCAACAGCAACATGGTAGTGTGGCGTGGAATGCGAGGTAGACTCCTCGATTTCCAGGCCTGGTGGGTGTCCATCATTCGTGCCAGGCAATCTCTGTATATTCAGTTGAGCCCCCAATCCGGTTTCCTGGTCCACTGCCTGGCGCATTTCCCGCAAGAAGTCGTCACCCTGGGGCGAATCAACCGAGTAGATAACCTTCCAGGCACGTCTTGAAGCTGCCAGAGAGGCAAGGCTAACAACAGGCCCAATCTGAGGCGAACCGGCAGCCCGCGACCCAATTGGTTTGGTGCGGTCTACGAAAAAGACTCTGGCGTCCACGCCGCCAGGGCCGTCCAGCTCGATGTGCCGTTTCACACTAACAAGTCCCACAAGCTTATAAACATCGGCCAGCAGGCGTTGAAGATGATCAAACACCCTGTTTCTCTGCCTAGCATCCGAGGGAACAAGGCCGGAGACCGCGACGGCGATGTCCAGGACGGCCGAGCGTTTCGTTCCCTTCACGGAGGCCCATAGTTCCGATAGGCTGGTGGAAAACGCGGGCTCGTAGGCAGCTTTCAGGGCTGTAAAGGACGAAACCGCAGCTCCGGGTAAAAGAAGGAGAGCTTCGTGGTGGCGCGGGGCGGCGGAGGCGGGGTCGCGCCAATTGGGGGGTGGGCACGGCCTTGACATCGCTAGTAGTTAGCTGGTAAAAGAGCTGCGATGAGTACTTGCTTTGGCACCTTGCGATTGGGAAAACGAATGACTGTAACTGCACAATTCAAAAGGAATTCGTTTGGTGGTTGAGCGGTTCTCACCGCGATGCCGAGGGAATCCAAGCTCAGCCGCCAGTGTTATTCCTTAGTTTACCCCAGCCTTCCCCTTAACTCGTTAACTAACTAACTAGTCGGGCGCTAGTAGCAAAGTGAGTTTAGCCCGTGAGTTTGTTTGTCGGTGCGGAATAACTATAATCCACCCTCTATCAATTCCCATCCTTGCGACAAGACATATACTGGCTGCACTGGAAACAAATTCAAGGCCCAGCACTCTTTATAACTTGCTGGGAGTAACTCCTACTTGCCGAGTTCTGAAGGTAAATGGAGTTGTTGACAGAGCAAAGAACAGTGAGCTGCTGCGCTTCTGGCCAAGAGTCTGTTTTTACACTGCACTTCGCGAACAAGTCGCGGATCCTGGATTTCTTACTGAGGCCGATATCAATTGCCTTTTGAGGAACAAAGCGGTCTACTTCTCAGCCTAGAGGGCCCTTTGCGTTAAAATTGTAGATAAAGTAACTACGGAGTACAGTCTGCACAGGCACATCCATCCAAATTGTAAACCCCATACAACAAGCACCTTTATTCAAATCTTACATGCAATTTAATCTATTTTGCAGCGCTACATCTATTGCCATGGCCGTGTGAATTGCTGAATTCATCAAGGGCACTATTCCTGACAGGCGTGGCTGGCCTGGGATCAAGTTCTGGTGTCTGTTGCTTGAGATCGCTCGCCCATTTCCGAGTCACTGGTGGTTCGTGAGCCGCGACGTTCGAACTCTCCTCATCCCCATCGTCCCACCTGCACACAATTATCTCCCTGCAATGCCACGAATATAGTATACATCATTGATCTTTTGCTGTCCCGCGACAATCGCGCAGTGATATCGGTTTCGGAACTGACTGGTTCTGCGAGGTCAAGGACCCTTCTGGTCCTCCTGCGACCATGACAGACTCGCATGGCTTCGGAGGGGCTGGACGAGGGCCAACCTTTCCTCGACAGCCAGAGGAGCTGCATATCCCATCGTCAAACAATTCCATTCCCTCGAACGGTCCGCGGCCCGCCCAGCACCAGTTCCCTTCGCCCCCGGAATACTCTGCGAATCACCCAACGTCGATAAATATTCAAGCTCCCGCCTCCCAACCACAGCCTCATCACCAATACTCCGGCAGCACCAGTCAGCTGAACCCCGGGAATGCGCTGCCTGGGACTCTTCAGCCTGGAAATGCGAATCGATCCGGCCCTCTACCAAGCAATACCGCTCCTACCTTGCCTACCCTCTCGCAGATCGCTTCGCAACAACCTCCAGCATCCTCACCTTCCAGACCGGTCTTAATGACCCAACCGCACTCCTATTCAGCCTCGAGCCCTGCTGCGTTTGACCAGCAAAAGTATAAACCCTTTGGAGGCGCTTCGGATGGCTCAAAATACATCTCTCCAACGTCGGGGACATACCCATCTCAAACCCCGCAGAACACCCAATATTCGCCTTTAGGATTGGCAGATATTCGCTCACATATGGACACCGGGATGCTAGAAGAAATGGGCAGTGCGGCTCAATCAAACAATGCTGAAACGCCTGTTTCTATGAATTGCAATTATATGGCGCCTTGGGGTGTGTATGCCCTGGATTGGTGCAAATGGTCGATCCCGCTAGGCAGCCCAACAGCGGGGAAGATAGCTTTGGGGAGTTACCTTGAGGACAATCATAACTATGTAATCCTTCCCTGGGATGGTTTGAATTCCACATCGTTGCTAACTCCTTAATGCAGATCCAAATCTTGAATGCCCACCACAATCAGCCTGACAGAGACTACCCTGAGCCTGATGGACTGGCAGGCCTAGAATTTGTCAAAGTTGCAGAAGCTACGCACTCCTACCCGGTCACCCGAATATTATGGGAACCTCCATCGTCACAAAAACAATCTACCGATTTGTTGGCAACTTCAGGTGACCACCTCCGACTGTGGTCACTGCCCTCAGAATCGTCCCAATATTTGCACCATGGTGGCAGCTCCATTACTCGAACAGCAAATTCCAAGCCTCCCGTTCAGAAATTATCTCCTCTGGCTTTGCTTTCAAATTCTAAATCTCCTGAACATACAGCGCCTATTACCTCCCTCGATTGGAACGTTGTGTCTCCAAGCTTAATAATAACGTCCAGCATTGATACGACGTGTACAATCTGGGATATTCCCACACTGACGGCAAAGACCCAACTCATTGCACATGACAGGGAGGTATATGATGTTCGATTTTGTGCCAACAGTGTAGATGTTTTTGTCAGTTGTGGTGCAGATGGCAGTGTTCGAATGTTTGATCTGAGAAGCCTAGAACACAGCACCATTATCTATGAACCGTCGGAGAAGAACGACAAGTGTACGTGTGGGAATTTCTCTTTCCAAATTGATTCTTAGGCTGATCAAGTACAGCGTCCACTCCTGGTAACTTATCCCCACCAGCCTATCCATCCGTCTGGCCGCCTCCGTTGTTACGAATTGCTGGTATGTGTCGCTTTGCTCTATCCATCTTTTAAGTATAATGTGCAACGATTAATTTCTCTATGTAGCTTCGCCTCATGATGCCCATCTTTTGGCGACCTTTTCCCAAGACTCCAGTGTCATCCGAATACTCGACGTTCGACAACCAGGCCAGGCTCTTCTCGAACTCAAGGGTCACTCTGCACCGATCAACTGCGTAGAATGGTGCCCGGCCCGCCGAGGGACTCTTGCCTCAGGCGCCGATGATTCTCTGGTCCTAATATGGGACCTGATCAATCAGAACAACGCAGCTAGCATCAGCTCTCAAGCACAGGCAGGCCAAACGCACCTTTCCGGCTCAACTGGCGTGTCGACCATGGAACGCGGACCGGCTGCAGCTTGGCAATGCGATTATGAAGTATCGAATGTGAGTTGGGCTCCGCATACCCCTGGCAGTAACGCCGCGGGGTGGCTAGGTGTGTCGGGTGGGAGAGGATTATGGGGTGTTTCCATATGATTGGACCCGGAGTTCGCCTTTCCTTCTTGCACACATGCATTTTGGACAGTACTTGTTGTATCACTTGGTTATCGGATGGTATCCAACACTTTTTCTTTCATCTTATTTTTTGGGCTTCTCAGACAGTGGAATATGATTCCATTCTTTATTTGTGGAAAGCTCATGATCTCATTTTGGAAATATTGGTCTACTTGCATATCTCTACTGCTTTACTTTTCATCCTTTCCGGTGAAGCTATTCATGGTGGCTGGCACACTTGAAAACAGCATTTTGCATTCTTATGACCATGAGCGCTGATGATACATCCTGGGTACGTTATTTGAATTTATCTTCTTGGTGCGAGGCTCCTGAAATGAATACTTGTCAGAACTTGGTGTTCACATAGTTCAAACAGCCTACAGGCGTTAGAATCCTTCCTGTATCACCCCTGTTTTGCTTAATTCGGGCATATGGAAAATCCACATTGCTTGGCCTCTTTAGCTATGAACTCTTTTGACTTCAAACTTTATATAACAATAGAACAGAATATAGATCAGCAAGATTACACTTGAGGATCCTGAATAGATACATGGTGTTCGAATGGAAGATATAAACTGATATTCATCGAGAGAACAAAGGTTCTGTTGATTGATGAGACGCATGCGAGGTCAATCTCAGGCGGTGACTATTTTGCCAGTACGTTTGATACCGGTATTTACCGTACCAGACGGCGCAGGCCCTCGGTGTCTGAAAGAGGAGCGACGGTATTGTCCGTGTAATACAATATTTTGAGGTTGGTTTGTTTTTCCGCCCAAACGTCAAACGTCGCCAGAGAAGAAGATCTCGCTTGGATCAAGCTCCAAAAGGCCTCTGTCTCTCGAAAGAGCTGACTGGGCTCGACAAGGATCACTTGGGTCTCTGTTGACTGAAAGTCCACGCGCTCTGAGTTTGGATTACAATGGGGTTGAATCTCAAATCTCTTTCTGTGTGATCTCGATGCATTATCCGCCTTCGCCATGGACTTGCGCACAATAATGAACGCCGACTCCGCCGGAGTCTCGAGCAAACCCCCTCCACCGCAGCCTTTGCCGCCTTCTCCATTGCAGCAACCAGGCAGGGAACTCAGTCCGCGCCGGACAAGCTATCCCAACGACGCCTCTCCGCCGTCCCACCCCTCCCTTCCCACCGAACCTCGCGCAAGGCCTCCACCACCTCCTCCGCTGCAGCCTCCCCTTCATTCACCTGGCCGGTCGTCCTCTTATGGCTCCGCTCAATCGCCATATCAGCATTCATCTGCCAGCTCGATTCTAAATAGCATCCCTCCTCCTCCGAACAACCAAGCCCACCCACATGGTTCGCAGTCGTTCCTCCCCGTCGCCCGCGACTCTTTCGCTACCACCGCCGCCTCTGTTCCGCATCCTACAAGCTCTCTTTGCTCGCCGTTTACTCCCCAGCCATTGAGCTCTGGCACGCAGCAGTCGTACTTTTCTCAAACACGCTCCCACTCGATTCATTCTGCCACGACGCCGTCGTCGGTTCGCAGCTTCTCGTTCCCTGCGCCTCGCGAAGATGCCGCCATCCCCCAACATGCTGAACCATCGCAGCCGTTGCCATACTCACCAATTCAGACGGGTTCGCAGCCGGCGACGCCTCTGGGACCTCCCTCTGCGACCTTTCGGAGGCGTCCACCCTCGTCAGGGCAGGATGTGGAACACGGACCCATCGCCAGCGCCTGGGATAGAGGCGATCAGCAAAGAGAGCAAAAAGATGCCGTTTCGCCGATAATGCAGACTCAATTATCAAGGCAGGGCTCGTTGTTGGTGGAACAGCCGCACAGACAGTATTTGCTAGAACGAGACATCGATCGCCACAGGACAAGCGTGAGCCCAAAGACAATACTCAACAGGGCTAACCATGCTGCTGGGGACCTTGGCCGTGTTCCGGAACGTTCTTCACAGACACAATATAATAATGATGTTGATAAGTTATCATGGCGAACAAACAACGGTGGAACAAACAACCTACCAGCACATGACAATGACACCGCATCCCAAAATCTGTATCCGCCCACCACCCCTAAAACTACCCATCCGTCGAATTCTAGTCATCCTTCCACCGTATCACCTCCCTCGAAACAGACTATCAAAAGAGAAACAGAGTCCTCGTCGCAGCACATTACGCCAATGAAGCCAAGCGAACCGCTAGTTCGCTCGTCTGTTACCCCGACACTTATTCCAAGGAAAAAACGCAAGAGGTATCACGAGCCCCCAGTATATGCTCAGAAAGCTCCCAGAACTACAGGGACTCCCCCTACGATACCGATCAGCTACAAATCCGCTGCCTCATCTCTCCCGTTTAAACCCCCATTCCCGAAGCGTGAAGCGCCAGAGGAACGACCTACGTCGCGAAACAGGTCTCTACCTCCTCGTCCGACACCCTTACCAGCACAAGAACGACCGGATGCAAATGAGAACAGCGCTCGATCTAGCACCGTTGGAAAGCCTGTGTCATCCCTTGGGCCATGGGAACCTTCCATTACCGGCATAATTCCCCACGAAGAGGTTACGAAGGCGGTATGCGATTTCTTATTCCAACAGGTTGTCATGAGGAAAGATATTGGGGCCGGTCCTGCAGGCGGAGCTGCAACAGGTTCGGGGGCTATTCTCGAAGTGGAAGCTAAACTTGGACAACTCGTCGATAAAAATCGAGGTGAAAGAATTCGGCTTCCGGTTCTCACTGAATGCATCCTGAGCAAGGATGACCCAGGCTTGCGGATCGCATTTGAGAGTTCTATGTCACTGGTCAGAATCCATTATTTCGCTTCCATTGTTTTCTTTCGAAGTATTGGCTAACTGGAGTCTACAGGCTCAACATCGCTCTCTGAACAACTTCCTTAACGAGTCCGTCAAAGCTTCTATGGCTCCGGGGGCTTCTCGTATCCCGCTCACGTACGCCCACAAAAAAGAACTCGACACGTTTTATGAAGTCTCATCCTCAGCGCTTCCTCCCATCGTTCAGCACCACCTCAATCCTCGCCACAAACCCAAGGTTCGCATTACTACGGACCAGGGAACAGGCGCAATATTAGCTCGAATTATCAAATGCCGTATTGCGGACCTCGACGTGCACAGTCCAAGAACAAACCTGGATTGGCGGATTAGCGTTAATCTTGAAATGAATTACGAGGGAGACCTCAATGACCTTACACCGGCAGCTGATGCAGGACACTTTGGCACCAGAGCTAGGTCCAGGAATAAAGATCGCATGAGTTATCGCCACCTAGCTTATCAGATCGAAATGACACAGGTTGCCACGGCAGAGGTACATGAAGTTGCGACCCTCGACT